TACTGGCGCCGACGGGCGAGGCGGGATGGAGCGCGTACATTCTCATGGAGCTTCATCACGCCGCCGCGCCAGGCCAACGTCATCTTGCGCAACGGCGCGCTCGAGGCCGGCGGCGTCGTCTGCGAGCTCGGCATCTACGGCACGTGTCTGTGGGACCAGGCGACGGGCGCCGTCCTGCGCAACGAGGAGGCCGGCTGCCTGCTGCGCACCAAGGGGGACACGAGCAACGAGGGCGGCGTGGCGGCGGGGTTTGGGTGCATGGACAGCCCGAGCTTGGTGTAGGGTGCTGGCTCCATTCTGCGGCTCCATTCTGCGGCTCCATTCTGCTGCCTCATTAGACAGGGCTGTCTCAGTAGACAATGCATGCCAAGGGTCATGATGGATCAACCTGCCGATAGAATTCATCGTTGCCATGCGCAGAGCTCTCGAGATTGATCAAAGGTCCACACATCAAGCGAAGAGAGACCAGCATTAAACCATAGCGGAGAACCGGATATTCATCGTGGTATCAAATCACCCCCCCCCCCCAAGTGAAGATTTCCGTACACCATCCAGTCAACAGCCCACATCGTCCGATAACAGCCCCAACAGTAGAAAAAATTAAAACAAACGAAATGGTAGCACAGTGTCAGAGCGGAGAGAAGCTCGATCATACAGGTTCAGATGGCGACAAGGGGGGCAATGGTACAACATGACTTCCATACTCGGGACCAAAAGTCTTACTCGCTGGGCGCGGTGCCGGTAGAGGGGCGCTTGAGGACCTCGATGTTGCCTGTGACATGTCGTGGTTAGCTCTTTCTCTTTCTGGAGGGGCCTTGACAGGTGCTCGTCGGACGTACGCTGGATGATGCTGAGGGAACTCCTGGTCTTGCCCTCGGCGTCCTGGTAGGTGTTCATGGAGGCATCGCCCTCGACAAAGACGAGGGATCTGGACAGAAAAAAAAGCCACGGTCAGTTTCTCAAGCAGCTTCGAGAGAAGAAGTAGACTGGGGGAGCACGCACCCCTTGGGCAGGCTCTGGAGGTAGTCGCGGCGCGGGCCGGGCTGCTCGAAGCTGGCGACGCGGAACCAGCTCGTCTGGCGGTTGTCCTTGGGGCCCGAGTTGCTGGCGACGGCGTACTTGAGGACCTCGCGGCCGGTGCTCGTGGCCTGGAGCTCGGGCGTGTCGGCGAGGTTGCCGACGATGGTGATGCGGGCGACGCCGCGCGACGCGGTCGTGCTGAAGGTGCGGGCGGCCATGCGCGGCGCGGCGAGGGCGGGGCGGAGGAAGGCAGACATGGTGGGCAAGATACTGTTGGGCGGTAGATGTTGGATGGTGATGGTGGGAGCTGGAGGAGGGCGGGAGATGGAATGCGATGGGCGGTTGGCTTTCGTTGTCGAATTTCGTTGTCGGAAGAGGGGAAATGTTCAAATTCATGCGCCAGGGTCGAGGTGCTGAAGATGCCGTCGCGTTTGGGACGCGGTCAGGGGTTCCCTTGGGACTTGGCCCGTGCGCAAGGCTACTTCATGCATGTAAAGGTGTATGCATTTACAGCTGTATGCATCAAGAGGACATGCCTCTAACGGCCATTTCCCGATTGGGGCTTGAATAGACGACTCCTCCACAGCTCCAAGCCTCCAACCTTGGTACTACGCTGCCACGAGCATGACAACAGCCGTTCCGAGCTCTGCATCCCATCTGTCGTCTTTCAGGCATGCCCCGTGCCTAAGAAGCCATGCTCCCATCCACCGTGCATCTGGCCGGCAATGCAAGATGAAGAGACACCGTGCGTCGATGGCCGCAAGCTGCAGACGGCATCGCGGCAGATCACTCCAGGAGACAGGCCGACAGGCAACGCAAAGGTCCCATGGTGGCTGGGGCAAACCCAATCCCATACAACCCTTAGCTGACCGGCGGCCGTGCGAGGAATGGCAGCGCTACTTGTAGTCGAGCCGTCATCCGTTTCGGCCCCGGGAGAGGAGGCCTGGCCCGAGCCTTTTCCCGATTTTGGTCTGAATAGAGGCCCTGAATAGCTTCATGGTCTCGGATACGACACGGTCTTGCCGCGAGCGGCTACTCCCATCTTGCGCGCCGCCGTCTTTCTTCTTCACCTGCCTCTTGTCGTCACTTTTGCCACTTATCCTCACGGCGAACACGGCGAACACGGCGAAGCTGCCGTGCTTTCTTATTGCGTCGGGGGCACTGGCGCTCGATACATCATGTTTGCGCCCCTGCCGTCGCATCTCGCTGCTCTGTTGCTGTGCCTGCCTCGTTCTGCCTCGCGCGCCCGGCGTCTTCATCAGCCGCGCTATTGAGCAATGCCGCGCTTTATTGGGACCTATTGCTCCATTGACCGAGGGGTCGACCACCCGCCAGCAATGACACTGTCGATAGGAGCCTCATCATAAGATGCTGCTGCCCTGCCCTCTCCGCCCTAGATCCTGTCTCGTACCCATGGAACTCTTTCTCGTCCCAGCCTGCCCTTCTTTGACGAACTAGTCTGAATTCTTTGGTCTCTACATGCTCGTTCGATAGCAGCATTGCGCAAATCGGTGCCACCAGAATCCATCTTGGCCCACGATCACCAACTCGTCCTGCGTACCTGTTCTTCAAAGATAGACGGACACTCTTCTGGGTGTGGCTCGAGAAGCGTATTGTCTGCTTCACGAAAAACACACGCACACGAAAGAGAAGAAAGAAAACCTCACTTGATCCTACTATCGAGCACGCCTCGTCACCGCCGCTTCGATGGCACCCGTCGCCGAAATGGCCGCCGCGGCCCAGACGCTGGTCCTCTCTCCGTTCCCCGTGCCGGACGACGTCTCTCCAACCTCTCTCACAGCGAACCTGGTTTGCCGCGTCGTTTTCGGTCTTCTCAACAATCTCATTTGTCTGGTTCCCCTTCGGCTTCTCTGGCGCAATGGCGAGTTCTCCGCCGTCGTCTTCATCATCGACGTCATGTGCCTCAACATGTTGACCGTCATCAACGCCCTCCTCTGGCGCAACGACGATACGACCCAGTGGTGGGCCGGTTACGGCTGGTGTGACCTGCACGCTTTTCTCTACGTACCTCTCATGTGTCTCTACTCGACCTCGTGCTTGGCCATCAGTCGCAACCTCTCCGACCAAGTCAACATGCTGCGCGCGAATCCCCTGACCCACAGGGAAAAGAGGAAGAAGAATCTCATCCAGGCTCTCATCATGTTCCCGATCCCCCTCATCCAGATGGCGTGGATCTATCCGTTGACGGCGCAGCGATACATCATCATCACCCTCGTGGGTTGCGACTGGAGGGTCCATGGCAGCTGGCCTTACTTTGTATTCTTTCTGCTGCCCGCGCCTCTTCTTGCCCTGGTCTCGGCCTTTTATTCCAGTACGTCCCCGTGACCTCGGCCTCTCCTCTCATCACTTCACTTCCGCGAAACAAGTCGTCTAACAGAAACTAGTCTTGACCTTTAAACGCTATCGTGAGCTTCGAAGAGGAATGCAGACTGCACTGTCTTCCAACAGCTCGGCCTCCTCGCGTCAGAACCGCACCAGGCGCAGGCTCTACTTCATGACCATCTCCGTCCTCATCCCCTACCTGCCCCTGCAGCTGGCGCACGCGGTCCTCAACGGCCTCAGCAGTTTTCCTCTGCAGCCCTTTGACTTCCACAAGATCCGCTACGAGGCCGCCCCCTTTCCCTGGGACTCGATCGTCTTCATGCCGTCCACCCAGGTGCCGTGGATCTTCCTCAACAACAAGTACATTCCGATCCTGACGACCGTCGTCATCTTCATCTACTTTGGCATCACCGTCGACGCCCGCCGCATGTATCGCCATGCCGTGCTCGCCGTGGGCCTCGGCTCCATGTTCCCACGTCTGCACCACAGCGACGGCTACAACTTCAGCGACCAAAGCGGCAGCGGCAGCCGCAGCGGCACCGGCTCATGGGGCGCGCGAACGTAAGTCGTCCTCCCCAACCGTGTTAACCTTTCAGACCCATCTTCACATATCCATTGTGTTCACAAATTTATTAACGCCCTCTTCTCATCCGACAGTGACACGACGACGACCAGCACCCTCAAGCCCAGCCTGCGTGCAACCACTCGCCAGCTGAGCCACCACAGCAGCAGCAGCCCCTCCAGCAGCACCGCTCGCCACAGCCACCCGTCGCACAGCCTGCCCGACCTCATCATGCCCGTCGACGTCGAAGCAGCAGCACAAACACCCCCTCGCGCCCCCTCTCCCGCACCACCAAAACAGCCGCACCGCAACCCCTTTCTGTTCCGCACGAGCCTCGCCCTGCCGACCCTCCCGCTGCCGCGATTCCTCGCCGGCCCCCGCGCCCGCCCGCACCGACCTGGACCCCGTTCCTCCTCGTCCCACATGGCCCTCCAGCCGCTGCCTGCCGACGCAGCCCCCCGCAGCGCCGGCTCGGACGTGAGCCTCGCGTACCTGCCCCCCCAGGACCGCGAGCGCACAGCCACGCGCGTGTGGTCGGATGACGACGGCGAGGACGCCGCCGCCGGCCAGCACGCCGGCAGGCTCAACGGTGCCGAGGACGCGCGGGCCGTCACGGTCGAGACGTCCATCTCCATGCATGCGCGGTGACGGCCTCCAGTCGGGGTCTGTAGATGATTCGGGGCGTGAGAAGCGTGAGAAGCGCGAGAAGCGTGAGAGGGGTCGATTTTCTGGTGACGTGGGTGAAAACAGGGACCGCGGCACGAAGCCGTTGGATGGAAAAAGAAGAAAATGCGCAGCGACTTGGTATCAGGGAAAGAGTTCCCCGACGTTGATCTTGTTTCCTTCTGGCTTCCCCTTTTGCTTGTAGAGGCTTTATTCTCTCGCTAGTTTCCCCCCTCGACGGACTGAGAGAGCGTTTTCGTCTTCGTTGCCACGACGTGCCGTTTTCATGTCAGGGCGGTGCTCTGCCCTGTAGCGAGTTTACTAGTGCATCAGCATGCTGGCGTTGAATTTTTTGTCGCCTCGCTGCTCGCGTCTTGATTGTGTCCCATTTCTTAAAGTTCCTTGCTAGTGAGCTTCATGCTCGTGACATTTTGCGCTGTCAAAGGTGACATCTACGGAGCAGCTGTTGATCATGGACTACTAGTCGCAGGCAGCTAGTCATGGACCGCCGGCCACAACAGCATCTCATCAGGCGCCTACGGACAAGTCTGAACCCAAGGCCGACAAGGCCAATACTGTATTCACTAGAAACCCTGTATATGCAAAGACACCTCGCAGTCGAGCCGAACCACGCCGATGCATCCACCAACAACGTACAACAGCCATGCACCTCTCCCCCTCCCTCGACTGCCAAAGCCAGAAACCGGACGCCGCGCCATGCCTTGGTATAAAGTGGCGAGTATGAGCAAACAACTGGATATCTACCCCGCGAGAGAACCCAGGTCGTGAAAAACGTAAACGTTTCGTGGGATGCCGAGGCGCCCCCCTTCCCATGTAGACAATTAAAACAACATAGAACATGAATAGGATCTGTGAAGCGGAGGGCAAGGAAAAAAGACCAAAAAAAAAAGTCCGACGCCCGCAAAGGTGCTCACGCCGTCACGGCTGTTGGTGGCTCCATGGGCATCACGCCAGTCGCCGAGGCACCGGGGGTGCTGGGTGCCGCGGCGACCTCGGGGTCTGATATTTGTATGTCCAGCTATCGTCATGTCAGTCGGCATCTCGGGCGAGGAGAGGAATCGTGCTGAACTCACAGTCATGTAGCCCGTCCGCCGGAGGGGAATGAGCTTGGGGGCCGAAGCACCCTCGTACGCTCCAGCCGTCTTCTCGATTTCCTTGTTCCACTGGTCCATCCAGTTCTCCAGCCTCGTGAGGCGTGCCTTGACTCCCGTCAGGCCAAAGTCATCCCACAGCCAGCCTGTGACGAGTCCGAGCATGCTGTCGACGATATTCCTCCAGTCGTAGGGGTTAAAGATGGGAATCAGTTCGCCGTTGAGCTTTTCAATGACGCGGCGAAACTCCTGCTCCGACAAGCCAGCTGGATCCAGGATTTCCGGGTAGAGGTTAGAAAAGGTCGGCGCGAGGTCGCCTTCGATGAGCCAGTCCCTGCGAACGCGGATGATACGCGTGTTCTGGTATTCGGCAGAGTCAAGAGGTACGTGTGGGTTGAGATGGGGGTAGCATGGGTGCTGCGGGCCCCATTCTTCGCCCATGTCGCCGACCTCCTCGCCCATGATGGACGAGTCTGAGGACATGGCAGACCCGATACCATCGCCGGCCGAGAGATTGGAGTGGCGGCGAGGGTCCAAGATGTCGGGGCCCCGCTCGAGGTCCCTCGAGCGGTCCCTCGAGTAGCCCCTCTGCTGTTCGTCTGGTTGCGGTGTCATGATGGCCTTTCCTTTGCCCTTGTCGACGACCTCTTGGGGTTGGACGGAGCCGGCCGATGCCTGCTCGGGATCGACTGGCGAAGGGTTGGAGCTCGTTGCTCCTCTCTTTTCGTCGTACGAATGGCGCACGGACCGGGGCAGGCTGATACGGTGATCGCTGTTGCCGCGGTGGTCGAATTGGAGACTGCCGCGACCCGAGCCGGAACGTCGGGATTGTCGGAGTTCGGGTAGTGTGAGCAGGGGATAGTGGCCTGCGCCGGTGGTGACGGGGTCGGCAGGATCGGTCGAGTTGTCGAGGGCGGGATGGGATAGCGGGACGTTGGCAGGTGGCGGCGTCGAGGGTCGCCGTCGCCTCTGCTTATTTTCAGTGGGACGTCGCGGTGTCGAGTTTGTCGGGTTCCATAGGTGGGCGGCGCCGGACAGACGACGAAGGCGGCGAGGCGTGGCGGAGGCTTTGCTGAGGAAGGGTGATTGAACGAAGGGTTCGCGGGGGATGTAGGCGGCACCGCGCGTAGACTCGAAGCGGCGGTGGACAGGAGCGGTGGGTGCGGGAGGCGACGGCAAGGTGGAAGCGCCGGGGTACACAGGCTGACGATGGGAGAGGGTGGTCAGGCGCGGATTGGCAAATGCATCTATGGTGGACGACGGGATGGAGTCTGGAACTTGTCTCGCGTGGGAAGCCGTGGGAAAGGCGAGGGGGGGCGAGCCGCCGAAGAGACGGTCCCGTCGCAGGCTAGTGGTAATGGTGGGAGTGGGTGAGGGAGCGGGAGGCGAGGAAGGGGAAGGCTGGGGTGCGCAGCAGGTCGGCGTCGCGTTCGAAGACTCTGCACCAAAGTCGTCTCGAGGGGTGCCGCGGCGGTGATGGGGGTTGGTGCGTCGAGGTGGATTGAATGAGCCAGATCCTCGGACGGCAGTGATAGGAGGAAGGGTCGCTGGCGTCGCGCGGAAGCGAAATGGGACGCAGCTACAAGGGCGAGCGGGAAGAGAGATCGTCGCTCCAGTTGGTCGTGGGCGGCCAGGTGGTGGTGAGGGTGGTACCAGCAGGCGTCGCCCAAAAAGGAGTGGCCGGCGGGTTCAGGTGGTGCTGTGCCTGTGCCTGTGCCTGTGCTTGTGCCTATGAATATGCCTGTGCCTCTGGCTTTGGCTTTGACTCCGGCTCCGACTGTGCCTTTGGAGGGTGTTGGGGGTGCTGCAGGTTTTGTGGGGGTGTCGCCCAAATGGGAAACCTCGGATTGCTGGAGCGGGTGGTGGGCAGTTGGCAGAGTCTTAGCAGTCGATGGGTCCGAATCGCACGTTGAGAGAAGGAGTTGAGGGGTCAGTGTTGGTGTCGGGGTTGGTGATGGTGATGGGCGTGTTTGTGGGTGATGAAAAAAAGAAGATGGACACCAGTAGCAGGAGGAGGAGGAGGAGGAGGAACAGGAGCAAGACGGAAACCTGGACAAAGACCTGGACAAAGACCTGGACCGGGACCTGGACTGGGACCTGGACTGGGACCTGGACTGGGACCTGGCGCGGGAGCTGGGGCCGTTGGTGATGAGCGCCCGTGTGACGAGGTTCGGGCTCGAGCTCGAGGCAGGAGCAGCAGCAGGTGCTGTCGTGGTGGTAGCAGCAGCAGCAGCGACGGCAGTGGCCGTGGCCGTGGCCGTGGCAGTGGCAGGCAGTGGCAGCGGAGGAGTAGTGGCAGGTGCAGGCACGGGTGTCGAGGCAGGTGCAGCCGTCTCGGTGCAGCGGCCGTCACCGTTGCAGTGGCAGGGGCGGCTTCTTGGTCGAATTAGGGGGACTGCCGAGAGCGGTCTAGCGGCGCGCGCATCGAGTCCCAGCATTCTGGTCCCCTCCCCGGTCCTTCAGCTCGCTTCCGTCGTGCGCCTTCAGGGCCGGCCTGGTACCCCCCCGGAGGCAGCTAAGGTTGCTCGTCGGCGTAGAGAGCGGGATGAACTGTGATCAAAAGAAGGCAATGGACCAAAGTGTGTGTGTGTGTGTGTGTGAGAGAGAGAGAGAGGGGCAAGCTAGGCAGCCAGTGGACGGAAGGGTAGAAAAGCTTGGGAACAGCAGCCCTGCTTATGGATATATAACGACGGGACAAGGGGGTGAGAGAGAGAGAGGGGAGGGGGCGGGGCAGGGGACGAAGGGCAGGAAAGAAAGAAGAAGACTTGACCACTTTTAGGCGTTTTCTTTCTTGTTTGCTCGCCGTTGCATTTGCATTTGCATGGCTCCAGCTCCTCTTCTTCTTCTTCTTCTTCCTCCACTTCCAGCTACTGGCACGCCGGCGCTGTAACGGTCTGGCCGATCTGGTGTGGGTGTGTGTGTGTGTGTGGTTCGTCTGGCTGTCTTGACAGTCTTTTTTTGGCCAGGCTGGCGGCACTATGGATGAGGCACTGCAAGGGCAGACATGCGTGTCTGAGCGTGCGCGAGCTTGTTACAGGCTCACGCCGTGGATGGGTGCCCGCAGGACGAGCGCGATGAGTCGTCGTTGTGGGGAAAGGGAAAAAGAAATCAAGAGAGGCACGCCGTCGTTGAGTGGACGCCCCTTTGCAACCAGTCGGGAGCCCAAGTCCATATATCGACGGGTTCTGTGGTTCGCCATCGTCCTTGGACACGAGACTGCGCGACTGCGCAACTGCACGACTGCACGACTGCGCGACGACGAAACTGCCCGTCGCTCGTGGCGGCAAACAGGGCGATCCTGGTGAGCGCAGTCCCGAGTGTCAAGGAACGTGGCAAGACGTGTCACCAAGGCCCTTTTGGGCCGAAATTACCCATGAACGAACAACCCCTTTTGGGATTTCCAGTGACCCCCCCTTCTCATCATGGGTATGCAGGTAGGTCGGTGCTAGTCAGGGGTTGCTGTATCATCAGATCGGCAAATCTGGTAGGGCTCAATCGGCCTTGGATTTGGGACGGAAGCCGAACCAAACCGAACGCAGCAGACTGTAGCATATACAGAGCTGCACCCTGGTCTCGAGGCCCCCGGCAAGTCGCTGGTCCGGTCAGTCGAAAGAAGAAGTCCATCGAGTATTGTCCAGAACTCTCTTCTACGCGAGGGCCGCTCATGTCGGCGCGCCCGATTCTCACTTTCCCGTCGCCAGGCTTCAATGTCATGGCGGGCCGGGGGTGGCAGGGTGGCAGGCTGCGTGCGCAGCAACCGTCTGTGCGTTCAAAGCCGCATAAAAGTTGGAATTGGAGGAATTTCGAGGGCTTGACGACGCGCCAGCCCTGCTCGTCGTCTGGTCTCCGGATCAGCCGGTTGATGGACGCGCTGTGCTCGTTATCGTGTTAGGCTACAGACGATGTCAGGCTATCGAGATGTCAGGCTACCGAGATGTCAGGCTACCGAGATGTCAGGCTACCGAGACGTCAGGCTACTGAGAAGTCAGGCTACAGATGAAAGAATAGCATGAGCATTGCCATTGCAACGTTAGGATCGATGCATAACAAAAGGGTTGGTCGTCATTGATGAGATGCAACCCGGGGAACCATGCATGCTGTGGCCTGCAGCCCTTGTCCCTTGAAGCCATCTCCAGAAGTCCATTCTCGGCTACAGTGCAGCCTTTCACTAGCGTCTCTTTCAACCCAGGCAGGCATTTTTCTGATGCACACGTCTGGGAGAAAAAGAGAGTGAGTTGAGTTGAGTGCGGTGGACCACCTCTGGGGCCTCCCACCACAGTAACTTGATCGACAGACATGCCACGACATGCCAGACGGCCTTGGTTTGTGTTGAGTGGCGTGGCTCGCTCGATACGATACGATACGATATGATACGCCATGGTTTTACCTGCCCACCGACCTGCCTCGTGGGGCCAACGATTAATCAGCGGGAAGGAGGCCCCCTCCCCTCCCTCCACCTTGCGTCGAGGAACGGAGGAAGCGACTCAGGAGCCGGCCATCTGATCTTTCCCCGCGGGGACAGAGAGGTGACGTGATCCTCCACTCATCACCTTTACATACAGGACCTAGGGCAAGTACCCAGCTACCTAAGGTAGGTAGTACCCAGGTATGTAAGGAGGCACCTGCATCGCATCGCATCGACCCGAGGGTCAAGAAGGCACCTACGTGTTGGCAAAGCCAAGACAACTCTTATCTCGAGCTGAGGACAGAAACCCCATGGCCTCAACGTAGCACCACCTCTGCTGTAGGCTGTAGACCATTGAGTTCATTCAGCTACCTACACAAAGCATGGCTGTCACCCAAGGCAAATAGACACGACGTCACCTCCAGTTCCGTCCATCAATGAGGGGCCGGCCTCGAGCTGAAGCTACCTACTTAGGTAGCCAGCTAGCTTGTACCTCCAGCTGAGTTGGCAGCCCATGCTACGCATCATGACAGGCTCATCACGCTCCGTCACTTGCCACAGTCCTTCTTTTTTCCTTCTCGTACAACACACACAGCGTACTACTGAGACAGCGACATTCCGCCCCCCCGCTCGGCGCCCGCGACTCTGACTTCCTGCCCATCATCATCGCCCTGCCATTGTCAGATGTACCCACCCCTACACCTGCCACGGCTCTTCCAGCCAGGCAACCCTTCCGCCGGCCTCGTCCTCCCGTCTTCGAAGCTGATGCGGCCAATGTGCACGCAACAAACGTGACCCGCCATCACCAAACCATGTCTGACGACAGTCCCCCACGCGCGCCGCCGCCGCCGCCGCCGCCGACTCTTCCCAACATGACGAACACGACGACGGTCAAGTCGCCGCCGCCGCCGCCGCCCAACGGCCACGCCATCCGTCGCGCGAACACCATCGACGAGTCCTACCGCCGCCCACGATCCTCCGTCACGTCGGCCGCCGCCACAGCTTCTGGCCCCTATGACGTCCCCCGCAGGAGAGACTCGACCCTCTCCGACTACAGCCTGGGCGACGCCGGCGGTCTCTTCAACCCAAAACCCCTCGGCCACAAGCCCTCGGCCGAAGACGGTTCCAAGTGGACGCACCTGCCCATCGCCTTTGCTCTGCTGCCCGCTGTCGGGGGTATCCTCTTCCAGAATGGCAGTGCCATTGTGACGGACGTCATGCTGCTGGGCTTGTCCGCCGTTTTCCTGCACTGGTCCGTGACGCAGCCGTGGTGCGTCTACACCCCTCCCCCCCCTTGACGCGACATGATCGTTTGCAAAATACAACAACGTGAGCTGACACCGTCACCAGGAACTGGTACCATTCCGCGCAGGAAGTACGTCTCCACGAGGAGCTAAGTTCATCCCTCGCGGTCGACGACGAGAGCGATCCCGATCCCACAAGCGAAACCGAGCCCGCGGACGCGTCTTCCGCCGAAGCCAAGCCTGACATCAAACGACGAACAGCGACGGACGCGACATCAGATGCTCTCGCCGAGCTGTACCTGCACGAGGTCCTCGCCTTGGCCTCGTGCTTCTTCTTCCCCATCCTGGGAGCCTACCTCCTCCACACCATTCGGGCGCAGCTCAGTCGGCCCTCCGAGGGCCTCGTCTCCAACTACAACCTGTCCATCTTCCTCCTGGCTGCCGAGCTGCGTCCCATGTCCCACATGATCAGACTCGTCCAGTCGCGCACACTGCGACTCCAGCGCTACGTCCACGAGAACCCCTACAGTCAGGTCGCCGCCAACAGCACTCACATGGCCACGCTACAGGAGAGGATCGAGGCGCTCGAAGCGCGCCCGGCATCAGCAGCAGCCACAACAGCGGGCACGTCGCAAAAACAGCAGCAGAACGGCGCCGCCGAACAGAAGCAGCAAGCCGCCCTCTTGCGCGACGTCCGCAACGCGATCCAGCCCGAACTCGACGCCCTCAACCGCGCCGTGCGCCGCTACGAGAAGAAGGCCACGGTGCTCGCCATGCAGACCGAGTCCCGCTTCGCCGTGCTCGACGCGCGCCTCGGCGACGCCATCGCCCTCGCCGCCGCCGCCGCCAAGAACAGCGCCGCCCAGCCCAGCCTGCTGCGCTGGCTCACCGAGTCGGCCTGGAGCCTGTGCATGCTGCCGTTTCGCGCGCTGACGTCGGTTCTCTTGCTGCCCTTCAGGACGCTGCTCGGGCTGCTGAAGCGCCAGAAGCGCGCGCCGGACAAGACGGCGCGGTCCGCCCGGTCGGTACGGCCGTCATCGGGCCAGTCGCGCTCCGGTAGCGATAGGCCGCTGAGCCGACTGTCCCGGTGGTGACCTGGCAGCCTTAGGGACAGCACGGCATGTTTCTCTGGTTGTGCGCGGCGTTCTGTTTTCTCCACATGTGGGCAGCCGGGGAGGGCGGCTCGGTTTCGATACCAGGACAGTCAAGACGAGACGGAAGGGACCACGGATGGTGGTCGACAGCATATCAAACCTGATGCAATAATATTTATCCCCGTTTTCCTTATACAGCATGCCTCTGACGAGGTGGCACGTGATTGATTGCAAAATCTCAATTGGTGAACTGCTAATCGTCACAGTGGAAAGAAATGACAAACGGATGCCTAGTGACGACCTTGGTCAACCGGCTGGAATGCGCATTCTATCCTTGGCAGGCATACTAAGACAGGCAAAGCGATTGAGTTCAATAGGCATGCCGGCCACCTTGTTCAGTCAGGTGATTGTTACGAGGAACGCGGGACGTCGTGAACCATCGACGGGTCCCGACCTCCGCCGCCCATGCTTGTCGCAGACTGCGGCAGAGGCGGACGAGGCAAGGAGAACGGAGAAGGAGACCTTTGGCTGCCCTTTCTTCACAGACGAGGCCGGCCAAGGCCGTTTTCAAACGAAGACTGGCAAACGATTGAGCGGCTCCTTCATCCGCACCATGGACACGAACTTTTGCAGGGGGGCGGTTTTCGATCGATCTTGAGATCGCCATCTGTGTGCCGTCCCCTATTCCCAAACTGGCTCGGGTTTCTACTGCCCTTACATCTATCTTCCAGACAGCTGCAAGGTGCTCTTTCCCTGAGACCTGGGGGTTGCAAGATAGCATCTTGTTCGGGTGTCCCCTTGACTCTCTCGGAACGGCGACTCTATTCGAGGCGTTCTGTAAGACCAGAAGCCGCTGACAAGCAAGCAACATATATTGACTTCCGCGCGACCTTCGAACCAGCCCCCAGCCGGTCGAGAATCGAGGCCATTCGAGGCCATCCGACAGTGTGCTACGGGAGCCACTTGGTCCGGTGGCGATGTGAGAACACAATGTCTCGTGGTCCTGCTCCGCGCACCGTCGCTGTGCGAGGCTCAGGAGCAAACTGCAGGGTGGAGATTTTGCCTTGAAAGCAGCCGAGACACGCGGGTCAAAGGTCTCAAGGAAAGAAAGCAGGCCTGTGTCACATGTCTCGTCGAGGTTTATGGAGTTTCCGGGAGGACAGACGTCTCGTCGCATTCTGGCCCTGTAAAAGCCGACATAACGTGGGACAAGCCTTGGCTTAAATCAGACCTCAATATCCATCTTCGTTTGATGAGGCAACGGTTCCATGGCATTCATTCCGCACCATGGCTGCGCTGTGATGGTACTAGGCGTTGCCAGTGGGTGTTATCAATGTGCCGTGTTAGCCCGGATTATCGGAATCATTTGATGGCCCACATACAGCGTGCAAGAGGGACGTTCTTTTGACGGTGGTCTGAGCCCCGCTGGCCTTGTCGTCTCCGATGCGAGCGCGATACTGGGTCCAGAATCAACACAGATCACGACACGCAGGGTGGAGCGATGCACGCGGCTGCCGAGATTACAGTCGGTGAATATTCCGTCATGAACCCCCTGTTCAGACGAACTTTCTTCTCCTGGCTTTGCTGCACTGACCACCTCATGTGGAAGAGACGCCGGAGAGCCAGATGGACATGCTGCGTTGTGGCGGGCATTGCGCGTCTTCCTCTGTGTTGTTCAGCTGTGCGTTGTGTTGGCGAGGAGGGTGAGACGTGAACATGAATGGTCGGGGACTGTTGGTTGATCGAGCCGGTGGCCGAGCTTGAGCTCCCATCGTGTCCACCTTGGCGCGGAGCCCGGGTCGCTGGAGAAGACTGGCGCAGCGTGTCCGTCAAACGACAATGTTATCTGATGCCACTGTGATGACAATGGAGGGTGATATGACAGCTCCATCCAGCAACATGTCGATGGCGTCGCATTACGTGGGGCAGCGTAGTTTTGGAGACGCGTCAACATGGGCCATGTGAAGATTTCTGACGATACCATGACGGCGCTCTTTCTGGAAACAACCCGCCTGGGGGAGAGAGATTGATAGCAGGACGAACAAAGTCGACTCGGCCGACCACAACAGCCCGCATCCTCATCATTTCGGCCTGTGCCTCGAACACGGATGGGGAGGGGGGCATCTGCAGCTGAGCTGGGCGAAGTTACACAGACGAATGCATGGGGTGGTTGCAATTCACACCCGACAAAGGCTGCTCAACTCCGGACAAGAGTCTGGAGGTCCGATGGGGCTCTCAATCGGTCGCCTCATGTCGTTGGTTCGGCAGTCGACGCGGCGTCAAGAACCTTGTCAGTGTTCAGTGTGATCAAAAACGGAACAAGAAGACAACCAGGCTGGCTGCGGTCCGCTGGTGCTTGAGGTACAGGTCCACAACAAGGTACTTACATAGTACCATGTACGCAGGTGGACGTGGGGAAGTTTTGTTCCTCCATACCACCGTCCATGGTCGCATTGGCGCTAGACCGCACAATTGCCTGCTGTCTAATGACAACCCACAACGAGAAGCAAGACGCAGCGTTTTTACTTCTTCTCTTCGATTCATTGGCAAAGCTGATGGAATAGCTCGACCGACGAGGTAAACTGCCATGGTGGATCTCGTCTTTTCTTCTGGTACGGCTGACGCATTGGAATTGGGATGACAGGCTGATTGGGCGGGCATAGGGGCTGCTTGACTCGATTTGATATCGCATTGATGGCTGGCCCCGAAGAAGAAAAGCTGCCGCAGCTGCTTGATCACCGCCTCAAACAATAGGGGTCACTCGCCTGGCTTCGCCCAGGAAACCCTGCTGCCATGGATTGAAAGCATGATCCAGCCAGCATGTACGTGCTGCCAGCCACAAGGTTGGTCAGAGAAGGGTGCTCTCTGGGAGACGTCTGGCAGCCAGAATCAAAGGTTGGGAATGAGATAGCTCATGTCTCTGAAATTCATTCGTCGCCTGCCTGGTCATGGTTGGACGGGGCTCCGTCGGGTATGGCCCCCCCTCCCCCTGCCTTGCCTGTTTCCTTCCTTGACCGAAGGTGCCCAGTACTTCCTCGGCCGATTGGCGCCCGGTGACCGGGAGGCAGGTGAAGTCGAGATTCACGGGAGGGAAGTACATGTAGTGGGGGGGGGGAAGGCAAGGCCCAGCAATAGTAGCAGGTGCAGTGGAGAATGATCAGCGTGTGTTCCTGACGGAAAGACACGCTAGAGCAGCCAAGGCTGTGAAAGAGCCGGGACAGGCAGGGGCGGGTGCCGTGGGATGAGGAGAATGGCGCTAGTACCTTCCCAAGAACAGTACATGGGCTCCACTTTCTACACAGCACCCCTGTCGATGTAATTTCCAAAGCTCCGACTGACCTCACGCGGTCACTCAACCACAACCATTCATCCATGGCTCTCTGCCTCGGTGTTCCCTCAACGACTTTCGTCTGAGACCTTGGATTCGATCGTCTGTCCCTGGAGAGAGCGAGAGAGCGACAGAGAAAGAGCACAGCACAAGCACACACCTCCGTTGGCGCCACAGACCCCGTGCAACCGCTGAAATCCATAGAACGTGTCGACCAACGACAAAGCCTTGGCTCTGCTTTTCAGAGACCAGAAATCTGAGTGGGCCATGTGCAAACAACGCCAGCTACCTAGGTAGATCATGGCACAATTACGACGACGCGCGAGGCTCGCGTCTCTGTCTGTCTCTGTCTCTGTCTCCGTCTCTGTCTCTGTCTCTGTCTCCGTCTCCCGTTCCGTCATTTCAACGCCAACCATGCGCCTATGAACTCTGTTCGCCATCCATCCAAACGTACTGATGTTCCTCTGGACCATTTCAGTCACTGCCACCACGCATAACATTGGGCAGACGCCTCTGGCCTGCTCCCTGATGCCACGGTTTGATCGCCTTCGGAGCACGGCAAACCAAAGCACGTCCTCTGTCCCTCAAGGGCTGCCACACGGCACAAGGGCCAGGGTCGTTTCCCTCATCCTCATCCTCATCCTTCTTCGTCCCAGACCAAGCTCCCTGTCTGCCTGCTCGTTCACCCCCCTCCCCTCCTCTCCTAGCCTCTACCCGCCCCTCCTCCAAGGACCAAGGACCGAGACCAGCTAGTCTCACCTTCTTTGCATCTCTGGTGGCGTCCTGGTCCCCAAGATCCGTCCAGATCAACCCCCCCTCCTGTCCCCCCTAGTAACCTATTCTCTGTCGGCTGCTAATACCGCTCCCCGTCCGCTCGACATTTTCTGATCTGCTCTGCTCTTGTCCTTGATCCGGTACTGAGTCTCTCACCTTCTTTTCACCTCTCGAGCTTCGGAATCCAACATCTTCGCCAGTCCGGCTGCACCCGCCACAGTCGAATATGCTTTGGCCTTGATACCTCCCCCCCCCACTGGCGACATCTCGGCGGCCTCTCCAACCTCTAGGACTATACCCGACCTGTACAAACACACCCCTCTCCCCAAAGCCACTGTTCGTCATGATGTCCAAAGGAAATCGCCTGTTGGCCTTCTTGTGCCTTGTTCTTCTCTTCCACGTTGTTGCATCCCGCGTCTTGGACTTGGAGCCTCGACAGCAGGATGGACCGCAGGATGCCTCGCCATCACTTTCACCCTCACCCTCACCCACACAGCGAGCTTCCCAGACCGGCGAGGTAGCCGCCACTACGACCAATGGGTCCAGTGACGAGGAAGAGACTGCCTCGGCGTCACCAAGAGGCTCTGCCACCAGCGCCTCGGACAATGCATCGGTAGCCCCGACGCCCTCTGGCCTCTCCGAAGATGACAGTAACATTGATCTCTTCAACGGTAAGTAGCTCACGGTATGCATGTGCTGATGATACCTGTGCTCAACCTCACCGATGGCTCGCCGGATCCTATGGCTGATCACCTTACAGCGACCATCCCTGAGGGCCAACTACCACTGCAGCCTGAGATCACGCCTGGCTGGGCCGTTTCAGGAGTCCTTTTACTTCTCTCGGGCGCTGTGTACACCCTTATTGGGATCAAGAACACATGGCTCCACACGTTCTTCTCAACCGCTTACCTTGCGAGCCTGGGTACTGCCGTTCTGATCGTTTACGTCATGGAGCCTCCCATCAGTAGCGGTATTCAGGGTGCCTATGTTGTTGCTGTGGCCTTGACCGGTCTCATCCTTGGTGGTGTAACGACTTTTTTCAAGGAGGTTACTGAGGGCCTTGGTTGCATGCTCGGCGGCTTCTGCCTCAGCATGTGGCTGCTGTGCCTACGGCCTGGTGGACTTTTCCACGCATCGTCATCAAAGATTGTCTTCATCGCCTGCCTCACCCTGGGCAGTTTCGCCTTCTACTTCAGCCGCTACACCCGCGATTACGCCCTCATTGTATGCATCGCCTTCAGTGGCGCTACTGTCGCTGTACTCGGCATTGACTGTTTCAGCCGGGCTGGTCTGAAGGAGTTCTGGGCTTACATCTGGGATCTCAACGAAAACATATTCCCACTCGGCGCGACCACCTACCCTATGACAAGAGGGATTCGGGTAGAAATAGCCGCGATTATTCTCATCTTCCTTGCCGGCATCATCTCTCAGATGAAGCTCTGGAGAATCATCAAAGAGCGCCGTGCTGAGAGGGCCGCCAAACGAGCCGAAGGCCAGCGCAACCTGGAAGCCGAAGAAGCCAATGTTGGCCGGCAGATCGAGGCCGAGAACGCGCGTGAGCGGCGCGAGTGGGAGAGGGCGTACGGCAGTGGCGAAGGGCAAAGCACAGCAGGGTCCTCTGACTCGACCACAGACTGCGAGAAGCACCCTGAAAAGGCGGTCGACGGCAAGTCCAGCAGAGCGCAGTCGACGGTCCACGTACAAGCTATCGAGATGGACGACATGAAATCTACGGGATCTGCTGAAGCCCCCACCCAGAAAGCGCCCGGCGGAATCATGGTTTCGCCTAAGGAGAATGACGGAATCGTCACCGTCAGGGTAGCACGAGACGACGACACTTTACCGGCTGCCATAGGCGAGGGAGGTGAAGATCTGGACGAGAAGCGCCCGCCTCCCCAGGACCAGGGGGTGCAAAACATTGCGCCAGGAGCTCACGTCGCTGGTTATTCATCTGGCGAGCCCGCAGCCCCTGCGCCGCACGTCGTTCCTCTGCCCTTCAAGGTTCCCAACGAGGGTGACAAGGGGCTGAATCAAGATGATGACCGGTCATCGGTGGCTACTTTTGCCGCTGACGAGGTAGAAGATGCTCGGGATGTCAACAAACGGCACTCGATGGCGAAGCGTCTCTCACAGAGCTCCATTCAACTGCTCAGGCGGGTTTCACAGCGTACAGCCCGTTCTATTCAGCACGAACCCAGTCACAGCCAAGAAGAACTTGTCATTCCTAAGGCGCCCCGGGGCGATGATGATGGATCGGTGGCTGCCACCATGGACATCGCGAGCCTTGATGGTGACGATCGCTCAGTGGCGGGAGAGAGTCGCCGTAGCTTCGAGATCAATGCCGAACTCGCGGACAAGGACAAGTCGGATCCGACAAGCGGTAACCAGAAGACGCCGACCACCGCTCAGCAGCCAGACGTCGCCTCCGCACACGCCGACAAGCACATCTCCACCGCGGAGACTGTTGCGACGGACATTCTGAACGCCGCGGATATAGAAGGCGGTGGCAAAAACGAGGGCGCGGCTCCGACTGCGCCAGCGGATCGCTTGAGTATGGCAACTGCCGTAGAAGCAGCACAAGAGGAAGAAACATTGGCCGCGCGTTCTATACAGCAATCGCCTAAGGCTTCAGTCAAGGGCAAGTCGGTGGCCTCGGTAGAGTCCACGCCAGCCAGCCTGACGCAGGAGCGCCTCCCTATTGCGTTGTCACGCGTGGCCATGTCATATCGGACGAACGAATGGGCGAAGCATCTGAGCCGTGCCGACATGCCAGAGCCGGACACCCTGCAGCTTAACGATTATGTCGCTGAGGAGATGACCGCCAACCCAAAGAACGAGGTCGCGAGGCCTCTGAACGTCGAGGAGCTGCAGCAAACAGCAAACACTGGAGCTCCTACGCCCAACCCACCTCTTCAGTTCGATCCTCAATCGTTGACTGCTTTGACCCGTGCCGACTCGCGCCAGTCCAGCAAGAGCCCTGTGGTGCCCAGCGGTGCTCGGGACACCATGATGACGTCGACCACTGCGGCCTCGGTTGTACCTGGCTTGTACAAACATTCGAATCAATCTGGCCCGCTGAATCATCAAGCCTCGATGACGGGGATCAGACGATCATCAACGAATCTTCATATACAGCCCATTACCGAGGAGGCCCAGGACGTGCAGGCAAAGCGGCGGAACAGCTCTGGCGCAGACTCGTTTGTGCCATCGTCGCCAGTGGCAGCGTTTGTCGCAGACCGGCCGCCTGTCCCCGGCGTGGTAAGCTACTCGAGCCCTCAAACCTTGCTGGGACAGCGGGAGATGTTCCTTCGTAACAAGTCGAACCCACCGCTGCCCAGCATGATGACCATGCCAGACATGCAGGGCGCCGCACGCACGCCGAGCGAGTCCGGCTCTCTGTACAACTACCCGGCCTACGGCTCTCAACCCTTGCCTCGGGCGCGGGACAACGACGACATGCCCATGGCGCAGCGCAAGGAGCTCATGCGCCAGAGCGGGCTTCTGCGGTCCTCGGGATCCTATGGGTCGCTGCCGCCAGGGGCTGTCACGTACACGCCGCCGCCAGCAGCATCAGCTGAAACCCTGGCATTCGACTCGCACCAGCCCCAGAGGTACTCGACTCTGCCATCCGAGGCGGCTCGGAACTCGCAACTGGCCAACTTCAGGCAATCAGTTCAGCAGGATCTTCGCGCAGGCACCCCGCTTGGTGGGCAAGGCAGCGGTCGTGAGACGCCATTCCACAGCGCGCAGGCAACAGGCGCCGGTGGTAATGACCTAAAACGGAGCCTTGATGTGCAACGCAGCCTATTGTTGAGCCAGAAGGAGGCCGAGGCGCAGAGGCGGGAGATGGAGCGCTGGGAGAAAGAGAGGGGCGACCGGGCGTTTGCTGCGAGGATGCAGAGCGGAGACCTCATGGAAGCGCATCGTGATATCATGCGACGCATGCAGAGCCAGGCAAACGTGAAGGATGAGTGAAGCGACAGGAACTCGTGACGACATTCTTTCAGTACTATCTTTGGTGTTTTCTCATTTTGTATACTTAGATACCACGGCACGAACTGCATCTCGGTGTTGGGATCTGGAGAAAGGGGTGTGGGCCCCTCCTAGTTCAAGGTCAAGACCATGATATTGAGACGACATGATCAATGTTCATTCCGACGAACAGAACGTCTTTGGGCTGAATGATACGCCGTCCGCCAAGCCACGCAACAAGTAGCTGTGCATCGTAGTCTGCACGGAACAAGACAACCCCGCCCAACCCAATGTCGGTCGGCAATCCGGGTGTTGGCCGACGTGGGCCGGTAATAAACCGGGGGTGGTAACCGCCCGAGAGGGAAGGAGGTGACGGTGATCGTGATGCCGAGACGCCGCTGAGCGTCATTCATTACGCAAAGCACGCGCTGCGTTTCTGCTCCATGGCCCCATCTCTGCCGTTTCCTCTTCAACTTTTTCTTTTGCAACTTGTAATCGTCGAGACCATTATGCCTCGGTGTTGTCGTGACCATGCCCGAGGACATTGAGCACCAAAATGGCCAGCACGAGGCGCACGCGGAACACGGCTTTCGAGACACGAGTGGCCGTGACGGGGCACCGGCGGAGGTGAAGAGGGAGGACGACGGCGAGGGTGACGTCGGACGGGCGCCGAAGCCGCCATGGCGCAGGGTCGTTGGGTTTATCCTGGCGCAATGGCTCATCATTGGTTTCGGCGTCGCGTGCTTGTTTGCGTACTTCTGGCCCCGTACGTACTAAAGGCTCTCCTCGCGACTCGGCTACTACAGAGAAGGATACATGGAAGGCTGACGAGCAGGGTTGGCAGACGTCGCGGCCAAGGGCGGGCCCATCCGCTCCGAGTACAGCATCATCTACGGCGCCATCGCCGTCGTCTTCCTCATCAGTGGCCTCCAGCTGTCGCCCGTCAAGCTGCGCGAGCACGCGACCAACTGGCGCCTCCACCTGCTCGTGCAGGGCATTTCGTTTGTCGCCATCCCCGTCGTGCTGCTGGTCGTGCTGCACGTCTCGGTCGCCGCCGGCGCCCTGCGTGACGGCGTGCTCGACACGAGCGTCTTCGTCGGCATGCTGGTGACGGCGTGCCTGCCGACGACGATTGCCTCCAACGTGGTCATGACGCGCTGCGCCGGCGGCGACGATGCGGCCCACATCATCGAGGTCGTTCTCCGGCAAAGTGCTAGGCGCCTTCCTCTCGCCGGCGCTCGTCTTTGCATTCCTCAACAAGACGCCGCCCTTTGCGCCCTGGCAGCCCGCGAGCCCGTCGACGCTGGGCCCCATGTACGCCGGCGTCCTGCGCCAGCTGGGCCTCACGGTCCTGCTGCCGCTGGCCGCCGGCCAGATCGTCCGCCGCTTCTTCGACGCGCCCGTCTCCCGGGCCCTCCGCGTCCTCCGCCTCGCCAAGCTGTCGGGCGTCTGCCTCGTGCTCCTCATCTGGACGACCTTCTCCGGCGCCTTCCACACCGGCGCCCTGCAGGACACGCCGCCCGCGAGCATCATCTTTACCGTCTTCATGAACCTCGCCCTGTACGCCCTCTTCACCGTGCTGTGCTTCGTCGCCGCGCGGCCGCCCCTCGCTCTGGCGCGGCCCGTCAACGCCCGCGTCGCCGACGGACGCTTCTGCCCGCGGTTCCTGCGCCGCGCGCTGCGCATGCGGCGCATGCCGCGTGATCAGACGGTCGCCGTTTGCTTCTGCGGCGCCGCCAAGACGACGAGCCTCGGCATCCCGCTGGTGGCCGCCATGTGGCGGGACGCCGACGACCTGACCGTGGCACTGGTCCAGGTTCCCCTGCTGCTGTACACGATTGAACAGGTCTTCGTTGCCCAGGGGCTGGTGTACTTCTTCCGTTGGTACCTGGACAGGCCACCTGCTGAGGGGGAGGCGGACGATGCGGAGAAGCAGCCAGGGTGAGGAGGAAGGTGAAGAAAGGATGAGGGGTCGGATGGGGTAGTAGCCTCGGCGGGTGGCCGCTGTCATCGAACAGGGTATGGCGGGCGGAAGTTCGTCCTGCGTCGACATGTCGGGAACGGCATCTGGCAGCGCTGCCGCCTGCCGAGAATCCCATCGAGGTAGGCCCCGGGCGAGGGGATTAGCTAGCGATGCATAACAGGAGGTCATATTGGTCTTGTGAGCGTCATGTGGGACGCGGAGCTTCTACCGTCCGTATGATGAAATCTTGGGTCCCTATGATAAGCATGCCATCAAGTGCACACATGGTCGTCGATTAGCCAAATTTCGTGTCCAGGGTCCCTGGTGCATAGATTCATCTTTCATTTCATCTGGCAGGGGAGCTAGATCCCGTGCCCTAGCCAACTTTCATACATCATGAAGCGGGTGGAAGCCATTCCTCCGCATGCCTGGCCTCTGTCATCCGGTATACACAACAATTTTCCTAAAACGGAAGCCCGTCTCTTTCAACGGGCTCCTCACGCTCGCCCTCCTCTAGCGAGGCACACTCAGGACTTCTCAATGACGCTGTCGAACAGAGCCTTGAGGCTCTTGGCGCTCTTCTTGGGGTAGCGCTTCTGGTCGTTCTCGTAGTCGACGTAGGTGACGCCGAAGCGCGTGACGTAGCCCTCGGCCCATTCGAAGTTGTCGAGCAGAGACCAGGCCATGTAGCCCTGGACCTTGCAGCCATCCTCAGAGACGGCCTTGGCCATAGCCTTGACATACGTGTCAAAGTACTCGGTACGCAGGGTGTCGTCGAGAATCTCGTCAATGGGCTTGTCGGACTCGCCGAGGACAGACGTGCCGCTCTCGGTGACGTAGATGGTGGGGTAGTTGTAGCGCTTGGACAGCCAGTTGATGAGGTCGCGGAAGCCCTGGGGGTTGGGGCGCAGCCAAGGCGACTCGGTCTCGGGGCCGATGCAGTCGCCAGCCTTGTTGTAGAAGAGGCACTCGAGGTTTCCGAGGTGGTCCTCGGCGGGGGGAGTGCCGTCGAGGTGGCGGACGTAGTTGGCGGTGTAGTGGTTCATGCCGTAGAAGTCGTTGGAACCCTTGACGAGAGCCTCCTCCTCAGGGGTGAACTCGGGCAGACGGTCGCCGAGCTGCTTGCGCATCGAGTCGGGGTACTTGCCGAAGTAGACGGGGTCGGCGAACCACGAGATGGCGAACTCAATCTTGCGGTTGGCGGCCTCGACATCCTTGGGGTCCTCGGGATCCCAGGGGTAGGTGGCGTCACCGTTCAGGGTGATGCCAATCTGGCCCTGGTCAGTGGGCTTGAACTCCTCGCGGTAGACCTTGACGGCACGGCCGTGGGCGACGAGGAGGTTGTGGCCGACGATCCAGGGCTCGCGGGAGGTGTCACCCTCGGCAGAGCGCTCGCGATCAGAGGTGCGGCCGGGGGCGAAGGCGCCAATGCCGTAGCCGAGGATAGAGGAGCACCAGGGCTCGTTGAAGGTGATCCAGTTCTTGACCTTGGGGAGGGCCTTGAAGACGACGCGGGCGTAGTTCTCAAAGTCGAGAGGGAACTCCTCGCGGTTCAGAAGACCGCCGTAGCGCTTGTCGAGACCAGAGGGGACATCCCAGTGGAGCAGGGTGATGAAGGGGGTAATGTCGTTGGCGAGCAGGTCGTCGACGAACTTGACGTAGTGGTCAATGCCGGCCTGGTTGATGGGGTCGTTGCGGCCACCCTCGGGGATGATGCGGGCCCAGGAGAGAGAGAAACGGTAGACCTTGGCACCGAGCTCCTTCATCAGGGCAATGTCCTCGGCCGTGCGCTTGTACGAGTCGCAAGCGACGACACCAGACGAGCCATCGGCAATCTTGCCGGGAATTTTGCAGAAGTCATCCCAAATGGTAGGGCCACGGCCGTCGGCGTCGATGGAGCCCTCAATCTGGTAGCTGCAGCCGTGACATGTGGTTAGCCAAGCAATTTCCCAGCAGGCCGGTTCTTGTTGTCGGTGGGGGGACGAGTGTCATGTATGAAAGGGCCCCGCCGCCAGGCCTGGGTAAATGGCATTATGGGGCGGAGGATGGAGAAGGTAGGTACATGTAGGAGAGGGGTAGCGGCCAGAAGAGCAGAAGCGCGGGGGTCAGGGGTCGTGAGGGCGGAAGGAGCAAACGCCGCCCGATGGAGAGAGAGAGAGAGAGGAGGGGGCTAGATGGAGAGTGATCGGATCCGTACAGCGGAAGTTCATCCGAAAGGGGCCAAGTCGCGAGGTTTTGCGAGGACAAAGAATGTGCGGTTGGGGTAAGCAACAATGGGATTTGCTTCATGGATCTTGTACTTACGCAGCCGTAGCGAAGCCCCAGAGGAAGTCGGCAGGAAGAGACATGGTGTGGGTTGCTGGGGTCTGTGTTTTACTCTTGGATCGTGGGGTATCAAGAGAGATTCTGGCCTTCTCGACGTTCGAATTTTGACCGGCAAAACTGGAGGGGCGACGCGAAGCGGGACGTCTGTGGGATAGAACCGCGCAAGGGATTCTATCGTCAAGACGAGAGGAGAGATGGGGATAGGTATCGAAGCGGGTGGTAGAGCAAAAAGAGAAGGGAGGAGAAGGAGGCCTGAGAGAAAGAAGAGACGACGATGGGCGCTTCTTATATCGCGATGGACGGGAGGCTAGGTGCATGACAGGCAAGCCTGTACCAGGATGCGATTCCCATCTCGTGGTCAATCAATGAATGGCATGGGCCACAACAGTCTGGTCAGGCATGGCGAGGCGGCGTGGTCTGCGGATGAGGGGCCGAGGCGGCTGCCCCGGGGCCCACGAGCTGTGATTCGGACCGTCGTGACCGAGAAGAGGCTAAGGGGTTGCCGGCCAGGGGGGGGGGGGAGGCGAGATACCCTAGCCTGACAGGGTCCATCGTGGTGTGGTCGGGTTGGGAGGAGATCGTGGTGGTGTGGGAGACAATCGTCAAGGAGACCAAGGGAAGCAAGCGAAGAGTGGCACATCGGGCGTAGAGAAGGCGAAGGCGAAGGAGAGAAGGGGAAGGGGGGGAGCCCAAACGAGGCCAGAAGTCACGTACCTGCAGACTGGTGTACCGTTGGGGGAGGGCAGGATCCCCCCTGGTGCACCCCTTCCTGCCCTTGGCTGTCACGTAAGGTAGGCAGTAACTGCACCGCAGGGCGCAACTACTTGTGCAGGGCAAGCAGTCAGGCAGGTATCACAGGGGCTGTTTACCCCGCCGTGGGGTTCTTCTACAGCGCGCAAGCAGAGTACGAACACCTGGGGAGGAGGTACCCAAGTACCTAAAAGCAGTGGATATCACCTGGGAGGGCAGTCGCTTTGGGGCGTCCTTCCCCACCTTTTTCTTTCCTTCCACCCGCAGGCTGGGGCCGCGCTTGCCCCGAATGAGGTGGGTGAGGGGGCAGAGGGGAGAGAGGGGTCATCCATGCATCTCACGCCCTGACGGCCAAAACCAAACGACGGCCCGTCTTTCCGAAAAAGCAGTGTTCTCTAGAGGACAGAAAGGGCCTCTCGCTCGGCACCCAACACCAAGCAGTCTTTTTCTCGTCGTTGGCCCCGTGAGCTTTTGCCGACACTTCCAGGTTTCGCCCTATGCGAGAGATATGCCGACTCGACCCCTTCAAACGAAAGCAACAAAACAGGAATACCCCAAAAAGGCAATTCCGCTGAGGAGGCTGTTTCGATATCCCGCGCGTGGAAACCCCGGATGACCTCTTTCTTTTCCCCCTCCCACCACGAGTCTGGGACTAACTACAGAACCAACATGTCATTCATCCATGCCGCTCGTCCCATGCCGCCGCTTCGGGATGGATCTCCAACGTACCATGTATGAGTCCCCGAGAGGGCCCCCAAGCTATTCCCATCCGAGCCTCCGTCCTTCAGGGATATATCACTACACTTTGGCTTATTTCGCCGCTTGGTCACAACAGGCACCTCAACCTCTCTCTGTCCCTCCGGACTTTCTCCGCCTCGCGATGCCTGTTCTCGATGGTTAATCACCCTATCCACTTATTCTTCTTGTTCTTCACTCTCGTGACCTTCTTGACCGGATCCATCCGTCCATGCAAGCCGTGCCCAACGTTGAACTGGATGCGTGCGTCTTCTCGAATCCTGCCGACCCGGGTGCACCCCTGGCCAGCAGGCTTGCCGCCGCCCGCCTCGCCTCACTGCAATTAATCAATGATCAACTTAAACAGGTCGATTGCAGGCCCCTCCGGCATCGCGAAACGACCGCTCATCTTGCTCTTCTTATCACATTTAAACAACTCACCACCGTCGTAGCATTCGGGTCATCAATGGCAGGGAAAGAGAGAAAAAGTGCGCATCGTCTCGAGCCCGGCTAGGCACGACGTCTTGTCCAGGCCCGCCTCAGCCGGCCCGGGACTGTCGAGCCAACGAGCCATCGGCCCTGCACACCCACGGAAACGGGAACCATAATCATTGGCACTCGCCATCCCGTCACTCGGGCTGCGCCTTTATCTGCCTGTCCCGTCGACAGCCCACATGAAAAATTCCCCGAAAGCCGCCTCTCAAAGTCCGTCGCACTCCCACCTTTCGCAACCCACCTCCAAAGTCATCTGTCTGTAGTTTCCAAGGATTGTGCTGCCAGTGCATATTCATCACGATGATAAGATTGAAGAAAAAGAAGTAGAGAATAAGATGAGGGCGAGGAAGAAGCATTTTCACTTGGGAACGCGGAGCATCAAGCAAAATACAGTATGATTCCTACTAGGCATCGTGGCGGAAACTTGGAAAACGAGATTGAGCATCTCGCATCTGGCATTGCGCGGATAGCTAGGACGCCGACCCAGAGACATCTCCACTCCCTCGTGACGCTCGGCGGCTCTCCCTCCTGCCGGCGCCCGCCTCGCTTCATCAATGATGCTCCCTCGTGGTACCGGCCATCCGTGAGCACGAGCACGAGTCGCTTTTCATACTCGGTGAGCAACAATCCGGGCCGCCTCTTCCCCCTTACCGAACTTCGGGGTTCGGGACGAGGGACGACGCCTCAGCCATGTAGCCTCTCAAGGCCCGAACCCATGCGCCATCCTGGTCTCTTTTTGCAACGCATATAGTACAGGTCGGAGAAACGCCATTGACTGCTCCATGCACGACATGGTACGTGACTCCCTCTTGCCAAGCAGAGGCCTAGCACGGCATAACGCAGCAGCACGGGCGATCCCATCAGCGCGTGCCTTCTGCAGCCGCATCCGAGTCGCCGCGGTCGCGCAGCTTGCGCTTGCCAGTCTTGGGGCCAGCATTGCTGTTGTTCCCGCTGCTCATGTCCACATCCTCGACCTCTGGCGCAGCGTTGCCGTCTCGGTCATCATCGTCCTCGGTCCACTCAACAATCTCCCACTTGACAGTCGTCGTGCGGCCCCTGCTCTCCGTGATACTGTGGCCCTGCCGCACCGTCTTTCCTAGTCGGGAACCCTCGACGAGGCTGTTGAACCAAGGCACGCTCTGGGATTCCCTGTTGGCAGCCGCGCCCCTCGTCGCCTGTATCGTCCTGACGCCAGACTTGTTCTCAGGCTCGACGTCAGGCTCAGAATCAGGCTCGGGCGACCTGGCTTCTTCGAGCTCAGGCAGTAGCCCCATGTCCTCGAGATCCCGCAGGTCCTCGCCGGCCAGGCTCGCGAGCGTCAGCTGGATGAAATCGGCCTCGCGCTGGGGCCGCTCCGTCCAGAAGGACAGCGGCGTGCCGCAGTACCCGCAGAAGTAGCGCTTTGTCTGCCGCTGCGCCGGGTCCTGGCTCTCGAAGACGCGGTGGATCATGGCGTGCGTCTCGTCAGGGAAGAAGGACGTCGTCGAGCTGCGGTGCCACGCGAGGGGCACGCGCAGGAAGGCGGCCAAGGGCGTGGCCAGGGAACTGCCTAGGGTGTTGTGTTAGCAGTGCCGCGAGGCAATCACTTTTGTTTGTTCAGCATTCTCGCAAGTGCTTGGTTGCACAAAGCAAAGCAAGCAAAGCAAAGCAAAGCATGGAGACGTGTAGGTTGAGATCCCCAATGAAAGCTTACGGTGCAGGGAGTCTGTGTTGAAAATGACCTGGGCCAGCTCGGTCTCGTTTTCTGGCACATCGATGATGTAACGATTGCGGCCACAGTGACAGCCCCCACGCAGCGGGCGGAGCAAACTCATTGTGGCAGGGGGGTGCTGGAGGTAGGTCGGAGAAGAGGGCCTGCGGGCGTTTGAGAGAAGCGCAGGAATTCGTCAGGGAGGTGATGAGTTGATGGAGGCTCTAGAAGAAAATGAACGCAATGAAATGGTGCGGAACTCCGGTCTTGGGGTGATGAGATGGGAACTGGACTGTTGCCTCGAAGAGTTGATAGGCAGCTAGGGAGCACAGCATGATCGTGACAGCACCAGCTCCAGCACAGTGCAGCTGCTTGCGGCACTCGTGGTGGGGCAGTTTCCATCCCTCACGAACCCCCACTTTCTGTCTCCGTTCACTGCTCTCCTCTCCGTGGCGCTGTGGCTGTGGCTGCTGCTAATCAGTGGCGCCGCTCACCGTTCACCTCAGTGACCGAGCTGGACACCGAGACCTCACCTCCCTGTTAATGGATGAGATGCGGACAGAGAGCGCCCTCCGTGCCCTGGTCCAGCCCGTCGAGAATCTCCATGTCCTCCCCCTCGAGCGCAAAGTCAAACACGTCGGCGTTCTCTCTCATCCGCGCCTCAGACGTGCTCTTGACCAACGGCGCCCATCCCTTCTGCAGGCTGTACCGCACCAGCACCTGCGCCGGTGTCTTGCCGTGCTTCTCGCCGAGTCGGCGCAGCGTCGGGTCTGCCATTTTCGTCCCGCGCACGAGGGGGCTCCAGGCCTGGACAACGATGCCGTGCCGTTCGCAGTAGGCGACGAGCGCCCGCTGCTGGCACCACGGGTGGAGCTGTCGGTCAGCACGGCGCTCTCTCCCTTTCCTGTATATGTATAGGTATATGTGTGTGTATTGACATGTAGGAAAAGGGAGGGGAAAAAGAGAGGGAAAAAAGAGAGGGAAATAAAGAAAAAATGGTAAACTCACCTCAATCTGGGTTCACGCTCGGCGGCCACCGCCCCGCATACACCCTCATCTCCTCCAGCTGCTCTGATCCCAATAGTTGCTCACCCCACCGGCCGCCTCGCCCCTCTCCCCTTTCACCGTCTCCAGCGCCCGCCACAGCGCCCGCCGCTTGCGGCACGTCCGGTGCACGAGGACCAGGTCGATGTAAGGGGGGGCCGTCTCGCCGTCGCCGTCGCCCTTGTCGTCGCAACCTGTCATGCGGCGCACGCTCGCGCGGACGGAGCGCAGCGTGCGGGCGGCGCTGCCGTCTTTGCGGTGGATCTTGGTCGTCAGGAAGACGGCGGCGCGGGGGAGGCGAGAGGCCTGCAGGGCGTGGCCGACCTTTGCTTCGTTGGCGTAGAGCTGTGCTGAGTCGATGTGGCGGTAGCCAACTGTCAGGGCGGAGAGGCAGGCTTGTTTGCAGGCTGAGCGCGGCGTTTGGTAGACGCCGAAGCCGAGGCGGGGGATGGCTGTGTCGGTGCCGGGCAGGGGGATCGTGTCGTGGAGGGAGAGGATGGCGGGTGGCGGCGAGGTCATGATGTCGGGGTTTTTTTTTTTTTTTTTTTTTTTTTTTTTTTTTTTTTTTTTGCTGTCAGGGTCAACAGTGAGTGTGAGAGGGTGAAGAGGCACTTGAGATGGAATTCGCCGGTTCAAATGTTGATGAGTCACCTGCCTGCACGAGACACGACAGAGTAAACACACTTTCATCTCATGTCAAAGTCAATTGAAATGGTATTCATTACCGATGCAGATCCAATGCTCGTCGCCATGGCACTGGTGGTCCCGGCAGACGTGAAAACTATACAGTGTCAGTGCGATGCCTCGCGTGCCTCGCTGCCTCGTGTGCCTCGCTGCCACCCAGCCCCCTTTGTCCGGAACGCCATGCCCATCTTCCCCGCGCCTGTTCTGGCGAGAGGAGAGACCCCGAAAAGAACGAGCCGCCAACGACAAGAAGACGGCTTGATTGTGAGACAACAATCAAGCCGTCTTCTTCTTCTTTTTGGGTCGCTCCTCGTCATCGTCGCCCCCGGCCTCGTCGTCGTCGTCGTCGCCGGCACCGCCCTCTTCGTTGTCGACGACACTCTCGGCATCCTCCGAGTCTGACGTCTCCGGGTTTGAATCGTACTCCTCGGCGACGTCGCTCTCGCTGTCGGCCCTAAAGTCCTCGTCGACGCTCTCCTCGTCCTCGTCGGCGGACCCGCGGTCTGCCTTGTTGCCGACGACCTCGTCCTCCGAGTCGTCCATGGCCTCCTCCCGCAGCGCGGCCTTGAGCAGGTTGGCGTCCTCGTCAATCTCATTCTTGACCCTCAGGTTCTTGAGCTTGAAGAACGTCTCCAGCCCCTTGAGGTCCTCGCGGCTAATGTTGCTGAACTGCGTCGAGCCGGCGCCGTTCTTCATGAGAACGGTAATATCAAACGTCGACAGGGCGGACACGGCGCCGCCCACGCGCGAAAAGGTGATGGACGCCGTCTGCTCGTAGGCAATGTACGTCGCTGGCTTGGGGATGAACATGAAGGCCTTCTCGAGACAGTACAGGAAGCCCTCGCTGGCCTTGATCGAACACTTGATGCCCAGCTGGTTGCGGTGCCTGGCGTGGGGGGGTCAGCAGTCGCCTCAACTTTTTTGTTTTCAGAAAAAAAAAAAAAAGAAAAAGGGTCGTCATACGTTTGGAAATCTTTCGCAGGCGTGGTCACCTTCTTATTGGCCAGGCCGCGGAAGATGTAGGTAATGACCTGGTGGAGAGGCTGCTCGTAGTGAGACTGCAGCTTGTCGCCGTACTTGTCCTTGATCTGCTCCTCGGTGAGGTTGACGTCGAGAGTGACCTCCTCGTCCTTCTTAAACTGCATGACGACAAAGGGGTATCTCGTCTGGCCCTGCCTCAGGGGAGGATCCAGGCCCACGCAGAGCATGACGTGCGCGTCATCCGGCTTAGGGAGCACCATGAACTTCTTGATGGCCTCGTACTGGATCTTGTAGTCGTAGGTTTTTCCGCGGAGTCGAAACGACGTGTCATACATGTCGATGTCGAACCGTCCTCTGTTGGCAATTTTTGTCAGCATGGTCTCCGTAGGCGTAGGCGGGGGGGGGGGGGGGGGGGTGGTCAATACTTAGTAAAGACCAGTCATTTCAGCGACGGGAGGTACTTTACGCGGGTGTTGACGCGGCCACTGTGGTCCGCCGTATTCTCACCTCTCACATAAGTCATACTTATGTGTATATAGGGGGTATCGTAGAAACAGCTCGCACACCTTTGAGTCCCGGCTCCCCAACACTAACACATATCTCTCTCCCTCTCTCTCCACCGCTTCCCCCACACCATTCCGTTTCTGCTTTGGGGTGCTCCGATCGCCCCGGCTTCTGTATTCCGCACCCTGTCAGTTGGCCACTGTTCGAAACTCGAGTGTCTCGCCGTCTGGTACATGGGAAGGTACCGAAAGAAGTGGTCGAAGGCTGTGTCCGCCATGTGAACATCAATCCTCTCTTCCAGCTCCAGCTCCAGCTCCAGCTCCATCTCAGAGTCCCGACATGAAGCTGCTTCGCGAATTCCAGGCCACTCTACGAGGCCCTCTCAGATGGCCGAGGCTACTCCATATCGTCATCACAGGCGGTGGAGGTGAGATTGCGGGGGAATCATCCACAACTGGGTTCCATCCCCCACCACTGAGCGGCCAACCGGTTAACCTACCTACCTAGGTAGCGTAAGCTGCTGCTTGAGCCGGGGTTCGCGGTGGCCAGCTTCGGCTTCGGGTGACGGGAGACTGGGACACCTCCCCCAAACCATTCCTATCCTGGGTCTTCAAAGGGGAGAGAAGCTTGTTCTCATTTCTACCAACTGTCGTCATTGTCGAATGGCTTGACTGCTACCTCACTTCCAACCTCGTCCAACCACCCATCTCACAGCTAGCTGGCCTTGTCTCACCGTCACAGCAACCATCTCCAACGCCAATCACTTGGGTTCGCTGCTCCCATCATGTCCAGTCCTCCTTCACGGCTCAAGAACCTGCTTGGTCATTTCCTGCCCTCGTCACAACCCACACAACCCACAGCGGCTGCCGAATACAAGCACAGCTATAACGTCCACCAACTCTCGCCCACCTTCTTTCTCGAGCGCGCTGCCGCCATTGAGCCTGATGCTGAAGCCATCTTTCACGTGACGGCCAATGGCAAGACCCTTCGTCGGTCCTACTGCGAGTTTGCCGACCGCGCTCGTGGTCTGGCGTACTACCTCATCAAGCATGGCCTCCGTCGCGTCGGCATCCTGGCCCCCAACACACCAGCCTTTCTCGAGTCCATCTTCGGCATTGCAGCCGCTGGCGGCGTCAATGTCGCCGTCAATTACAGACTGAAGCCCGATGACATCAACTACATCTTTGACTTTGCTGAGGTCGACTCCATCATCATCGACGCCGAGTTTGCCCATCTCCTCGATGACTTCAAAAAGTCCCATCCCAGCGTGCACTTCCTCATCGACACCGACACGGACGCTACCGAGGGCCAGTTGAGTGGGCCCTTTGACGATGCTGTCCTCGAAGGCCTGCAGTATGACCGCGCTCAAGGTGCCAAGGGCTGGGCTGGTCTGCAGTCGCAGTGCGCCAGCGAGGACGACATGATCTCGATCCCCTTCACCTCGGGCACCACGTCCAGGCCCAAGGGCGTCGTCTACACCCACCGTGGTGCGTATCTGGCTGCCATGGGCAACATTATCGAGTCGGGCCTCAACTACCATGTGGGCCGGTGCAAGTACCTCTGGACCCTGCCAATGTAAGCACCTTTTTTTTTTTTTTTGTGACATACAAGGGAGAAAAAAACTATACATTTCCTCGTCTAACCTAACCAGGTTTCATGCCATGGGCTGGACGTTTCCGTGGTCCATCACAGCGGTCCGCGGCACGCATGTTTGCTTGCGCAAGATTGACTATCCCCTGATCTGGAAACTGCTCAAGGAAGAGGGCATCACTCACTTCAATGCCGCGCCCACCGTCAACACGCTCCTCTGCTCCGCCAAGGAGGCCGAGAAGCTGCCCCAGGAAGTCAGGGTCACGGTCGCCGCCAGCCCCCCGAGCGGCCATCTTTTCGAGCAAATGGTGAGTGGCCGCCTGGCCGTCTGGCAGGCTCTTGCCGATCATACGTGTATACGCGTGCTCTTTGTTGCGAACGTAGCTGACAGACAACAGACAAACCTAAATCTGCACCCTGTTCACGTGTACGGCCTGACCGAGACGTATGGGCCGATTACCAAGGGCTACCAGATGCCGTCGTGGGATGCGCTCTCGCCCTCGGACCGCTATGCCAAAATGGCGCGCCAGGGCCACGGCTTCGTCACGAGCCTGCCGATCCGCATCATCAAGACGGACCTGCCAGAGGGAGAGCTGGTTGACGTGGCCAGGGACGGCAAGGAAATCGGGGAGATTGTCTTTTTTGGAAACATCTGCGCAAAGGAATACTACAAGGATGCCGAGGCGACGCGGAAGCTTTTCGCGGGTGGCGCGCTTCACTCTGGCGATCTCGCCGTGTGGCACCCCGACGGAAGCGCCCAGATCCTGGACCGGGCCAAGGACATCATCATCTCGGGTGGCGAGAACATTTCTTCCGTGGCGCTCGAGAGCATGCTCGTGCAACACCCAGATCTCCTGGAAGCTGCCGTCGTGGCCGTGCCTGATTCACACTGGGGCGAGCGTCCCAAGGCATACGTGACAGTCAAGGAAGGTCGCCAAGTGGCGGGCGAGGACGTCATATCGTGGGCGAAACACCAGAGTAACATCAGTAAGTTCATGGTACCTCGCGAGGTGGAGGTCGTCGAGGAGCTACCCAAGACGAGCACCGGCAAGCTGAAGAAGAACGTGCTGAGGGAATGGGCCCGAGGAAGCCGCCAAGCATGATGTCTGACGACGGTGGCACCAGGCTGCACATGTACAATGGGATAATCGAAGCACGATCTAGAAAGGTTCGGGGGCCCCTGTTTGCCTTTCTTCTCTTTTTGGCTGCCGTGACAAGAATAAGAGGCAGCGCGCCGCACGTGCAACAAACAAACACGGCCCACGGCAATGGGACCAACCTTGACATGTGTCGTTCGGAATGCGAGAGCGAGAACGTGGAAACGCTCCGCCAAGAGACAAAGGACGATGAAGCCCCGATTACGAGAAATGCGACGACTGACAATCGAACTGAACTGAAAGCCGCCGTGAGTAGCGGCGGCTTACCCCTTGAAAAGGCCCCAGCGGAGGCGGCCGGATAAGGTCGGTGCCCTGCAGCATGAGGCCACCTCAACAGACCCTGGACCCAGCTGACGAGCCCAAATCCAGGCGACGAGCGAGGCCAAGCCCGGGGTCTCGGTACCGTAGGGCTGTAGAAACCTCCCGGCCGTGCGACCGAAGGGCTGGAGCACACGTCGGAGGATGCTGACCCCATCTCGACAGACTGTCTGCCGGAGCCCGGATCAGTCTGTACTCGGTGGTTCCAGGATCTTCTAGTGTCTCGTGAAGGGCAACAATGATCGATCTGATGCCATGAGAGGGGCTCGGCACTCATGTGACAGCCGTAGTGCCCCCCCTGCGAATTCCCTTCTTCGGCGACTAAGTTAACTGATGATTGGTATAAAACTGACGATGGGTTCTTGTTGGCAGTTCTGAAGTGCCGGATGTGGCCCCCCTCCTAGCAGATGGTGCAAACACCAGACAACAACGACAACAAGAGTATATACACACACGCCTGTGGCACCCAACCCGGAGGGGGCCATCAACCAGAAGGTCCGACTCGCGATGGATCACTCCTTCGACAAGACACATGGTGAACCAGAACAAGAACCAGTTTTCATCGACTACTTCCTTGACGATCCCGAGGTACGTTCTCACTTCTCCACTCCCCTTTCATCCTTCTTTTTGCCCCTTTGCCTCTGCGCTTTTACATGCTGCTTCCGGTGCCTGGATTCCACAGAAGCATGTTTTGGGGAGCCTCTGGGTATGCACACACACACACACACACAAACACACACATGTTGCAGTGTACACGTGTATACTTGGGGTCAATCCATCTTCAGGCGCCTGATGGAGCTGACGTTTCGGAAACAGCCTGATCTTCTTGTCGTCCGTTGCCTCGGTCGCCCTTCTGTCCCCGTCTTTTTGCTCCAGTGACCGAGCCTGCGGTGCGGTGCAACAAGAACAATGCTACTAACAGCATTCTCAGCAATTGGACTCGACAACACCGCCCTTGGGCCAGACGCCGTTCTTTACCAGCGCCGCAGGGAGTGCTGTCGACCACCTACAGGGGGGTCGTGTCCGCCATGGTGGCGGCGACCACGCCATGCCCGTCGGCCATCGTACGATCCCGACCTCAGCCCACCCGCCACTACCACCACCACCACCACCACTACCACCAACACACCTGGCCACTGAGCCACGACCCCGGAACCACCAACAAGCACGACACGACCGGTTGTTAACCCCCGAGCCGCTCTTCCGCGGCCACCACCTGCAGTCGCCGATTTTGGGGAGCGGGCTGCATGGCAACTCGCCTACTAGCACCAATCCATCGGCGATCCAGCCCCATCACGACGACTGGGCGTTGCCTGACTTCAGCGCCGACTCCCTTGCTTTCCCTCCCCCAGCCGAGGCGTTCCTGGAACCGCCAGTGGGCGCGACCAATGTCATCGACTTTGGCCTCGGCACGGCCGCCACAAACCACCATGACTACACGGACAACATCACGCCACTTCCGAGCCATGCGAGAACGACACTCGATCACTTTGACTTCGACCTTGCCTTTCCCTCGCCGTCATGGGGCCCCAGCCTGAATGATGCCATGTCTTCTTCGCTCGCCGTCGCCGTCGCCGTCGGAGCAGGGACCACGTCCCATCCTCGCAGCGCCATGGACGACGAGAGCGACCACAGGGATACCAGAAGCTTCTGGGCCGACGAAGACTCGTCCTCCGTCGGCGGCCGCCCATCGCCCTCGACAGCCGCCCGCAAGCGCCTCCCCAAGGGAGGGCCAAAGGGCAAGCACCGCGCCGACTCGCTCGACGGCGCCAGCAGCAGCATCTTCAGCACCGGCACCGACGACACGGGCATGTCCCACGCCGCCGGTGCCGCCGATCTGAGCCCCGGTCTGCCCCCGCGCGCAGGCCCCGGGTCCGGATGCAGCCCCAGCCCCGGCACCGTCAAGACGGAGTCCTCCCACCACCCGGGAGCCGCTGCAGCTGGCGCCGCCGCCGCCGCGCGCCGCCGTCGCAGCAGCAGAGCCAAATCAGTCGCGACGACCGCCTCAGCCTCAGCCTCAGCCTCGGCCTCGGCCTCGTCCTCCAACGCCACACCGCCGTCGTCCGACACGCGCGCCCCGAAAAAAACCGCCACGGCATCCACGGCCGCCCGCCTACGCAGTGCCTCGCGCGCCTCCAAGAACGCCGCCCGCCGCCCGGCCGAGTCAGCCGAAGAGCGCCGCACCCGCGCCTCGCACAACCTCGTCGAGAAGCAGTACCGCTCCCGTCTCAACGCCCAATTCGAGGGCCTCCTCAACGCTCTGCCCGAGCTGCCCGTGCCTGCCTCCCAGCAACAGCAGCAACAGCAGCAGCAGCCGGCGGACACGGCCGAGGACCAGACGGAGCGGCGCGTCAGCAAGGCCGAGGTGCTCGAGCGCGCGCGCCTGCACATCGAGGCCCTCGAGCGCGAGAGGGAGGCGCTGCGGCGCGAGAGGGAAGAGCTGCTGCGGAACCTGGCCGACATGGAGCACGACGTCAGCGTGCGCATGGGCGAGGGGGCCTTGGGCGACAGCCTCCGCGCGTCGCCCGCCACGGAGGAGGAGGAGGACGGGGGGCAGGCTGAGCAGGGGGACAAGTGAAGCCGAGAAGCAGGGCCCCGGAACGGGCCAGGTGGCTGGCTGCGTCCGTCATCGTCAGACTGTCAGAAGAGGGATTCCTGCGTTTACGACTTTGGTTCCTCTCTTTTCTTTCTTTCTTTTCTTCTTGTCTCATCACACTGCAGCACTGCGCACGACCTGAGACTGTACTCACTGTACTCCTAGCGGCATTTCTTTTAAACTGCATTTCTGCGGAACGTCATCTCACGCGTAGCCCTGTCTTGGGGATGACTCGATTAACTCGAATAAAACTGATTCAAGGTCTGTTTCCACCCAAAATATCTCTCCATGGCTGAAAGAAACACAAAAAAACGCCAGATAGCCTTGGCGCCTGGGCCGAACCTGGCCAGTCTCGAGCCTCGCAGGCTCTGATGTACCAAGTCTCGCCTGACCTCCTCCCCTGGAGGAGAAGGGCCTAGTCCATCCAATAGGTCCCAGCAGCTCTATGCTACCCCCAAAGATGTCCCACCTTGTACAGGTTATTTTTTGAGGGGTTTCCCACCCCCTTTTCATCATCCGTAAAATCATGCAACCCAGCCTGAATCTCCAATCTTCCCAAGTTGTTTACACCCGGCGAGTGCCACACGTCAGAAGGCGCTCTCCTGCGAGCAGCCTGGTCTGATCAAAACAACTGTGCTCGACGTGTAGGAAAAAAAAAGACGGGCAAAATATGACCGGTGAAAGCTACCGAGATGTAGCAGCCAACGGTCAATCTCGAACACCGGTAGGAAACTCCAGGAAACTCCCGTAAACGAGCGTGCGTACAGGCCATGTACTGCCAGGCCTGCAAAAGTCTTTGTGAGAAGACACGAAAGGAACAAAAGAAAATGTTGCGAACCCCACGGCCCAGCGCGTCCCACACTTTGAAGAAACGGTGCCGGTGGTGCGAGGTGGCTACAGTAGGGGTTGGAAATACTTGTCAAGTAGAGGTTGATGCTCCACTGTCAGATCCGGTTGCCAGCGTAAGCAGGCGGGAAAAGAGCATAGCCACCAGCCGGGGTGCTCAGACTCGTGGTGTGTGCCCTCTGACGCCTGTGTCTGTATGTTTCTTTGTTTCTGGTGGACTGCACACTTTCACGCCCTGCACTAGCTGCGATACGCCTCTCCTCGTCCCGTATATCCCCCATGGAGCGGGACATGACATCGCCACCATCTGACCATGGGCTCTTCGGGCTCTTTGGTGATGCCAGGGGTGGGACTTCGTCATATTCCAGGGAAGCAGGATCGACGGTATCTAAAGCCTTGGGATTCCACGCCTCAAAGGCAGTGCCACTGGTATAACGAGTCAAGGCAGTCAAGTTGGAGTCTGCTGAGATGTGGCGCTCGTCGCTAGATGTGGTATGGCCAGTCGAATTCGAGCCAGTCGTCGACGTGCTGGTGCGATCATGAATGTACAGGCCGGAGGTGCTCAACGCCACAGGGGCATCCGTGCCATAAGAGAAACGAGCTGCCCCAGAGAGCATCTCGTCAGAGTACTCGTCGACACGAGACTCTGCCATTACCATCTGCTGCTGGAAATCGCCTGGGATCAAGAGGGATGGCGAGAGGTTAAAGCCATGGGATTCCTTGAAGCTAGATGCACGGGATGCAGTCCGCACATGCAGATGAGTAGGGCTGCGACATGTGCTTTCGATTCGTGGATGCGAGAAGTTGGACGTTGTTGGCATCAACGGAACTGTCGGCGTGATGGCCTCGTGGCCGGTGGCTGTCGATGCTTGGCTAACAGGGCTGAGGGCCGGAATGTCAAAGTGCCGGGCAGGCACAGGTTGAAGCCCAACAGACAATGGCTGAACACCCTCGATATCCTCGTCAACGCAGAAGCTGTAGGAAGCCGTCGTCGCTGTCGCGTCCAGATCCACAGAATGATCCTCCTCAGCCCTGTCACCGTCGAGCGATGGCCGATCCCAAGCGTACTCAAAGTCAGCTTCAGCCTCGTGATCGTAACAATAGTCAATGTCATCTTCCCAGCTTTCACGAGGCAAGATCTCAACCTCGTTCGTCTCATGCAATGCTGCCTTCAGAGCGCGCTGGGCAGCTATCATGTCGAATCGTCCCAGCGTATCGGAAGCACCGCTCATGGGCCGATGAGGATCTTTCGACTGGAGTTGTGCTGCTTGAAGCTGTGCTGACAGGCGCAGCATTGGAACTGAATGACTTCCGCGCAGGGAGGAGTTGTTGCTTGCCAAGCTGAGACGCGATCGCCGTGATGCTACATGCTGCTCATCCTCCTCCGGAACGTCAGCCAGACCAGTCTCATACGCAAAAGTGGTGCTCGAAGTTGTCAGGGGCCACGCGGCATCATCGGGCGTCGTGATAGCGTGTGGGAACGTTGGGCTTGACGGCGATTCGAGCTCTGCAGATCGCGCAGCAAGGAGCTCGCCGGCTGTTGTGGGAAGCGTATCACTCTCAGCAGGCAGAGGGAAAGGCTTCGGCTGGCGGAACCCACCGCCGGTGAGTGTTCGGTCCCACGAGCCAGCGATCAAAGAATCGGTCGCGTCGTAACGGGTCGACGTCCTGCTAGAGATACGAGGAGGCGGGATAGGCGGGATGGTGTCTTCGGGAGCCCTGGGAGGCCGGGGAGGCGCCGTCGAGCGGGATGCGGCACTGTGCATCTGCTCCTGTGAACGCGTACGCTTCATAAGGCGGCGTGGTGAGACCATGCTTGGCGCTTGTCGTTGAAGGGGCGGGGACGGCTGCAGCGGTAGGCGTCGCGGTGATACTTGAGTAGGTACATCGGCCGGGGCACCATCTTCGCGTATGGCCAGGGCCTCAGAGGAAAAGTTGGAGAAATGAAGACTGTCGCCTTCTATGCCCAGCAGCGGAGCAGCTGGGGGCGGTCTTGGTGGACGAGCAGCCGAGAAGTCCGCGCGACTTTCACGTTGTGCTTGAGGCACGTGTTCTCGCCGCGTATGTGTGACGTGCTGAAAGTTGTAGGGACCAGAGATGAGCAGTTTCTTGTTACCACTGCTAGAGGCCGGACGGTCTGCAGAAGTAGGGTCCGTCTTCGGAATCTTGCGCCGCCCAAACAGACCGGGGATAAGCTGCTCTTTGGGCGGAGGTATGGGGTTGCTATCCAGGGGTTGATCCGTCGAATAGAGTGAGCTCCCGGAAGAACTGTTGGCATTGCTCTCTGCCCTCATCCTGACTTTTCGGTTGAAGATGGTCTTTCCGAACAATTGCACACTCTCTGGTCGTTCGCGTGATGGCATGCTGCTCGATGTCGACCGGCCGGAAGAACGCCTGGACAAGGTGATGTGCTCAAGCGTGTTTTCCCACGAGGGGCGATCCGTGGTGGGAGGACGAGCTGCAACTGAAGAGGTTGATTCCAAAGCCGAGACCCTCTTGACGTGTTTACTGAAAGCACGGATTCGTTCGGGCGAAGGCGGGCCGTCTACAGCTGGCTCAAACATGATGTCCTTGGAGCTCTGAGGGTCAGGACGGGACCGGGTGCTCGGGCGGGACGTTGATGAGGAGACATCCTGCTTCGAGCTGTCGTTATCGACGGTAGCCCGCCGAGCTGCCTTTTTGAAGTTATGGGTGGTGGAGTAGATGGGTAATGGTGCGGATGCCCACATGATGGCTGTCGAATGCTTCCTTTTTCTCTATTCTTCAGCGTTGCTGTCTCAAACCCCCGTGCTGCGCCAGGATGGTGGTCTTAGAGCCACGGATGGGAACCAACGTCAAGGCTGCACTCCAGCACAACACCGCGTCGGTGCTGGCTTGACCTCTCCAGGCTCGCTCAGAAATCGAAAAAAGTCCAGATCTGCTGCTGTACTTTCGGAACTTTTCCTTGGTGTTGATATGACCTTTTTTGCGGGTTCGCGGGGGTGTGGTCGTGGACGTGCACGCCAAATGTTTGTGCGTAAAACTGTCTGGGCGCTGCAGATGGGCGTGGGTGACTGACAGCTCGGCGAAAAAGCAATAGATGACAGCAAAGCGACACGAGTCTTCCTTATACAGCAGACTGCTGAATCCGTGTGCTCAAAGTTGAGCGTGGATTCGACATGTAATCGCAGACAAGCAAAACAAGCAGAAACGAGGCTAGGTGAGGCAAGCAAAGCAGAGCAGAGCAGAGCATGATGGGACGGGAACAGGGGAAGCGAATCGGGGGGGGGGGTACGTGAGACTTTGTTGATGATAGCTGGGCAGCGTCTCTGGGCTCTGGATCCCTGGGTCTAGTCTCCTCAACCTCCCTCCTCCCCTCCTACAAGGGGACGACGGACGGGCATGGGGCGGGCAGGGGAAGGATGTGATGCTGGTAATGACGGCCCCCTGCCCGGTGCAACCTAGAACCCTGCCAGCATGCTGCGAGTTGCTGCGCGGCGTGGATGGGGGATCCGTAATTAACCCTCCCAGTAGAAGACCCAACAAAAGGGTGCAATACAGTATGCGCTGCGCAGCAAAATACAACCCCTGGCATCCCGGCCGCGCTCTTTTTCGGGTCTTTGCTGGGCACTGGTGTCGCGACAGGAGCCTGACCGGATCCAAGACGAGTCGAGACGCGACTCCAGCGAGTGTCAACGGGGGTGGAGGAAGAGGGGGGGAGGGGCACGGCACGTTGGAGCAACAGTGCTGGTGTTGCTCTTCTGCTGGCGGTACGTCGTGTGCAAGGCGCACCTTGTGGGTGCATTCTGCACACTGGGCGAGCATGAGCATGAGCATGAGCAGGGCAACGCGCGCCATGCCGCCAGGCTTTATCTGCTTGTGAGAGTAGCGTGGGTGCATGGAAACGAGTTTATGAATCAAGGTCGCCTGATGCATGTGCATGCATAGAACGACAGAGCCGATTGTCAGCGGACTCGACTCGCCGTATGGGGTTCTCGTACCGCGACGCTCACAGTAGGCGATTCGGCGGGAAGCCACATGTTGTGGTCAGTGAGAAGTAGGTATAGTAGCGTGGTTCGGCGCCGACGTGAGTTAGTGCGTATTGTGTGCAAGGAGCGGCATGCTCTCTGGTCTCGTTCTCTGTGCTGGACAGTGTCGCAGCACCCCGGTGGCGGCGCAAGACTTGACACCCATCTGAGGTACGGATGGGGGGTTTGCGTGAAAGGGACAGAGGAGGCGGGGCGGGGCGGGCCAGGCTGACGGCGCTGGGGGCACGCGTGTGTGGTTGGCTTTGCCTAGCGACGAATCGAGTCTGGTTGGCGGTCGAGGAGGAGATTCCGGGTGCGGATTCCGGGGGATGCTGGGCCGGCAGGACGAGAAAGTCTGTCGCCGCGTGGTTGTCATTTACACGTCTTCTATCCTATCCTGTCAGAGCAAAGGCGGTTAATTTGCGACGGGCAGTTTTCCATGTCGCGTGTCCGTATGGGTCGCCGACGCAAAAAGAATGGCGTGGACGCCGAGTCTGGGGAAGGATGCACGGTGCGAAGCGAAGTGGCAGAGTAAATCAGCAACAATTTCGAACGCAATGCGCGCGTGTCCATAGTACAGCACCACCTTTATGCAGGCGTGCCGGCTCGTGATCTGGAGACGGAGCAAAGCGGCAGCCCGTCATCATGCTGCAACTGCGAAGCGAGCCCAGGCGAGAAGCAGCAAGAAAGAGGACTCGGCATTCCAACGGCCACCATCAGATGTCCCATGGCGCTCATGAAGCATGCGACATGTGAAGCTCGACCCGATTGAGCGAGCCATCCATGGAAGTGGGAGCAAGATCCGTCAACCGCAGTACCTGGAGCCAGGGAGGATGCGCCGTGCAGAGCTGGGCCGATCTGGGCGCGGCTGATGATGGACTGCATCGGGAAAATGGCGAATGGAAGCCAAGACGAGCTCGAGACGGCCTGGGAAATGGGATATCAGGCTGCCTAATCTCTGAGGATATTGGGCGTGACAAGCCGCTGGGATCCAGACGCCGGCTGGCAGTCCGGGAGCGCATGTCAGGACGGAATGGCATGTGGCGATGGTGGTACTGATGGTGGTATTGATGGTGGTACTGATGGTGGTACTGATGGTGATGATGGTGGTGTGGGTGGGCGTGTGGGTGGACGAGGGGCAGGTGGGTGAAGTGGACGAAGGAGGGTTGAACCACGATGCCATCGAGGACCAAGTGCCGCGAAGCTGGACACATAGATAGATGGAAGGCACTGGAACCATAATGCAAGGTACCGCGTCCTTTCGTCCTGCTGCTCTGGGATGCACTTTCCTTTCGTCTTGCTCGGCTGCACTCTGTGCAACCCGGCAGAAGCACCCCCCTCCCCCTAGCATAGGTAATCGCACATGTTGGAGGTTAAAAAGGCAAAGTCACAGGAACAGGAAGAGGCAAAAAGACAATGGGACGAGCAGGAGCAGGACTGGAGGGCTGCAGCTTCCCGCGGAGGGATGGAACAATAAGATGGAGGGCGGTGACGCGTTATGGTTGGACACACAAAGGTACTCAAATGGCAAGAAGCAGTCGAGGTGCCCGGCCCGCAGTTGCTGCAAGTGATGGTAGCTCCACTGCAACTTCCCTGGACTGACCGGTCAGCAAGACCCAAGGTTGCTTGGGTGGTCGCCTTGACGAGGATGAATGACAGCTGAAGCCTCGATTCGCGGCCTGCTCCGACGTGATGGTTTTTTTTTTGGTCCTACTTCCCACGCTTGTGAAGAGGCGTTTGCTCTCCTCAGACTCGACTGAGTTGGCTCCGAATATCTTGCTCCCAAAGCTTCATCAGGTGCTAGGCTCGCAGCTAACGCAGCCATTCGCAACCCAGACCGTTCTCGACAGTGAGCACCACACGCCCTTGTCCTCGTCTGACTGGCCGCCGTCAGCCACCCTCTCGTTCGCTCGCCTCGAAGCTCTTGGGATCCATCTGTACCTGCAGTCAACAAAACTTCGACCCTTGGCTTGCCCGTCAACAATCGTCACACATCACAGCCGAGCCCCGGCTTGCCACCAACCTCCCTCACCTACCATGTATGTCGCTGTGCCCGTGGGGCCTTGTGGGGTTGCGACCAAAGAAGGATGTTGCCTACGTCTTCGGAATCGCCTTGTCAATCGTAATTCCATGGCGCAGCCGTCTTTCACACTACTGTACAATCTTGGGTTACGCCCATCTATCCCAATCTCTCTCACCTGGTCCACCTCCGATATTGCTCCCCCAGACGCCAGCTTGCTTGCAGACGTCAGGGATGCCGGTTACCACCTTGCCTCGCGGTGTGGCCCTGAGGCTGGCTGATTGACATGTATCGACTGTCATCGGTCTATCCACCTATCCACCCCAAGTATCACACGAGGACTGGATGCTGACTTGTGGCCCTTGTCTTCGCAGCCAACAAATTCTAGCCAGCCGACATGGCTCGAAGGCCCAGCAGCAACCCGGCGTGTGTTGCATACCGTCCCGCCCAGTTGCGTCTCGGAGGAGTCAGATCCCTCCAGCCGCGGCTATCTTTCTTCCCTTCGGCTGTCCGAAAGCCATCTCCTCCAATCTTGCCAAACCTCGGGCAACCCATGTGAGACTGCCGCTGCTTCCAAAAACCCTGTGCTCGAGGCGAAACCTCTCGACTGTATCCTCGTTGCAAACCGCCATACCGCACCTGAGCCAGAACGATGCCGATTGTGACAGATCATGATCGACGCGGCTTAGCACCGTACCCTGACCTGGCCTTCTCCGCTGGGGGATTCTATCCCCAGTTTTCAGAGCAGCAGGGGGGTTCCTTCCTGGTCCAACAAGGTCGACGGCGCCACATTCCGGCCGCCCTCGACCAGACAGACCCTGGAAGTTGGCCCAGGGTCTGGCCTCGCTGCCAGTACGTACATAGTAAGTCCCAGGGGGCGGGGGGAGACCGTCAGCGTACCTGCTCATGTATTTCCTCCTTCGTCAGCTTTGCCAGCTACGTGCTTGCGTGTGTGTTTCTCTTGTGGCACGCCTGCCGACAAGCCTTTGCGTCCGGTGGAGGGTCTAGCAAAGGCCCAGACTTCATATGTGCGTCATCTGCAGACGAGTAGAAGACACATCATTCGAGGGCCGGAAAAGGCGTATTGGTGCAACTCTGGTCGCCTATTGCCAATCTACCACATGCAGCCCTCTCGACCTTACCACCCCACTGACGATAATCTGCGCTGCCCACGCATGATGATTGTGGTGGAGAAGAAAGAGTCGCGGGATGATAGTGAAAGTGTGATAATGGAGTTGAATGGCGTTGCCAGCCTCGTCCTGCCTCCTCTGGCAAGACAGGCCGAAAGGCCAGGAAGGTAACAGATTGGTTGGCTGGCATATCAGGTTGAGATGTGAGTCTCGATTGGACAATGACCCCGGCAGGTCCACGTGTGGTTGGTTCCAAATCCTTTTGCCTCGTTGGGACCCCCAAGCGTCTGGATGGTTAGGCTGAAGCTGTCCGTCAGAAAAGTGTGTGACTAGGCAAGCTTGCTGTTGCATATCCGGGGTCTTCCACCTGCAGTATGCGAGAGGGCAAATGCCTCGGGTGAGCTGTCAGTCGGTCCATGAGCCTGCATCAAGCTCCAACAGTGCGCACAGACGGTTGACCAGTCGCACATCTCACGTCGAGTCCCCGCGTTGAGTCGAGCGGCCTCGTGCTGCCCACCCCACAGCATAGCGGAGCGTCCCATCACGGCGGGACACTTGTGCGTCGAAATGCGTCCTTTTTTCACCCCTTCGTGTCGATGTTGTTCCGTCCACGCCATGTTTGACGTTCGGAACGTGGCCGCTCACATGGTACCAGCTCGACACTGTTGCCTGGGACGTGATCTCGGCCAGCAGCCCGTGCTATTGTGTCGACGTTCTTTGTACCGAACCGTACATGACACCGCTTCGCAGTCTCACATGCGCCGATCATCGATCGACTATTTCGACCGACGCAAGGACGAGGTCACTGAAGAAAGTTTGTTTTGCATGAGGAGGCGGAAGGGTGCAAGAATATGTCAAGGGCACAGCATGCTGTGCCCTGAGGCGATGCAGCATGGGGACCTGCAGCCATGCAATATTTTTTCGAGCGCGGCTTCCTGTTCCTCTGCTGCAAGCTGCACCACGGACTGCAGAGCTGGAGTCTCTGGGCATATGCGCCTGCGGGGCTTCCTCGCACTGATGGTGAGCATTCTTGTTGCTTGCCGTGTGTCGCTTCGTGGTACCTCGCCTCATCTTGCCTTGGCTGCCCTGGAGCTCCTCACCTCCAAGCACCCGCGTGCCCCTCCTCGGCGGGCCCTTGGCCTCTGAAGACGGCCATGCATCGCAGACAGACGATCCGGATTCCGGAGCTGCAGCTGCTCCTCTCTTCGTGTGTGTGTGGATCGAATCGAGGGCACGAAGCTGTGTATGCGTGGTAGGTACCTAGGTCAGGCACGGGTATGCGTCTCGAAGGTAGAGATTTCTCGTGCGACCCAATCAGCCTGACAGCCATTCATTGTGCAGTTCTTTGCCCTCCTTCACAGGCACGGTACGTACGCACATGGTAAGCATGTCTTCGACCCCACAAGGAAGCACAGGTCATGAAGGAACAGTGACGTGAAATTCCAGGCCAGGGATGTCCAGGTATTCCTTCCTGAACCTGCCATCGTACGAGACAGAAGTCATAGCCTCTCGACGTGGTCCATGATAAGAAAGTGCATGTGCCATTCGATGTCTCAACCAAAAAGCAATTGGAGAGCAGTCGGTGTGACGAGCCACGCTGTTGGCGCGTGAAGCCGAGCCTAGACGTCCGCAGCTCGACGTTCTAGGACGGCAGGCTGCAGAGACAGAATGAGCTGCCAGAACTGCCAGAACTGCCAGAACTGCCAGAACTGCCAGGGCTGCCAGATTACGTTGCCCCGAGTTCCCCCTGCTACCGTCTCCCGCCAAGCCTATCGAAGAAAGATCGTCGGACGCGATACAACCTCGAATATAAAGTTGGTGAAACGTGGTGCGCGCGCACACCGACTTGACACGCCATAAACGGCGCGAGGTCTTGCCCATCTTGCCCAAGTTGGTCGTTTCCCCCCGGGCGAGTCCTCTCCCACGTAGACTCTCGAGGCGCAATCAGGACAGGAAGGGCAGGTAGGGCAGAAGGACGGGGCAGAGCAAGGGCAGATGGTCGATCTCTCAATGTGGTACTGGGACAAAGCGAAACCGCCGTCGCGGGACCAGCAAAGGCCCGCAGTGGACGTCGGGGTGCTAAAAGCAAGTGCCTACTGGCCGGGCTCGCTCGGGGGGTCCACTGGCTTCCAAAAAAAAAAGCCGACAGGATGCCGTGTAGGGATTCAGGGTCTGTCTTGGTGAGGGAGACAATGGTAATGCCTGACAGCGCACCTGCCGGTCAGTCAGTCAACGTCTGCCGATGAGATCGAAGACGGGTCCCTGCTACGGTAGACGAAGTGGTTCTCCTGATGGGGTGCTGGTGGGCTGCTCGCTGTGATGGAGACTGGGTTTTTTTTCCTTGCTCGTATTTGAGTTCTCCTCTCGAGCACTGCCGGAGTAGCCACGTAAACCGACGACGACTTGTGTATGAGTCGAGAAACGGGGTCTGGCTTCGCTGGCGAATTGACGAGTCAGCGAGAGGACCACTTTGAGTTTCTCGAGAGTGTCCTGGTGCCTGGCACCGCTAATATGGCTGTCTGCCGTGTGTGCCTGCATTTGTGAGCGGGAGACTCGGCCTTGCAACAGCCTTTCTGGGCCAGACAGGCCACGATGATCCCGGTAGCGGATTGTGCAGATGGCATCATTATGAGAGATGGGTGTCCTGTTGTGAGCACATAAAAATAAACACCAGGGGAAAAGCCGGGCATTGAGGGGGGGTCCATAACGTAAGGGCTTGCTGTCGGCCGACGCGTCGCGCCCCATCTACGCTAAGAAACCGAACGGGCGGCTATTTGTCGGCAGGAGCGCACCAAGGTGGGCGCCGGTGTACATGGTACAGGACCTAGGCAGTTTGGCGTCAGGGGAAAATGGAGGATATGGGGAGTCCATCCGTTGCGAGTTGGCAGGAGGGAGGGACGCAGGGGTTCCTGAGGCAGGGACTTGGGCAGGTAGCTAGCTCCTGGACTTTCCTTCCGGATCCATGACTATTGTACATTACCTCGCTCGCACCTTGGCAGGAGCATCCAGGGCAAAGGGGGTGCATTACCACGAGATGATGAGGGGCCCTACCCCCTTCATCCCCAGCAAGACCCCCCCACGATCTACACCCCCCACCCCCCTCATACTAGATCACCCCCCTTCGGCTTCCGAACCAACAACGTCAAACGCCTTATCCGTCACTAGGGAAAACCGCTCGCTCGCTCGGCATCTTGGCTTCCCACGGCACCGCCTCGTTTTAGCTTCTGGCGCCCTTACCTCACTTGGGAAGGAAGCAAACGGGGGAGGGGGGGCCCATCACCATTCAGGGCCCATTGGGGAGATTCAGTTCCATTTCGCTCGGACTGGTTCTTCGTGCCTGGTGCCTGTCGCACGTCGAGGAAGCTTGGGCACGCGGTGGGTGCAGCAGGGCCTGGGAAGCTCGAAGGCTGGGTGGAGAGAGCTAGAGAGGGAGGCTCGAAGCTCTGCCGGCCTTCTATGCCGTGCCGGGACGAGGGACGACCGTTCCCCGGCCGCGCCTCGATCACTCCCTGGTCCCCGATGACATATATCAGGAGATGAGTAAGGTAAGTTGATATGAGAGAGATGAGAGAGAGATTAGGAGATGAAGAGCCGACCAGCACGGGGCATCTGAGCAGGTCTCTCCTTACTCGAGAAATCGTGGCGCGGCACCCAGCAAATGCCGATGTTTGACTCTTGGCGGCGCTCACAGCCTCGTGCTCGTGGTTGCCGCAGCCGTCCGAAGTTCGCCGCGCGCGCCTGTGTGTGCCGTATGGCCTACACCATGGCATGGCGTGACGTGGCGGTGGTACTGCGACAACACCGTCCGCCATTCCACCTGCTCGTTGTGTCAAGCATCGTTGCACGACCGTCGGGGGGGCTTACCACTTGGGCTCCGCGTTTGAGCCTCCCCAATTGCTGCAGGCAGGGCAAGGCGGGAGGAAAAGTAGCTTTCTGTGCGCGCCGGGTCAGTCAGCCACACCGGTCAAGAGAGCACGCAACTCAGAACTCTGCTTGGCTGGGTGCGTGAGTGGTTGGCATCCGTTGTCCCTTTTGTCCGTCTCATCCACTGGCATGACGCCCGAAAAGGTTGAAACCGAGCTCCCGAATCCTTGGACGTTACCAGAGCTCTTAAGCTCCCCACCGCCCGACCTCGAAGTGGGAATAGCACCCCTCTGCAGCCCGATTCACGTCCAGCACCAAGCCTGGAAGCGGACGCGACCCCGGCCGTGCTGAGGTACCATCCCGCCAGCCGATGCTGCCTTCTCCTTTTGTTTGTTTCTCCTCTTGCCACCGGGCCGCCCGCGACACAGAGATTGACTTCTCGCCTTTCTGTCAGTCATTAACAGAGCGTCATATTAGGCCTTAAAGTTTCATCCTTGGTGATACCACGCGCACGGACGGGAAGAGAACGTGCCTGCGAGAAGGCAGAGGTCGGCCGGCCACGCGAGAGCGCGTCTCCAGGGATATGGATATCTTCAGCAGGCTGGTCAGGTCAGCCTTGGTTGTGTTGCAGGTCGTGGCGGCGCGGCGAGGCTGGGCTGCTTCATTTGGACCTTTTCTATGTGGCAAGACCGTAAGATGACCCTGGCCATATGTAACATGACATGCGGCCACGCAACGACGATGCGCTACAGGTTGCATCGAGCCAGCTTAAATCGGTCAATGAGGTCAGTATGACCGAGGAGCCATACGCCATACGCCATACGCCATCGCAGACGCTCGGGCTACTCCAGACTTCTTTGCGGCGATCGGAAGCGCTGCGGTGCCCTGCAGCGTGATGATCGTGATGTTGGCATGGCAGTTGACATTGTGTGCGAGATATCGTCATGAACAGTGGAGTTTCTTCACACGTAGAGCAGACATTGCAATTGCAAAATGTCAGTCAGGCAGTTCGTGAGAAGCGTATGAAACCAACTGATAGTGGCCGCTGCATCCGTGGTTTTCTTTTTTTTTTTTTTCTTTCTTTTTTTTTTTTTGTATTCATTACCTGATGAGAAGATTTCCGTCAACGAAGAAGCCTTTTTCACTTCCAGAACCAACCCTGATCCGTGGTTCCTGTTTCATTCTTGTGGTTATCCGAGTTCTCTCCATGCCCCTTTTCGTGAGCGCTGCGAGTAGCGGACCACGAGTAGTGAGAGCGCGTTTCCGTTTCTCTGCCGACCTCTCTGCCTTGCTCGTCGTAAGTGATGCTGGTCCTTGTAGTCTTGGTGTTGCCGTTGACATCCTTCTGTTCCTGAACCGTTTCATCGACCCGCCATCCCTCTGGTAATTCGCGTGGACTGGTGCTACGGACTTCGCGCCCGTTGCCTTCTCTGCTCTGGTCATCGACGAACGCAAAGGCCTTCATCAGCTCCTCCAAGTGTGCCTCGATACCTCGGGGGTTTTGACGACCTACGATGGTATCGTAGGCGTCTTCTTCCGTTTCCTCCGTCCCTGAAGAGGGGCGAGCCGCAGTCGACTCGGTCAGGGGACTGTCGGAGGGATTTGCGGCCCTGGTCTCCTTTGGCTGTTGGTCGTCGTCCTTGGTGACAGACTTATCCTCGAAACGATCGTCCTGTGCCGCAAGCCAACGACGCCACCTCTCACTGATCATATCCTCCAACGAAGCTGGTCTCGGTTCCCAGCCGTCCCACAGTCCTTGTCGACAGAGCTGATGGAGCCACAGCACAGGCGGGAGACCCTGGGGGTACAGCCGGTTCCATTCCTTCTTCAGCTCGCATCTCTCTCGAATGTCGGGCAGGCCTTGTCCACTGCTGACCATGAGGAGATCTTCAAAGGCGTCCTCGAAGCCGAAGAGGCGAGGGTCGGCTCCCTCGGGCAAATCTGAGGGTACCGGCTGACGGAGGCCACGCAACTTCAGTGGTGAGTGAGGCGAATCGACGAGGAACGAGATCCAGAGGCTCTGGTAGAGGGTCTCTGCAAGCACTTCGGGGTCCACCAAGAAGGCTAACCAGGACGTGGAATTGGGGTTCGCGGGACCACGTGCTGGGTCACGGCTCACTCCACGTCGTTCCGCCGCCTCAGTGACGCCAGTGTTGCTGTCGGGGGATGTGTTGAACGTGGTTGCAGGAGGGTCCATCCACTGGGTGTTCATGGTCTTGGAGAGAACCGTTGGCAGGCCCAACGCGCCCTGGAGGGCAGTTCCTATCTGTTCATCAACCTGCTGCTTGAGGCGATGGAAAAAACTGGTGAAGGGGTCGTCGCTTGGCATGTTGAATGTTGCTGCGCATCAAGGAAGGTAAGGAGATGTGAGAGCGTGGTGCTATATACCACGGAGAGCTGGGTCGCCAGCCAGCAGGCAGCAGACGACAGACTACGAGGAATTTACTAATATAAAGACAATACGGAAACAGTCAAAGACTAGTAGGAATAAGAACACGGGCGTTTTTGGCAGGATTCTGCTGGATGGAGACACGGTCGCAAAGAGAGTGGTGAAGATGAGGAAGAGGCTTGTCAATGTCGACTTGGAGGTGAGCGGGGAGTTGAGAGGTCAACATCAATCACCCCACTGTGACGTGGTTGGTAAAGTGTGGCACAGGCACAGTCATCCCAGCTGTGGCGCGCATGAACGGCGCCGCCGGCATCTCTTTCGTCAGCTGTCTGAGCCGCTTTCTGCCTCTGCCTACCGCGCCAAGATGGATTCGATCTCTTCGCCTCGACAAGCCCGCCAGCTTCCCTGATCTCGCGCAGGGCCGTCGCACTCTCTCGCGTCATATTCGTTGCTTGTGCCTTCATGCCTTTTAGCGACTGATACGCCCGCCCACCCTCGACAACAGGCATTCGACCCCCTCCGATGACCCTCAATTTGACCCGCAGTAGTTGTACATGGGTGTCGACATCCCGCTGCCGTACCGTTACCTCCAACATTCCGACAACCTCGCCGCACATTCGAGCATCCCGAGTGCTGCCCCTGTACGCCTGAGTGCGATCGTCTTCGCTACTCGCCAACGATGGGCGCCCTTGGGTCCTTCATTCCCAACATTGTGCCCGATCCCGGTTCTATACGCCGGGAGGATTCTGGCAGCGACGACAACAATGGAGACCTGCAGAACTGGTCATCTCTGATCGGCATCACCACCGCCATTGTCGGTAATGTCCTCATCGCGCTTGCGCTGAATGTGCAGCGCTATGCGCACATTCGTCTGCATCGCGAGCGCCGCCGCGTTCGCCGACGAGCCAAGGAAGCATTGAGATCTAACCAGGACGGCGTCAACGGTGCAGGAGGAGCTGCAGGAGGAACATATGGCACGCTGGGCACACCACAGAACCACTCTGAAGACGAGACATACTTCAATGGCAATCATGCGGGGAATGGAACGTCGGGGGCATCCGATTCTCTGACGCGGTCGTTCCGGTCCGAAGATTCAACCGAGTCTGACAGCTCTGGAGACGACGAGGAGCAGGTTGCCTCAACCTATCTCAAATCGCCATACTGGTGGGCCGGTCAGATTCTCATCACCCTGGGCGAGCTCGGCAACTTTCTGGCATATGGGTTCGCGCCGGCGTCTATCGTGTCGCCCCTCGGTGTCGTCGCCCTCATCTCCAATTGTATCATTGCTCCCATCTTTTTCAAGGAAGTCTTCCGCCAGCGAGACTTCTGGGGCGTCATCATCGCGACCGGTGGCGTGGTCACAGTCGTTTTGAGTGCCAAACAAGAGGAGACAAAGCTGGACCCTCATGATGTGTGGGATCACATCACAACGATCGAGTTCAAAGTATACCTTGCCGTAACCGTTACGCTCATCGCCATCCTCATGTGGGCAAGCCCTCGGTATGGCCACCGAACCATTCTGGTTGACCTCGGCCTTGTCGGTCTCTTCGGTATGTAGCCTCCCTGGGAGTCAATTCTGCCGAAGCAGGGGGGAAACGACCTTGTTCTTGTATCACGTACTAACCGCTCCTCATCAGGTGGCTACACTGCCCTGTCGACCAAGGGTGTCTCCTCGATGCTCTCGTCCACCCTTCTAGGTGCCTTCAAGACTCCTGTCACATATGTGCTGCTCTTCATTCTGCTGTTTACAGCTGTCATGCAAGTTCGCTACGTCAACAAAGCCCTGCAGAGGTTTCCGTCGACACAGGTGATACCCATCCAATTTGTGACGTTCACCCTCTGTGTCATTGTCGGCAGCGCCGTCCTGTACAGAGATTTCGAGCGCACTTCTGGCGAACAAGCGGGGAAATTCATCGGCGGCTGCCTGCTCACCTTCTTTGGCGTGTTTCTGGTCACTAGCGGTAGGCCAGGGGAGAACGAAGAAGAGTCCTACTCGGAGATCGATGGCGAGGCAACGATAGGACTTGCTCGTCACGATTCGCACCATTCTGCGCAGCATCCGTCAACCCCTGGCGGGGCGTCAAGTTCCCGTCGTTCCTCCAAAGTGTCGCACGCCAACATCTTCCAAACCGACATGCAGCATGACAGCGGGAAGCCAACGCTCAGGAGGCCATCTGTCAACCCACCCAGGACCCCCGGCGAATCGGCGCCACTTCTTAGCAACCCGTGGGCCATGTCGGGCGATGAATCGCCTGTTCGCGGTGTGCGCACCATTTCTGAGGATGCGGTCGCCTCATTGATTACACCATCCGAACCCGCCACACCGTTCCGGGACGGTCTGGGACCAACGTCATATACAGCTGAACCTCAATTGATGACACCGCGCCACCTCTCGGTTCCCGCGTCACAGAGGCCGCAAAGTTCAAAGTTCAGTGGGCCGTTCTTCTCGCCATCACCCTTGTCATCAACAGTCAGCGCTGTGGTCAAGGACACCCTGCTGCGGAATGCTGATAGCCCCTTGCTGAAGAGGCCCTCCATGAAACGCCTCCGGACCAGCATCCGCGCGAGTCTGTTCATGTCGGAAGAGGAGCAGGAGGTGGCCGAAAGGCGAGGTCTGGCCTCTCGCTCGCAGGATGAGCTCAACATAATATCAGACGAGCCGATACAGCCCAGGCAAGAACCACGCCTTGCGTCGGCCTCTGTCGGGACCGGTCGGCCTAGAAGTCTGAGTGATACCCTGGGGGAGCTCTTCAGAGTGAAGCGAAAGAAGAGGGATCCTGCCGAGGGCGGGCTGGAGGAAGATGCTCCATAGCCGCGGCGCTGTACTGTCATCTCGACATCAAGCATTGCATTTTTGTAGGGCGTTTCTGGACATGGGACGGTGGCTGGTCGTCTCGTCTACTCTTGTGGTTTTTAGGGCACAGTCTACCGGCCTTGGATATACATTTATTACAATTATCGATCAATACTTTTCTGATGACTGAAGGTTCCAATGACGCCACGTCGCATTGTAGTCTGTACCATGCTGTCTTCCATGTGCGGTCTCTCTTCACTCATACCAAGATCAAGCAAAAGTAAAGCACCACGTTGCTCTCCGATGCCCCGAAACTTGAAACACAAATTGCGAGGTCGATATGCACACAGCTTCCACCCAAGGATTGCTTTCACAAAGCAATTGAATACATAAACAACTCGTTGTATTCACAAATTCACCAATTACGACAGCTCAGTGAGTCAAATGGATATCATCCAGCTTGCATCAACTAAACTTTGAAATGACCCATCTAAGCCTTGCCGCGCGACTGCGCCTTCTTCTTCCGCATCAACCTTTTCCTCGCAATCAGCTTGTGCTGCATATCTTCCTTCTGCTCTTCCTTGGCTGCCTTCTTCCCCGAGACAGCCGCCGTCTTGGAAACACCAGCAGTCTTGCTCGCTGGCTTGCTTGATGTTTCTGCAGGTTTCGCCGAGCCGGGCGGCTTCGCTCCAGTCTTCAGCGCAAATTTCTTGCTCGACTTCTGACTGGGCTTGGACTTGTGCTTCGCTGCCTTCTTCTCGGGTTCCGGGGCCTGCTCGTCTGCAGGCTCCTCCTTGTCCTCTTCGGCCTCCTGCTTCTTGAACGTTTGCTTCCCCTCCGTAGCCTTGCGCCTCTGTACGACCTGCGCGTTCTCGATAGCGAATTCCGCCACCAGACGCTGCTTGCGGCCTTGGTCGTTGTCCATTTGATGTCCGTTGAGCCACCTGAGGCCCATCAGTGCCCATCGATGAGACGAGTACTCGATGAAACCATAGCCTCGACTCTTTCCGCCAGCTGCTTCGGTGACCTTGGATCCGTCACGACTCTCGAACTCAATCTTGGCCTGGCGCACGATACCCTTGCCCTTGAGCTTGCGGTTGTGCTCGGCCTCCTTCGCCTCCTTGTTGGCGCGAGCCTTCTCCTCCTTCGACAGCGGCTGGCGCAGACCGTTTGTGACATCTGTAGCGAAACCGACGCAGGCCTCTCGCGCCAACTGCTTCAGCTCCTTGGAGGTCATGCTGTGAGGGATGTTGCGGACGGCAAGACGGGTCAGACTGATGTGCAGGGAAGGGTTGCCCTCTACCAGCTTCTTGCGTTGCTGTCTGCTCTTGTCTCTCATCATGATCTCGGCTTGCGACAAGCTCTTGTACATGGCCGACCGGGTGTCGAGCTGACCCTCCTCGAGGAGGAAGAGTCTGCGCTTGTCGTTGGCCCGGCGCTTCACGCCGGCATCAGCGGCCAGACGACCAGCATCATCCTTGCTGACGGCCTGAGCAACAGACAGCAGCCGACCGTCCAAAGTGTACTTGCCTTCGGGGTCTGCCGTCTCGTCTTGCAGGATGGAGTGCTTGCCGACAAGAGGAGCGGCTTGGCTGCGGGGGGCGTTCTTTACACAGGCCTTGGAGTCGGCCTCGTCAAAGAAACACACAAAGCCCGTACCGGCAGGCCGGTCCGTTGCGCGATCCATGACGACACGCGCGTACCGAACGGGACCAAAAACGGCGAAATGGGACTTGAGCTGCTCATCCGTCGTTGTGAAGGGCAGGTTGCGGATGAACACGGTGGAGTCGTTGTTCGTTGTCTTTTTGGCGGTCTCGGGTTGTTCTGTGGGTTTCGATTCCTCCGCGTCGCTTTCCTCTTCCTCGTCGGACTCCTCGAGCTTAGCGCCTTCGTCTTCATCGTCGTCCTCGTCGGACTCCTCCTCTTCGTCGCTGTCTTCTTCGTCCTCGAGATTGCCCATGGTGTTCTTCATGAAGTTCTCGAGATCCGCGTTGAGTTGAGCATCGGCGTCATCCGAGGCTGGCTGCGCAGACTTGACAGACTTCTTCGCAGTCTTTTCGGTTTTGCTTTCGGGCTTCTCCTCGGGCTTCTCCTTGATCTTCTTGGCCGATTTCGCAGGCTTCTCCGTGTCGGCTTCAGCGCCTCGCTGGTTATCCCACTCCTCCTTTTCAACAGCCCAGTCGACAGCAATAGTTCGTCCGTCGATGCCTTTGCCGTTCATGGCCTTGATGGCATTCTCAGCGTTCTTCTCGCCACGAATGGTGACGAAGCCGAAACCCCTGAGCCTGCCATTGTTCATGGGAAGATCAGCAAACTTGATCTTGCCGTAGCTCTGAAAGAGAGCCTGAAGCTGTGCCGGGGTCTTGATGCTCCATGGCAGGTTGCGAATGATGAGCTTGGGCGACACCCAAGCCTCCTCTATCGCCTGCGACTTCTTTTGCTTGCCGACAGGGGCGAGAGTGGCAGTCCTAGGTGCCGAGCTGTTCTGGTCACGGTTTCGGGCTTCGGCCAGATCGACCGTGATGCGACGTCCTTCCCAGAGTTCGTTGTTGAGTTTCGCTTTCGCCTCAAGAGCATCCTCGGCGTCGGTCAGGGTTACGAATCCAAAGCCTCGCGATTCTTTCGTCGCCTGATCCACGACAACCGTGGCGTGCTTGACGGGGAAGTGTTGGGAGAAGTAGTCGGCAAGGGACTCGCTGGTGGCGTCGGGAGGAAGCGATCGAACGAAGAGAGAGCGGTTGGCCTCGACCTTGGCCTTCTTTGGCTTTGGCTGGGGAGCACCGTCGGCGTGATGATTGGCGGTGGCCGGGCCCCTGGAGCGCTTCAGCGCATTGGCAATGGGAGCCATTGTACGTTGTTCAGATATGGCTTGGAGGATTGATAAGATTGTTGCGTGGACGAGCTTTGCAAACTGAAGCTGCCACGAGCTCTCTTGTTTCTTCTCTTTCCCTCGCCGTAGATCAGATTGGGACTGGATTTTTTTTCGGGACGGGCTCGTTATCGGCTGCACTTGATTTCTTATCAGCACGTGGCGCCAGCTGGACCCCGCACTAATCCATTTCTGGCAATTTATTGACTCGAACCACAACAGACGCGCTCCCGATACTGGTGATAGCGACTGCCAGCGCACTAGGGGTGGGATTGCTTCTCCAACAACACCGAAACCCCGACATAAACACCCAGATACCCATGACCAGACGACAGAAGCGGCACTACCGAGATCTTCCTTTTTCGCGAGCCTGATCTTAGGTTAAAAAAAAATCCAACACAATGCCAAGCCGAGTACCTTCTCGGTCGACGCGGACATCCACCGCTGTCTCGCACAAAGCATCATCATCAACCCTCAACCCCAGAGCCTCGACCACATCGCGCGCTTCCTCGGTGCCCGTGGACGTACCTGCCGAGAATCCAGACAGTCCGCTGCGCTCGCAAATATGCACCGTGTTCCGTGACGCCCAACGGAACACGGCGTCCCATCGAAAGCTCGTGGTCAACCTGCGCAAGATCCAAGAAGCATGTTGCTACGAGCCCACGAACCCGAAGAAGACCGATATGAACAATTTCGACGAAGAAGCTTTCAACCACGAATTTGTGAGATGCGTGTTGAGGGTCATGCCGGTCAAGAAGAGCGAGAGCGTCGGCGAAAAGGTGATTCGCTTCGTCGGCGTCTTTTTGCGACACGCCAACGAAAAGGACAACGAAATCCTGGGAGAGGCTGATGAGGACGCCAGCGTCATGCCGGAAACACCAAGTACGCGACTCACCAGTCTTCTCATGGAGACGGTGCTGCCCCTTTCGATGGCCAAGGACAAATATGTTCGGTACAGATCGACGCAGCTCATCTCGCACATCATCAACTCGCTCGATGCCATTGACGACGAGCTCTTCCAGAAACTGCGGCACGGGCTCCTCAAGAGGATCCGCGACAAGGAGGCCATGGTACGCTCACAAGCAGTCCTTGGCCTCGGCCGGCTTGCTGGCAATCAGGCCGAAGCGGGCGGCAACTCGGACGATAGCGAGGGGGATGATACAGGCCTGCTTGAGAAGCTGCTCGAAGTCCTTCAGAACGACCCGTCGGCAGATGTGAGACGGTCTCTTCTTGTGAACCTGCCGATCCTGCCCAACACTCTGCCCCATCTTCTGGAGCGGGCGCGCGACCAAGACGCTGCTACCAGGAGGGCTGTGTACTCCAGGCTGCTGCCCGCTCTGGGCGACTTCCGCCACCTATCGCTGTCGATGCGCGAGAAACTCTTGCGCTGGGGTCTACGCGATCGAGACGAAAACGTGCGCAAGTCTGCTGGCCGCCTCTTCCGCGAGCGCTGGATTGAGGATTGTGCCGGGATCGAGCCCACTGAAGAGGGCCAGCAAGCGGAGCCAGCTCCTCCCAACTTTGATGGTCTTCAGGAACTCCTGGAGCGTATCGATGTCGTCAACTCGGGCGCAGAGAACGGCGTCGCGCTAGAGGCTATGACGGGGTTCTGGGAGGGCAGGCCAGACTACCGCGAAGCCGTTGTCTTTGACGACCAGTTCTGGCAAACTCTGTCCGGAGAATCCGTCTTCATGGCCCGCAGTTTCAACGATTTCTGCCGTAGCGAAGACAACAAGAAATACGAGTCGCTGCTGGAGGAGAAGCTGCCCGAGGTCACCAAAGTGGCGTTCTACCTCGAGCGTTACATCGGTGTCCTCGTAGATGCTATCAAGAGGACCCAGCAGGCCGCCGCGGACGAAGACGAGGAAGAAGACACTGTTGAACAAGAGTTCATCGTCGAGCAGATGCTTCACATTGCCATTACTCTGGACTACTCTGATGAGGTGGGCCGAAGGAAAATGTTCGCCCTCCTTCGGCAGTCTCTTTCGATCCCAGAGCTGCCTGACGACGTCACGAAGCTCACAGTCAATGTTCTCCGAGACATCTGCGCTCCTGATGCAGCCGGCGAGAAGGAGTTCTGCAGCATCGTTCTAGAGGCTGTAGCTGACGTTCATGACACCATCGTGGATGACGTGGCGCCCGACGCTGATACCACAGAGGACAGCTTCCACTCGGCAAGATCTGAAGTGGCTGGCGACACCACGCCCAAGAAGCGGGGGCAAAGTCCGGAAGAAGACGAAGAGGAGTCTCAAGCAAAAGCTATCAAGGAGATCATGGTCAACATGAAGTGCCTGCACATTGTTCAGTGCATGCTCTCCAACGTGGCTGGGGACCTCCAACAAAACGACCATCTGGTTGCGATGCTCAACAACCTTGTCGTGCCCGCCGTACGAAGCCACGAGGCCCCAGTTCGAGAGAGGGGCCTGGTTTGCTTGGGCCTGTGCTCCCTGCTCGACAGATCCCTGGCGGAGGAGAACCTGACGCTCTTTATGCATTTCTTCACCAAGGGTCATACTGCTCTTCAGATCACCGCGTTGCAAATCCTCACAGACATTCTCAACGTCCATGGATCTCAGCTTCTCGCGACGACTCCCGCCCTGCTGAAGGTCTATATCAAGGCGCTCAGGTCCGGGTCCAAGGCTCCCGAGGTACAAGCGGCCGCTACCTTGGCGGCATCGAAGCTTCTGCTCGGCCGCGTCGTCACTGACCACGATTCCTCATCCGAGCTCTTGAAGACGCTCATCATCGCCTACTTTGACCCTTCGAGCGCGCACAACCAGAGCGTGCGACAGGCACTCAACTACTTCCTGCCAGTCTTCTGCTTCTCTCGCGCCGAGAACCAGGAACTCATGCAGTCCGTCGCATTGGACGCACTGCATTCGCTCTACAACATCAGGGAGAGCCTGGAGGACGACGACGCCGACGTCGACGAGGACATGCAGAGCCTCGCGACAATCGGCGCTTGTCTCGTTGATTGGACCGACCCAAGGAAGTGCTACACGCCAGGTCTGGGTCTCGACACGGAAAAGAAGACAGCCAATGGCGACATTCACCTCAACTTTGCCCTCGATATCCTCGAACGTCTGAGCGGAAACATGACAAGTAAGCGAGCCCACCTTGCCCCCTCCGCCCCCGTTTCATTCTTACTAACCCCTTGCCCAGAGGAAGAAAAGAAGGTTGTGGCGCCCTTGCTCGGCAAACTCTACATTTCACCAACGAGCTCAGAGGAGAAGCTCCGCGAGACCTTTGACGAGGTGTCCATCGCCGTGAATGACAAAATTGTGTCCGACACGACCGGCCGGAACGCGCTGAACAAGATCCACGTCAGCTTGGGAAAGATTGTCGCCAACCTAGGCGAGGCGGGCGCCGACGATCGCCGCGTCAGCAGGAGCGTGTCAGTTGTGGGCGATGACAGGACAGAGACGGAGGGGCGAACGGTCGTCACGGAGCCTCGCATCAAGGAAGAGGATGAGGAGAGCCAGGCGACGAATGCCAGTCGTATGGACGAAGACAGTGACGAAGGGACGGTCATTCAGGGCAAGGAGAGGGACACGCTCGTGGACGATCTCTTGAGCGAGGACGAGTTCTGACGGGGAGTGTGCTACGGCGGACGGTTTGCGCTGGTTACTTTGTAGTTCTTGGTTTGCAACAGTTCGTTTGGTCTGGATGGCACGGAGGTGGCAACGGGTTTATGATGATGAGGTATGGCCTTTGTACATCTGTTACGGGGAATCTTATGGAATGTGCGAATATCTGTGATGTCTCCAAGGACGAACCCCCCGCGCGCTCTTGTGTCCATTTCATGACGGTGCGCCCATCCAATACAGGCCGCTGGCCAGCAAGATGTTGATGAATAAGTGCTGGCCGATGCCCCACGCCATGCAGTAGAGGTATTTTGGGGAAAAGACGGTCCAGATGAACAAGTGCGTCCGCAAAGCTGTGCATGCAGCCATGATGAACGCGACGCTGCAAGTAGCAAACAGCGTGACGTTCGTGAGATGTTGGAACAGTGCAGATGGACCAGGTCTTCCCCGAGACCTCTGCAGCAGAAGCAGATTTGTTGCTGAGGTCCAGTATACGGGCCCTGCCCAGTTGCTGATGAAGGTCAGAAAACCGACACCCACCACGTTGAAACCCGAGACTCCGTTGTAGGCGCTGGACAGGTCAACGGATGAGATGGCATTGGTGCCCCCAAACGCGAAAAAGGACATGTACTGAAGGAGTATTGACGTGGTTGAGATGGTGGTGATATCAAGATCCAGGCTGGCCAGGAAAGTATACTGGACCTCAAAGAGGAGCAACAGGGGGATATTGGTGACGCGTGATTGCGTCGCTGCGAGCAGGGCATATAGATAATGAAGCAGCTCGGCTGGCGAATGTCAGTTGTAAGGTGTCCACGTGTGGGCGGCTGGTGGTGACTTACCCATGGCTCTGGCGCGGCTAGGTTCCGCAACCGATTTGCAAAGAGCGTACGCAGCCACTGCTGCAAGATCTAGGAACACAATCCGGGCACGAGTCACCAGTGTGAGCCTTTGCAATGCAGCGCTGATGTCGTGTACGAATCCCCCAAGAAGCTCCGGGGCATCTTCATGCGTGAAGGCGAGCTTGAATGTCAAAGCTGACAAGATGAGGACGAAGACCACCCCAAACGACATCACACGCGATAAGCCTGAGAGACAACAGTGGATACGAATTCCCAGCAGTGCGTATGTGGCCCCGACGAGGGCCCAGAGAGTGAGCGGCGATGCCATCAAGAACGTTTTCACAATGTCTGGCTCCCCGGCATGCTTTTGGCCCGTCTGATTCCACGCCCGCACTAGGCGAGTGGACAATAGAGCCAGCGAGAGCTGCAGGGCCCTTGAAATCGGTTTCTTGGTGCTGGAGTCTGGGTCAGCTCTCTGGTTCGGAGGGGTCTCACGGTCGAAAGAAACATACTTTCGCAGCTGGACGATTCCAAGCCCACCAAACCATGCCGACGTAGCCCAGTACCAGAAGTGATGCTCCTCTTCTACGAAGCTACTAGCAAACATCATGATACCGTAGGAAATCGTCATGATGACGAATGGTATATGACTCCAGCAGACTTTGAGGAGCAATGCGTTTGACACGAGGGCTACAAAAATGAATGCTTGTCCTCCAACGAGCCTAGGCATGTCATAGTTGCTCGCCATATTGCTCATCAAGCCCTGGGCTCTGCCAAGCCACTGTATCTCGTCAGAACAATTGTTCGTCGCATATCTCGCGTGTTCACTTACCTTGGAAATTGCCGACACCCACTGTGAGTCGATTGGGCTGTCATCCTTGAATGACTGGCGCTGAGTGTCAATGCGCTGCCATTCGCATGCTAGTCCGAGGGGTTCATCCTCAGGATCGCGACAAGCACTCTCATCTTGGCTCTGCTCCAAGAGATCGGCACCAAACGTAGCTTCAAAAATCGTCAGGATCTGACGAGCGTTCCGGACAAGTAGTTGTATCTGGTCATCCCCTGAGAATCGTCAGTTTGGACGAGCAAACATATCGACCCAAGTATAAGCACGTACTCTTGGACCAGAAAGGCAGAAATTCCTGGATCAGAGCCCCCAGGTTGTTCCTGGGCACGGGGAACCCGAGTAAGGCGCCTAGTGTCGGAGCTATGTCGGATTGCTCGACCTTGCCGTAGTAGTGAAAGTCGTCTCGATACGAAGCCGGCGACTCAAGGTTCATATTCGAGGATATGACACTCAGCTTGGGGGAGATGAACACTAGGGCGGGCGAGGTCTCCCCTGGCGACGATGCGCCGTGGTTGCCAGCATCGTTCATTCCGTGATCACCGCACAGCACAAGCAGAGTTGAAGCGAGGTGGTCATGGCCCTCGATGGCGTTGTAGATATCCTTGACCAAAGCGTCCATTTCTCGCTGCTTGGGGATCATGTTGGGACTTGTCCACTCGTCAGAAGCCGGAGCAGAAGACTGGGGCAGGAGGAGGAAGTGACAAACCTGGAGGGCCCGGCTTTGTGGCCGATATGGTCGAGGCCCAGATAGTGAAGCACCATGGTGCTCCAGTCCTTGTTACGCAGTTCGTCTGGGACATGCCTCGTGACGTTGTTGTCAACCTCGGTGAAGTCCTACCTCCCGTCAGCGTCAAGCTCACTACAATTACAGTGGCTACTTCGCAGTGACGAACATACCGAGACGAAGAAACTAGACGTGCCATCGGCACGATCAAAGGTGTCAGGAAACAACTTGAGCCATGTATCATCTCCATACATGACCATCTTGCCGGACTTTTTAGCTTTCATCTGGGCAAGCCATGTGTCCTGGGCTGCGAGGGTGGATGAAGTGTCGCCTTCATCAAAATTGAGGATGACATCGAGGAAAGATGGGATTGAGCCAGTCGTTATGGCCTTGATACGCGGCATGGTGATGGTGGGAGACCGAGCATTGGCAGTGAAAGGCAATGCATGTCCTCGGCGGATCAGACTAGACAGTCACGTCAATGACTGCAACTGTCAAGGCATCGGCGGAAAGGGAATAATCAGGCATACTCTTGGGTGAATTCGAATCCACTGTCTCCTGTGTACACGAAATCGCTAATGACTGAGCATTAGCACCGCGATGAGGACTTAAAGAAATGTACTCATTATGGAGGATACCTTCGGAGAGCGTCCACGACCATGAAGACCAGACGGTCAAATGGTGGTGCGGGAGGGTTGCCATAGTCGAGCGTCTCATACTGAGCCAGGCCAGAAAGGAATGGTTTGTACGGAAAGAATCCCGTGGCGAATGTTATGATAGACACCGGTATCAACAAGTTCGCTATCACGAGAAACAACATTTCGAAGCGAGATATGTTGTTGTATCTCATCGTGATGTGAACCCATCAGGGTGTACAATAACGTAGGCGTGAGACGAAAGCAAGTCTGAGGAGATGGGTCACTCAGGCAGCGAACTTCACAAACGAGCCCTGGAGGGTTCAGTCGGACAGAAGTTTCTGGCGGAGTGTCGAGGCTGCCTTTGAGGGAACGAAATAACAGGCATGCCAGTCTCATCCATGACCCGCGTTGAACAAGCTGAAGTAAGGTGCATACCGGTAGTGGAAGAAGACGAGACGCGGATCGCGGTGTCTGACTTACAGGTACGAGACCTGCAAGGGGGAATCGTCGGGGGTGGGCTTACATCATGTGGAGCACTCTGATTGGGTGTGCTCTGGGGTCCCCATCCTCTGCCAGCGGGTCTTTCAGGGGCACATCAGTGGAAATATAGGTACTTTAGCAAGCTTCGGTACCGAGCAAGCTAGGTAGTCATCGACAGTCACTACTGGAGTCAATTGACCTGTCCAGGAGATGCCTGTAGGTACTTCAATCTGAACATGGACAAGTTCTTTCAGCTGAGCATGAATGTTCATTGCAAATGTAGAATTTACAGTGAAGTATTGCCAAGCAAGTCTCGGGCAAGTGATGATGTTTTTAGGAAACTGTCCTGGCCACAGTATCACAGAACTTGAAGACAATATATTCAAAAGTTGACTAGAACTCCGAACTCCCCTTGTCAAATAAGACGATTGGCAACTCATTTCTTGCCCTTACGATCTTTGTACTTGGGGAATACAATCCTAGACGTCTTCCGCTTCTTCAGAACCTTGCCGGCACTCTTCGGCTTACTGGCTGGCTTGGCGCCCTCAATGTCCATCGTATCTGTTGCGAAGTCAGTATATGAAAAGTTTGGCCTTCAAAGCATGATGGGCTTGCAAAAAGGGAACGACATACTGGAGTCTTCCACGGGCTCAGACGCTTCAGCGGCGGGCTCATTCGCAATCTCAGCTAAACGGTTGCAATACTCAGTCAATGACTCTGATTCTTCCACGGCTCATTACCTTGTCATTGGTGAATGACAGAAGACTTACCATCAAGGTCCTCTACGTCCATGGTCGTGTCCTGCTCTTTTTGGGGCTTGGGCTGAGCAGCCAGTTCCAACAACTTCGCCGACAGACGCTCCGTTCGAGCAGACTCAACAGGACCGAAGACATTCTGCTTCAGCCTCCGGTTGTTCGCCTTCCGCGTACTCGCCCTCGCACTTTTGGCCATGTTGAGTGTGAACGGCCAACGAGGCGGCTTGGTGGTTCCTGTGTGGGTGGAAGGCCTAGGTCTTGAATCCAAATTATGCGACGTCCTATCCTATAATGGAAGGACTGGTTAAACTTTTCGCGCTGTCGTTGCAAGTTAAGGGGCGTAGGCTGTGAATGCAGACACCGAGACGGTGAGTGTAGATTTCAGTATGAAGGAATCGCAGGCGCAAACGAAAAATGAAAAGGCCCCGCCACTTTCTTCGACATGTTATCTTATCGGTTTATAGCACCCCTCGCTAGCGCATTCTCCCTTAACCACACCCCTGCGATCTTCTTTGCGACACTCTACAACCACACCTCGGTGCCGACGACAACGACTCCCGCAACCGCAAGGCGACCAACCAGGAATGACCTCAGCGCGAATCTGAGGTAGAGAATTCTCGACCCCCATCGAACCATTTGCTGCAATCCTGCACTCGCATCGTTCTCCTCGCCCATGTCCTCGGCCGGCTAACTGCTCATGGGCCTCTCGACCCTGCCTCCTATTCCGGATTTCGACAGCGCGAGCGACACGCGCCCTCGACAGACTCTGTTCCTACAACTTGGCGTCCACGCCTGGCACACGTTACCCTTCGTGTGAACAATCGGGCTACGACACGTCCATACGCCATAGCCATAAGCGCGCTCTGCAGGGCACTCGACCTTCGTTGCGATAGCAGGAACACAGGCGACAAACAGGGCGGCGGCCTTGTTCCCGTTCCCTTATGAGGTCACTATTCGGGCAGACAAGGGACATTGATTGCGACCAACGGCAGCCATGCCTGAAATACCACGAGCCGACGTCGCCTCCCTGGTGAAGGTCGTGCAGAGCACCACCTTGCTTAATAGGCAGCTTTCGACGATCTGCCAGCTCAATGGCCTGACCTCTAGCGGCGTCAAGGCCAGCCTGCAACAACGCATTGTCAACTGTGAGTGTTGGCCGGTTGTCTCCTTCCCTCCTGACGATCTGCTTCTGCATCGTCCCTTCCACTTCCAAAGCGGCGTGCCCGCATCATGTGCCAGAAGCGCGTGCAGCCCTCGATATGCTTCCAACATCTGCCTGGGAACCGACCTGATGGGTTGCCTGTCCAAGGCAAATGCAGTGTCAAGATGGAACCGCCTTTACACGTCTGTTTCGCTTTAGAAACACAGCCTGAACCGGAAGGAGGACTTGTGCTGATTCTATCTCTTGGACACAGACATACAAGAGATCGTCAATAGGAAGGACCTGACACGATTTCGCCAGATCGAGCAAAGCATCCGAAATACCAAAGCTGGACATCCCCACACGACCCCTTCCACCACTACCCCGAAGCCTGCAGCCATGCTAGATTACACGAACAATGCCCCTGCACAACCCGCTCGATCATATTTCAGTGGGAGCAACCTCAACGGCGGCGGTGCGCATAGCAGCCTCGGGCACGCTGTAGGCTATCACGGTGGTTCTCAGATGAGTACGGTTTTCTGGACCCTTCATCGACGAACAGCTGTATTGATTTGCCCAGGTCTCCAGTTTAAACCCAGTCCCTTCTACGAGATCAGAAGATCAGTAGGCCCGATCCGCACCTGCGAAGGTATGAATGACTTGGTTGCCGCTGGATGTATCGACCTTGGCTGACTTGAGTGCTAGCCATGAGCCAGCACAGGAACCTGGTTACCATCAAGATTAGGGCCAGTGAACACGCTGCACTTCAGCAGTGTATCACCGACAAGTCTTTCCGCGTCATGGTTTTCTGCGCCGGCGATAAAAATGGCATTCAGGACATTGCTTTTCCACATCAGTCTGAGGTCAAAGTAAATGGTGGCGAGATCAAGGCGAACCTCCGGGGGCTGAAGAACAAGCCTGGCTCGACACGCCCCGTCGACATTACAGACGCTTTGCGATTGAAACCTAGCAACTACGAGAACAACGTTGAACTGATCTACGCGCTCACGACAAAGGTACTTATGAACTCGATGCAGTTGCGCACGTCAATTTAAGATTGCAATCTTGGCTAACAAATTTCTAGCCGTTCTACGTAGCCGTCTACCTATGTAAGACAACGTCGGTGCAAGACCTCGCTGCCAGGATCGAACATGGCAAAAAGATACCCAAAGCATCTGTCATCTCAGAGAGTAAGTCGTGCTCTGCCACCCGCACCCCCCTTGCAGCTCACTCGGTATGGCTTGCGTGTGGCTAACTGAATTAGTCCGCAAAGAAGCAGCCGACACGGACATTGTTACGACGTCGCAAGTCCTGTCGTTGAAATGCCCATTGAGCTACATGCGGTTGGCTATCCCTTGCCGTTCCTACGTTTGCAAGCATATTCAGTGCTTTGATGCCACATCCTATCTTCAGTTGCAAGAACAGGGACCTCAATGGCTGTGTCCCATCTGCAACAAAAGCGCGACTTATGATAGTCTTGCGATTGACGAGTACGTTTCTCAGCCTGTTGCCAAGACACACCATTAACGCCTCTGTTTTAGATATGTCAAGGACATTTTGGCCAATACGTCGAAAGATCTGGAGCAAGTGACAATAGAGCCCGATGCGCAGTGGCATGCCCAATCATCCGTCGATGACCATAACCCGTATAGAGGTAGTCAATCGGCAGCTCTCGACGACGACGACGACCTGGAAATCTCCGAGATCAGCATTGTGGGAGGTCGCAAATATGAAACGCCCTCCCGTTCGCTACAGGGGACCGCAACCCCGACAACACGGGATAGTTCGTCGATGCCCCGCGGCCTGGGGTCCGTCAGTGGCAAGAGGCCGGCCCCGCAGGAATTTGTAGACTTGACTCTGGATTCCGACGATGATGATGCGCCTCCTCCTCGGAAGAAGCAACACTTGTCTGTCCCGGAGCTTGGAGACTATTGACATGCCGACGGAAGATTCCTCTTCGGTGCTTTTAAATTTAGGGGTGAACGTTCTTCAGAATGAAGGGAACGGGCTATCGACTGTTAAGGGGAGTCGAGAAGGCATCGACGAGATGGGGGGGGGCATCAGCCTATACGAGGGTAGCGGACGGCATCGGACAAGAAAAACTTGGGAGGCGTCAGGAAATGGCTTGGACTTTCACGGTTCGGCACAAGAATCAAAGCGCTGGAGTTTGGGTTTGGCTTACGAGAGACGAATACACTGGTCCCCATTTTGAAGGTGTTCCAGGTGGATCAAGTGTTGCATGCAGACATGAGGAGGCGGTGGAAAGCCGATATAGAGGAACGGTAGGTGTCCAGCTGTTCCGATGGTTGAGCTTCAGTAAGTACAGACGTAGCATCCCAACCAGCGCGATTGCCATTAAACAAATCGCGAAATGGTGTTTCTATGCACGACGCGTATTGCCCTTATTGATGGGTGGTCATGATCGTCTGTAACTGTTGGATATGGGTGAAACCTGAGAGCCAGATGCACAACCAGGCAAGCAGCAAGGTACCCGCACAAACGGCGCACATGCCTCGAGCCAGTCCCCATGTAAGCCAAGTGCCCAAGCTCCGCCGGGGTCTTGCATCCCCATTCGACATTCTACCTTCCACCTCAATGACCACACAGCTCAACAGTGCAACGATCAAGGACGAATCTTCCTGAGCGATGCGCAGACCTGTCAATACATAATCAATCAATCAAACAACACATCCCTTCCGGAGCGGCACGTGCGACGCAGCGTTTCCTCCCCCCCTTCTTCGCCCACCATGTCTTTCGAAACCGTCATGCCCCCCTTCAACTCGACCGACCCCAACGCCTCCTTCCTGAGCTCTTCCGCCTACGACTTTCTCCTCATCGAGCTCGTTCCCCTCGCATACCGCGTCACGCAGGAGCTCGACCACGCCGCCACAGCAAACAGCGGCTCCTCAGACCCCGCACCAGCTTCGGCCGATACGGCATCGGTCAGCCAGCGCGCGGCCTCGAGCGTGACGGGCGGCGGCGGCGGCGGGACGGCGGCGAGTGCAGGCCAGAAGATGGACGAGGACGAGGAGAAGGATGCCGTTTTCTACAGGTTGGAGAAGCTGGGATACCGTGTCGGCCAAGGGCTCGTGGAGCGGTACGTTGCTTTGTTTCCTTCCTCGTGGGACGCGCTACCTGTGCTGACTGGGCCTCGTGGGTGTAGCTTTTCGCGCGACAGGCCGCGATTCAACGACACGCTCGACGTGATCAAATTCCTCTGCAAAGACTTGTGGTCACTGGTCTTCAGGAAACAAGTGGATAACCTCAAGACAAATCACAGGGTAGGGCACCCGTGTTCTTCTCATGTGGCACCTGTTTGGGTTGAGGACTGACCGTGTCGCTGCTATCAGGGCGTCTACGTTTTGACGGACAACAACTTTAGGCCGTTTGCAAGGATGAGCACCGAAGTGGGAGGGCAGGCAGTCTTGCGAGCACAGCCGGTATGGATACCCACGCTTTGAGTGACGATGAATTCATTTTACTAATTATGACTGTCCTTTTAGTTCTTATGGTTCCCTTGTGGCATCCTGCGTGGAGCGCTGGCTGCTTTGGGTGTGGATGCGACGGTTCAGGCCGAAACGAACGAGCTCCCCGCCGCCGTCTTTCAGATCAAAACGCTTGCTCCAAAAACGTAGAGCCTCTCGAACCCCGCGCATCAAGCACGGCATGTTTGAATTATAGAGGCCCTGGCTACCATGCTTCCTGACAGAAGTTCTGAGACCATGAGACCTTACAGCCTAAAATCAAAAATCAAAACAATCAGCAACAGGCTCTCCTGGTCGTAACTCTGTCTACCACCGTATTCTTGGCTACAGGTGGGGCAATCCGCACGCTCGCCGAGCCGTCGACAGCTGCGGCGGAGGAAATCCAGGAGGGGAAAATCACTTTTGAGGGGGGTTGTGGGCAAAGTCAACACCCTTCTTGATGTTGCCCTTGAGGCCGGTGACGGCAGCCTCGAGGAGCTTCTTCTCCTTGTCGCTGAGGTCACCAAGGATATCGGTGGCCTTCTCGGCGCCGTTGGGCTGAAGGAAGATGAGTTAGTAGATGTTTTTACTTGGCGTATGGCTCAAGGGATTCTTACGCCGAGTTCGATGGGAACGGAGAAGAAGTCGACGCCAGTCTTCTCAGCGATCTCCTTGCCGCCAGGAACGCCAGGCAGGTAGACGTAGCTCGGCTCAACAAGACCCTTCTCGCCCTTGATGGCCTTCAGAACCTTCTCCGCGAAACTGCGATCTTGTCAGAAAACTGTCGGGTAAGCTGCGGTGGGAAATTATCTTACCGGAAACCAGCGTACGCCATGGAGAGGGTGGCAGAGCCCGCGCCATCCTTGGCCTTGACGACCTCGTCGCCACCGAACTGGACACGGTTGACGAGGGCGTCGTACTTGTCGTCGGGAATGGAAACCGAGGGGGTGACCTTGCTGAAGAGGGGGACAATGGTCTCGCCAGAGTGACCACCGATGACAGGAACGACAAGTTCCTGGGGGTTAGACTTGCCGGAAATCTCGGCGACGAAGGTCTCGGCACGAACGATATCGAGGGTGGTGACACCGAAGAGACGCTGAGGGTTGAAGACGCCCTTGGCCTTGAGAACCTCGGCAGCGATGGGAACAGTCGAGTTGACAGGGTTAGAGATGACGAGGATGAAAGCCTTGGGAGCAACCTCGGCGGCAACCTCAATGAGGCCCTTGACAATACCGGCGTTGATGTTGAAGAGATCGTCACGGGTCATGCCGGGCTTGCCTGCGGAAAGGTGTGGTCAGTATTGGGTCGGTGATGACCAGCACCAATCTGAAGCATCGCAGAGAAACATACGGGGAACACCGGCAGGGATGACAATAATGTCAGCATCCTTGAAGGCAGCCTTGGCACCGTCCTCCTTGGGGAGGTAGCCGGTAGTCTTCTGTATGAGGGGACGTTGTTAAGCAGGGTTTCGATGAGCGCCTGGCCTACGCATCTTGAGGGAGACGTACAGCGACCGAAGAGATGTGAGACAGGTCGGCAGCAACACCGGGAGTGTTGACGACATCGTAAAGGGCAAGCTCGTCAACGAGAGGCGAAAGCTTCAGGAGGAGCGAAAGAGGCTGCATTCTCGGGTCAGCGGGGTTTGATCGAAGGAGGGGTTATCTGGAGACGGTACGAACCTGTCCAATACCGCCAGCGGCGCCAGCAACAACTTGTGCAAAGTCAGCTACGCAAATGTTTGTAGATTCTCATATTTACGTACCAGCCTTGACCATTTTGTCGTTTAGGGGGGGGGTGTCGATGTTAGTGTCGGTTTGTTGAGGTTGTCTTACGAGAATCACACGTGTTAGCGGGGTAGCTCGACTGGCATGATAAGCTCCGGAATTCGGAACTGGATGGGGAAGTATGCGTATTTGTGCTCATTGATCAACAAGCAAGACCGGACAGCTCTGCTCACCTGGTGACAATGTGTCTGAAGGCTCGATAGGATGCGGAGAAGGAAGAGTGTAAGGTGTGTTGAGCGCGTCGACAGATGGGTGAGGGAGCTTGTGCAGGGTAGAAGTAGCAGACTGGCGCCATTGCGGGGAAGGGCTCGCGGATGGAGGGGCCCGCCTCACCAGTCTCACGTTGGGGACTTGCGACACTGGAAGGGTCGCTGGACCTGCAAGAACGCAGAGCGGGGTCATGCTCTGAGGGTCAGAGAAACAACCGGCGACGCTCTGCCACTCGTGTCCGGCATGTCACGGGCTCGAGCGACTTCTTTCGTCCGACAGCATTGGTACATCACCAGCCGCCGGCCTTGAGTGAACGTCCTTCGGCTATCACGATCATACAGTGGCACATGTACGTGACAAGGTATTACCGCCCAGGGCCAGCTCCCGCCCTGTAATGCATGTATGGTGCAGCCGTCTTTCCGTCGACAGCCCCAGTTGACCCCGGCCTTCCGTCATGTCCCGGCCATTGGGTTGGCTTGCTCCTGCCGACGGCTTGATCCCGGGATCGATCTCCTTTGTGCCCAGGGCCTGGAGACGTCTTCTAGACCCAGACGGGAGTCTTGCAGCCCCCCTGGATTGCTTTGCTCATACCAGATTGCCATGGTGTGCCTGACATCACCCTGTAACTGGGCTCTCAGCAGCCAGTGATGGGTGGGCCAGAGTCACGAACCACGACAAGACACCGGAATGACCCTCTCCCTCGGCAGAACGAGCCAGGACCAACGAAAGGCCGCAATACTCCGAAAGTTTCCTACCTAGGTTCAGGCATATCCGAGGACAAAATCGCATGCGTCACCGTTTCGGTCTCATACCTGCCAGGTTGTTGCCAATGCAGAGAGAGCAGCTCAGAGCTACGCGCACGGCTGTCCAACAACATCGACATGGGCATAGGAAAAGCTATTTTTGACGCGGGTGGAACCGCTTCAGAGGCCGTGCCCCAAAGTTCGATTTTGATTTACAGATATATACCGAGACACACGCGGTTTAGCAAGGCTACGATGCCATGTCCCAAGAAGGGCGCACGGCTGCAAACCCGCAGATTGCGAGGGCTTTATGGTCCAGGCACATGAATCAAAAATAGCCTCACACGACGAATGTGACGACTGCATGCGATGCTTGCCAGAAGGACTTTCTAGCCATGGCTTGATTTGTTGGCCGTCTCATGAGATACTTTATTTGTTATGTCATCGAACCAACCAATCCTGACCCGCATTCATCTCGAAATAACAGTCATTTATGCCTCGTCGGCAGCGGCGGCCTTCTTGGCCTTCTTGCCGCGGAGCTTGGGCTCGGGGTCGGCCTTGACGGCCTTCTGGGCGTAGCGGAGAGCGCTGACACGCTCGACGGCGGGCTGGCGGAGGTCGCTGCGGTAGCTGCGCTTGGCGGCGAGGTTGGCAACAGCCTTGTAGGTCCTGAGAAGGCAAAATCGTTAGCACACTCGTCTTTGGTTGGCATGCTTGCATGGTCGATGTTCGATGTTACTCACTTCCTGGCGGGGGTCTGCTGGCTGAAGCTGGTCACGTTGCGAGCCTCGGCGGGCTTCTGGGCCTTCTTCTCGTTCTTGCTGACGACCTGGACGGCGCCGTTCTCACCAGCCTGGATGCTGATGGACTATGAGGAACTCGAGTTAGCTTGCTGTTCTCGATGCTCGTGAAAAAAATCCATGCGCCAATCTTGTCCCTGGGCAGAATGAGAAAATTCGTACCTTGTCGTGGGCGTAACCAGCGTGTTTCTTGGAGTGAATGTTGGTCAGGTTGTAGGGATCGCGGGAGAAGATCACGCTGTTGCCGAGACCCTTGCGCTTCACGATGAAGGAGTTGTGGGCGCCTGTAGTTTGCGCCGGTCAGCCATTGTGATCCTGCCGTCGCCGTGCGACATTCTGTGCCGTTTCGAGACTGATAACTTACGGGTAAGCTCCCACACGAGGTCCTGGGACACATTCGGCAGTTGGGCGGCCATTTTGACTGAGATATTGCGATCACGAACGGTTTGTTGGATGGCTCTCCCAAATCTGATGCTCGATTTGCTATGGCCGAAATCATGTGTGTGGGTTGGAATCGCTTAGCAAGTCACTTACGGCCTAGCGTGGGCTGACAGCCGATAGAGGCCGTTATCCGACCACAGTGAGCACTGTGATCGGCGCTGTACGGGCGAGCCGCATTGGGCGGGCTCGGGGCGCATGAAGCGTGCCGTCACGGGCTGGCTTGCGCATGCGTTCGACCTCGACGTCGCCAGCCTGAAGCACAGCCACGTCGCTCGCTGCTGGGCATTAGCAAGCAACACCAACACCACGATCACATTCGACACGAACGTCAATCACTTGCGGAGTGACATGTTCGGGCATCACTGCTGGAGGTAGCTCTTTCGCCGCTTCAAATTCTCCCTTTCAGACTACGAGTCCTTCGCCCCGGCCGACCCGATCGACAGATCACGACATCGCACTGCAATCCGCAATCTCGTATTCACGCCCTCCGAGCAACATGGTGTACATTCTTTTGCCACTTTCTCTTTTCCTCCTCATCACTGTCACAATCCTCTTCTTCACAAGGGCATACTGGAGTCACCACGTATCCGACCTTCCCATCCCGGGCCGCGACTACCTCTACTCCCGCCTTCCATCATCCTTTACCGGCGACATTGAGGCCGGTCTCTCGAGCAGTACTTTTGATCTCAGCACCAATGTTGAGGCGGGCGACAGTCGCGCTGGGCTCGACAATGCAAGCAAGAAGGAGATTCTCAAGATTATGAAGAAGCGGCGCATGAACTTTGACCAGGCGCGGGGCGTCTACATGCAGAACCGATTCAAGGCGAACGGCATCGGTCCCGACGGTCGTCCGCTTGATCCCAAGGCTGTGACTTTCAGTTGATGGACGGGTGGCGATTATCACGATTGATCTCCTCGGAAGGAATCTTCAGATGTCAGGGGCTGAGACATGTCAGCCCCACGAACGAACGTGCGAGCAACGAACAGCGAGCGGTCCCAGATCCTGGGTCTAGCAGTAATACGAGCGATGTGCTTCATTGACGGCGGCTCATCGAGGAGGCTTTTAGCAACTTTGGCGTATTTGTCTTGACAGACCAACTATTTCTCTTTGTCGGGGTGTCTGTGGGGGTTTCCCACAACTGCATGCGTACAGGCTTATGTGTAGTTTTTCACACATGCTCTCCTAGAGCTCTCAATGTTGCATTTTCCTCTTCGACCGTGCTCTCAGATCCAATCAAGTTCATGATTGCCCCTGCAGATTAAGCTCGCAGGTTTCGAGCGTGCCGCTGAAAATCGCACGATACTCGACGTGTCCCTACGCACAACACCATGACTGGCATGAGAAGCTGTTGGCGTGGAACTACGATTAGAAGCTGTTGCTATTGCCCTTCTGTCTGCTTCTTGTTCCCCCTGATCTTGCGACAAGACACCATTTGTGCTGCAGCGCTCTCGATGGGAATCAATTGGTCTTTTTGGCATCTTCTGTGCTGTAGGTGCGATCATCTTCGCCTTCAACCTGTTTCTGAATTGCCTCCATCTCCTCGATTCCAGATCTCCAAGTCGTTTCAGACATCTTCGTGTTCTTGTCGAACCAGGCTCCATCCGGCTTGCGGTAGCTTCCTCCCCAGCGGTCCCAGAGGGTGGTGAACTGTCCATAATTATAGCTTTATGCAATGTTAGCAACTGTCGATATGAGCTTCGGCAGTCAACTCACTTGAAATACAGGTGGTGTGCTGTGTGACATGCGGATCCATTGATGACGGGATTGTCAGCGAGGTACTCTCCATCATGGATGAGAATGGACCAGAAGTTGACGAATATGAACAGCCCCACGTGGGCCCATTTGTTCAGAGGAATGACCATTGGTACAATGTGGTAAGGAAGAGACTGAGCGAAACCATCGAGTGGGTGGAAGGCGTGACTGGCATAGGGCGTAGGCATGATCCATCTGTGATGGGCCTTGTGCAGGCGCTTGTAGATCGTTGGATGATGCAGGCCACGATGGATCCAATAAATGAGCAGGTCGGTCAGGAGTATGAAGATGGGGAACTGCGCAAAGTCGTACCATCGACCTGGTCCCTCCTCGGTGGTGTCGTAGAGCCTGGCGTAGCCCCTGACCTCCAGCACGAACATGGGAGCCGTACATAGGGCCATCCCAGGCATCGCCTGGATAGCCTGCAGCATCTCGAGCCGGGTTTGGTCTTTGAGGAATTTGGGGTGGGTAAGAATTTTTTTATCGAAGATAAAGACGTACGAGAGCGAGGCAAATATGAAGTAGGTGAGAAACCCAAAGACCCTGAAGAGAATAGTCAGCATCCCTGGGCTGGAGGGGCAGCTTGGTGAAGAGTGGTAACGCACACAGTGATGGCGTAGAGGGTCATGAGCTGACGGACGACATTGTCCCTGTCCCACGAGCTCTCAAAGGCAGCGTCTGTTGGTTCGAGGTACATCCATCGAGTAGCAGGCTTGTATTGCCATGCCGAGAATGTACTTGATGTGACGTTAGAAGGGGGGTCTAGAGAGAAGTCATAGGGAGCCTGGCGTGCCGGAAGTAGCCAGGCATAGAGATGGTCGGCGGCGAATGTATCTGCAATTTCAAGCACGATATCCATACTGCCGGTAAGTCGGCTTGATAGACTGGGGTGTCCGGTAGAAACTTTAGTGACTCCGGAGAGCTGGCGAAGGGAAATCTGGCAGTGAACAGGTGTTTGAGCGTGGTGGTGTTAGATATCTCAAGATGGGACTGCACCGATGCAAACTGTCGGCGATGTTTTAAGTCGTCTATGTGCGAAGAACGAGTTTTGGCTGAAAGTGATAATGGTTATTGTCGTTACTTTTGTCTGCATGAGTGGCCAGTTCTATTCGTGCCCGGATGCCGGAGATTGATCAATCTTTGAAGGCCTTGATGATAAGTATGGGACAGCAATAGGCTGCTGGACACTGAAGAATGGCTGCATATTGAGCAATTGGAAGGCACGTCTCATTTTACTTATACACGGCGCGCATGGTGAACGCGGGCGATTTCTTCCCCTGCTACTAAATGGGACGAGCCAACTCGGATCTGATAGGCAGATCGCTCGATTTTCGGTAACCCTGGGACTTTCCTCGTGCCTGAGTGGGAAGGTTCGGCCTGGCAATTGGATCATGGCACGATGTCTGTCGACGGGGTCCGGCCCTCGACAGCAGGTCCCCCCTTCCCCCAACATGAATTGACAGCACTGATTCGCCCGGGTTCCTGACATGCCTCACCCACCGTAACACAGTGCGCTGCGCATGATTGCCAATCCAGGTAGTCACTATCGTATTCGCATTGGCTAACACGTGAGCTCGATGCTGTGCGTGTAGGAAAACCCGACGGCAGACACCATCAAGAGTGTGATTGAGCGGCGGCTGGCCAGGGAAGCTCGTCTCGACGCGCCACCAGGCGAACCCCAATTCGGACGATCAGCTGTGATCAGAGAGATGTGGTAGGGACAGAACAGCCAACAGACAGAGATGTGGACATGACAAGCAAGCCGACCACGAGCCTTGGCATACTACATCCCGCTGGAAAAAGGTGCAACAGTGGAATACAAACTTTCCGTTCGCTTACCCGCCATCAGTCGTCAGAGGAAACAGGGCGATCTGTTTCCTCGTCTCAAATCGCCGACGGGTTGATTATTCGAGATCCACCCGCGTCGAAGCTGTTTACATAATCCCCCGGCTCCCCCCCCCTTCGTCCCCAAGTCACCTAACCCATGGACAATTGGGACACTTTGTTGTTCTCCGTCGACCCCCTTTCCAGAATGACTTGCCTGACGCGTGAGCACGAGGCCGACCAGTATCGGCCATCCGGATTAGGGAAAGGGCTCCTGTTGGGTACCTTGCCTTAGGCACCGTGACCCAACCTTGAATGCGGCCCTGCCCTGCTTCCATTTCGTTCCTTTCTTTTGTTTTCTTCCACTTCCTCTTGCCCACCCCCCCCTCCTCTCACACATTCTCTCGTGAAGACATCGCATGGAGTGTAGCACAGGGCCGTGATCGACCAGGCAAGAGACAGTCAGTGATTGTGGCTGTAACAGCAGTACAAGGTGACCCCTCCCTCGTGAAGCCCTTCCCCCCCAAGCCCCCCTACTTCGGCCCCGGGAGCGGGAGGTGGGCGAGTGGAAAACCTAGCGACCTGCGCCTCATGTGAGCGATCACCAATGACTATCGGCCAAGCCATTTGCAGTGTGATGTGGTGTGGTGTGTCCGGGCTGGTCTGATACTTTGGAGCACTTACATCGGAGAAGCACAGACCATGCCAGTGACCCCCCCCCCCCTCCTCCGAAGGATCCAACACCAACAGCACGAGGTACATGGTACATGGCTGGATGTATCGCTCTAGGGGTACGGCTGAGAGACTTGGCAGGGGCTGCGGACGAATGCTACGGCTGGTGGATGTACAGTACTCGCGGTTCTTGCATCCATCTTTTTTACCTGCCGCCGCCCCACCCGGTGGACCCCCCTCCTCTCTTGTACCCACGTACTGTACCCATGTCCCCCAGGTCAGAGCGCCCCGGTGCAGCACAGGTTGCGCCTGGTCGGTCGCAGGCGGCTCCTTCCTCGCGCTGCCCCCCCCCCCCCCTTGTGCCTTGTGCCTTCTGCCTTTCCGCCGTCAATTCACAGAACCCACACGCCAGGCCAGGCTTGCCAGGCTCCCAGATTCTTCTCCCAGCCCAGCCTGCTGCTACTTACTGCTCCACGGTCGTGCGTGCTCCAACCTCTTTCCCAGCTTGGCCCAACCCAACTTTTTCACCTCTACACCCCCATCCCATTGTGGCATCAATACGCATCCCGGCATCGCCATCCCCACGCGCATCATTGTTCAACACCTCAACAGACAGCGCCCAGGGGCCTGTCATCATAGACCCAACCATCTGCTATCCCCACGCGGCGTTTCGCGCACGCCAATTTGACGAGCTGAACACCTAAGCCCGTTCTGTTGCTGTTTGCTCGCCTACGACCTGTCACCGAGCTTCACGTCCACCTCGTCGGTCAGCGTGTCATCAACAAACGACGCATTTCGCGCTCCCCTCCCCCCCCTCTCCCCCGAAGCTCTTTGCGCGACGCCTACCCGTAGCACCCCTTCGATTGATCGCCCCTTCGTCTTCGTCACCCGACACGATCGTCGCCGCGTCCGCGTCCGCCTCCACCATGTCCATGTATCCTCATCGCGCCATGGGCGGTGCAGCGCCTCCGGTCAACCAGTCTCGCCTCGAGGAGCTTCTCGAGCAGATCCGGACGGAGTTCAGCTCGCAAAGCCGTACCACCGAGGCCTACGAGCACCAGAGTACGCTCCTTCCCCACGCCGCATCTCTCGACGAGACACGACGGCTGCGGCGCCCTTGCCTTCTTTTCCTGCTCTCTCCTTCTATCTCTCTACATGCTCAGATGCACTAACAGTTCCCCATTAGTCCAGGCCCAGGTCAGCGAAATGCAACATGTCCGTGAAAAGGTCTTCAACATGGAGCAGATGCACCTGAACCTCAAGCAAAAGTAGGCACTCGCAGAGATCATGGTGTCTTGGCACGCCTCGTGTGACTGACACCCATATCACTAGGTACGAAGAAGAGCTGGCTCATCTCCGCCGGCAACTCGAGATCAGTCGCGGCGGAAATGCTCCTCCCGGCATGAACAGCGGCCCGCCTCCCCACAACGCACCCTCTCAACAGCCTCCTTCCATTCCCTCGGGCAATGGTCTATTTAACGGCATAATGGCGGGCGGCGGCCAAGGTGGCCTCGCCCCTCCCCCTCCTCCCCAGGACCAGCAGATGGGACCCCAGCAGCACCAGATGCCTCAGGGACCTCCCGGCTTGCCTGCTCCCCCTCCCCCTCCTCCGCCGCAGTCCCAGCCTCCCCACTTCCAGCAGCAGCAGCAGCAACAGCAGCAACAGCAGCAGCAGCAACAGCAGCAGCCGCCTCAGCAGGCGCCCTACCCCCAAGGTCCCGTTCCTGGCGGTATCGGTGCTCAGCCCCCGCAGAGCACGGCATCTCCTGGTCCCGGTAGGCGCGGAATTGGCCGTCCTCCTGGCGGCGTGGGACCGGCCACCCCGCAGATCAACACCCCGATCCCCTTCCCCGGCGCTACCCAGTCGCCCCAGGTCAGCCACCCGACGCCCGACCACGCTCGCATGGGCAACCCCCATCCTCCCCCTCCCGCTCCTCCGGTCGGCAACGCTCTGGGCGATCTGGACATTGATCGCCTGCCGTCATCGGCCAAGAAGTCGGGCTATGACTGGTTCGTCGTGTACAACGAGCGCGTTCCCCGCATGATCGACGTCGATCTCGTCCACACCCTCGGCCACGAGAGTGTCGTGTGCTGTGTTCGCTTCAGCCACGACGGAAAGTACGTGGCCACTGGATGTAACCGATCGGCGCAGATCTACGATGTGCAGACCGGCGAGAAGCTCTGCATTCTCCAGGACGAAACAGCCGACGTCTCTGGAGATCTTTACATTCGAAGCGTGTGCTTCAGCCCCGACGGCAAGTACTTGGCAACCGGTGCCGAGGACAAGCTGATTAGGGTACGTTCAATTTTATTTTTTTCTGCATGGTGGCTGGTTGACGTAGGCATCTGAGCTGACTCGGGACTTCTCTCTAGGTTTGGCGACATTCAGACTCGCACGATCCGCAACACGTTCTCAGGTCACGAGCAAGATATCTACTCGCTCGACTTTGCCCGTGATGGTCGTACGATCGCTTCCGGCAGTGGCGACAGGACCGTTCGTCTGTGGGACATAGAGCCCGGCAGCAACACCCTGACGCTCACCATAGAAGACGGCGTCACGACTGTTGCCATCTCTCCCGACACCAAGTACGTGGCGGCGGGCTCACTCGACAAGAGCGTCCGCGTCTGGGATATCCACCAGGGCTACCTCCTCGAGCGCCTCGAGGGACCCGACGGTCACAAGGATAGTGTCTACAGCGTTGCCTTTTCGCCCAATGGCAAGGACCTCGTCAGCGGCAGTCTCGATAAGACGATCAAGATGTGGGAGCTGTCGACACCACGGGGTCTTCCTAACCCTGGCCCCAAGGGCGGCCGTTGCGTCAAGTCCTTCGAGGGTCACAGGGTACGTATCCGACCCGCCAAGCGCACCAGGCGTGCCTGTTCTGCGTGAAGCTTCTCCTTGTCTCTGTACTCTCTGGCTAACATTGGACGGCAGGACTTCGTGCTGTCCGTGGCTCTCACACCCGATGCCGCGTGGGTCATGTCGGGCTCCAAGGATAGGGGCGTGCAATTCTGGGACCCCCGCACAGGTGCCACGCAGCTCATGCTTCAAGGACACAAGAACTCTGTCATCTCTGTGGCGCCCAGCCCAACTGGCGGGTACTTTGCTACGGGATCGGGCGACATGAGGGCCCGTATCTGGTCATACCGCAGCCTGCAGTAAAGGGGAAGAGGGCTGAGGAGGAGGAGCTCATTCTTGTTTTTTGCCAGTGTCAGGGGGACCCGTGACGTTGGTAGCGAACTGGGCGTGGCAAGGGCGGGGACGGCGGCGTCAAGGTCTTGATGGGATTATTTGACCGAGGGCACTCGATCGGACGGAGAGCGGAGAGGTATTGTCCAGTGGCCCGCTACGGGGTAGCGGGCCGCGGCCGACAACCACCCTCCTCCGCTCCGTCTGGTTAGAGCCCTCGAGGAAGAGGCGAAGATTAGGTGTGTGTGTGTGTGTGGATGCGTTGCGTACGTGCGAGTTTGAGTTTGAGTTTGAGTCGTGGTGTGACGGTGGCAAAGGCAGAGGAAACTTGTATTCTCGGTATCAATTGAGTGTTACTAAAACTTGCATGCACACTGGTCATGTCATTTACGTCATGGGAGGTTTACAAGAGGGAGCTGAAGAGGTCTGCAAACTCGTCGCCGCCTTTGGGTTTCTTCTTCTTCTTCTTGGGCTCGACTGGTTTGGATACGGAGGCTTGGGGTTTCGATGTGAATTTGGATTGGGGGTTGGATTTGGGGTTGGATTTGGAGTTGGCTTTGGGTTTGGATTTGGGTATTGGGTTGAGCAGAGGTTCGGAGGAGGAGGAGGAGGAGACGGGGAGCTTTGCGGTTGTTTCTGGCGACAATGTCGGCGACAGGAGAGGTGGCGATGTGCGGCTGTCGAGAGGGTCACTTTCACCATTGGCGTCGCGACGGCCGTCTCGGGCAACGTCGGGCGCAAGCGACGGGCGCGCCACGGCGACACCGAGGTCGAGGTCGTCGTTGGGCTCGGCGGGGTGCAGATGCTGCTGCACGGCGGCAGCGGCAGCGGCAGCGGCAGCGTCGGGGGACCGCGGGGTCGGGTTCAGGGGCGCGAGAAGGGCGTCGAGGCGGGCGGCCAGGGCGATGAGGAGCAGGCCGAGGGGCGCGTGCTGGCCGTCGGCGGCGAGCTGGGTGAAGGCTACGTAGGCGGCGGGGAGGACGTGGAGGACGAGCCAGCGGGCGTGGGCTGTGACGGCGGCCTCGGAGGTTTCGAGGGCGGTTGGCGCTCGGCGGCTGGATCTGGGGCCCGCGTTGTCGGTGGGTTTGGTCTTGGGCGGGCGGGCGCGGGCTGCCGCGGAGGAGGAGGAGGAGAGGAAGGAGGTAGAGGAGGAGGAGGTCCGGAGACGGCGTTGGTGGGCGAGGATGGCGGCGTCGAGGCGGCGCAGGGCGCGGCGCAGCAGGGTGAAATGCACCCACCACTTTGCGACGCGGTGCTGGTTCCTGTGACGGTGGTGGAAGCGGTCGAGGATGTGCAGGACGGAAGCCAGGGCGTCGGCAGCGTCGGGGGAGGGCGGTGGCATTTTGTGGTGGGTGTTGACAGAGGATACCGATTACATGTAGATCGTGTGAGGTAAGGCAGGGTACCTTACCTAAGGTGAGGTGAGGCAAGTGAGGTAAGGAAGGTAAGGTAAGGAAGGTGTCAATCGTTCGTTGAGCTTATTATTATCGTGCTTCTTCTTTTTTCGATGCCCGAAGCAAAAGATCGAGTCGCTATCTTTCTGCATCCTGGACATCTACCTAAGAAGGTAAGGTAGCTTGGGTGGGTACCTAGGTAGGTACCTAGCAAGCCTGGGTAGGTGCCTAGATACCGGAGGGGCACCTTATCGGTCTCGAGACTGCACGATGCAGACACGTGATTGGGTGCAGAGCCGGAGACGAGATGAGGCATTGGCCAATGATGAGGGTCGCGGCCTGCACAGCGGGCGTAGCGGGCGCTGGAGGACAGCAGAGGCGTCGCGGCGGGGCGCCTTAGCGGGGCGCCTTAGCGGGGCGCCTTGGTAGACATGCGGCGGGGTGTTAGTGGACATGCAGCGGGGGTGTTAGGGACATGCGGCCAGGTGTTAGGGACATGCGGCCAGGTGTTAGGGACATGCGGCGGGGGGTTAGTGGACATGCGGCCAGGGGTGTTAGGGGAGCCTTCTAGGGGGCCTCCAGCGCGTCTCGTGATGCCCATCTGCACAACGACGTAACCTGGACACACAACGACGCCTGGACACTGGACACAAGGAGGAACGCCTGCACACACCGAGGAACGGCCAGCGACGGCCGTGGACGCATGGCCATGAATCAGTCTCTCGGCTGTCATGCCCAGGCCACGAAGTGATGAACCGGCAAGCGTCCGCCCATCCGTGAGGCCCGTCTTCCCGTCTCGCCGTCCCACCCCTGGGTCTGGGTTTGAGCCTGGGCCTGAGCCTGGGTCCTTGGTCGTGTGGGCAGCCCGCGATACGCTGGGGAGGCATATGGGAGGAGATCATGATGCAACCAGGGCTGGCATGACGAGCAAGGCAAGACAAGCAGGGCGAGCAGGACAAGCAGGACGAGCAGGACATGACGAGCAGGACAGAACAAGCAGGACAAAATAAGCAGGCCAACAAGACAGCAAGCAGGCAAAACAGGGCAGGCCTCAATGGCGGAATGTCCGACCTGCTGCATCTCACCTCCGGAGCTAATCTTGCGCTGGGGGCGGCGCCAGGGTTGCTGCGCTTGTTGCTGCGCTTGAGCCGTCGGGGCTCCGCTTCGTAGATAGGCAAGGTAGGCTTGCAAGGCTTGGTAGGCCATTCAAGACGCCGGGGACGCGAGAAGACGAGAAAAGAGGGATCGAGACGAGACGACCGATCGAGACGGCGGGAAGAAAGCACAAGGCACATCGTCGTCCCCTCCTCTCCTCTCCTCTGCATTTTCTGATTTCCCCTTCTACAGAACCCCGCCGCCGAATTCCCCCCCTCGGTGCGATACCACCTCGACAAAAAAAGTCTTTTCGACTGGAACTCGTCTCGTCGCGTCCACAGCGTCTGTCTCGCCACGCTCCCACCCTGCCTCCGCCGTCACCCGACTCGTCGTCTGCCGCCCGCCTCGAAAAACTGCCGCCTCGTCGTCGTAGAACTACTGCCTCGTCGTCGAAGAATCGAAGAACTGCCGCCTCCTCGTCGACCAACTGCCTCCAGACCACGCGACAGACAAACACCCGCCCTTCTCATGGCTTCCAGGGTCCCCGCCACCTGGGATGACTACGAACGCGGCGCCTCGCCACGCTCCGTGAGCATCGACTCCAACGCCGTCGCCGAGGACCAGTCGCTGCTCGACGACGGCGACCACGACGACCAGAACGACCAGAACGATGACCACAGGGACAGCGAAACAGGGGGCCTGCGCCGCCGCCGTCGCCGCTCTTCTGTGACGCGACACCTCTCCGCCGTTGCCGACCTGGGAGGCGTCAACAGCATACGTTCCTTCACCCGCAGCTGGGCCCGTGCCGCCGGCTTCGCAGAGGTCATCCCCCAGCGCCCCTCGTTCATCTTCGCCCCCGACCAGGCCCCCTTGGCCGCCCCCTCGACCGACGGCCTCGACTATGGCCTCGACTATGGCCTCGACTACGGCCGCAGCCACGTCGACGCCAGCTCGTCCCACCCACGCACCTCACTGCTGCGCCAACATCTCGAGGCCCAGTCCCCCAGCAGCGGCATCCTCGGCGAGGGCGCCGCCTCCCACTTTGACGCCCTCACCGGCGAGGGCGCCCCTCTGCTCGCCGCCACCACCGGCAGCCACCGCTCGTCCTCGCGGGATCCCGAGCGCAAGCACGCCGTCGACCACATCGACCACCACCACCGCGCCAGCTTCAGCAGCAGCACCCGCCGCGCCTCCATCTTCGCCGTCCCTCCCCACCTCGCGACCCCGCCCCTCGTCGGCAGCTACAGCTCCTACCGCACCTATGGCACCCTGCCCGACGTCGACGCCCCCTCCATGGCCGAGGCCGGCGATCTCTGGCGCCAGCAGCAGGCCGACGCCGCCGACCTGCCCGCCGGCGAGCACCTGCCCATCCTCGTCAAGGAGGTCGAGCAGGACGGCAAGATTGTCCTGGCTGTCGAGGGGCAGTCGACCCTGCCGCAGACCATCTTCAACTCGATCAAGTACCTCTCTCTCTCTCTCTCCCTGCCTCCCCCCCCTCTCTCTCTCTCTGACTGACCTCGCCAGTGTCCTCATCGGCGTCGGCCTCCTCAGCCTGCCCCTCGGCATCAAGTACGCCGGCTGGGTGTGCGGCATGACCATCCTCCTGCTCTCCGCCGCCGTCACCTCGTACACCGCCAAGCTCCTCGCCAAGTGCATGGACCTCGACGCCAGCCTCATCACCTTTTCCGACCTCGCCTACATCTCCTACGGCCGCAACGCCCGCATCGCCACGAGCCTCCTCTTCACCATGGAGCTCCTCGCCGCCTGCGTCGCCCTCTTTGTGCTGTTCGCCGACACCCTCGTCCTGCTGTTCCCCGGCGTCCTGACCCTGACCATGTGGAAGCTCGTCTGCGCCCTGCTGCTGATCCCCCTGAACTTTCTGCCGCTGCGCCTGCTGAGCTTTACGAGCGTCATTGGCATCATGTGCTGCTTCTCCAGTGCGTCTCTCTCTCTCTCTCCCTCTCTCTCCCTCTCTCTCCCTCTCTCTCCCTCTCTCTCCCTCTCTCTCCCTCTCTCTCCCTCTCTCTCCCTCTCTCTCCCTCTCTCTCCCTCTCTCTCCCTCTCTCTCCCTCTCTCTCTCTCTCCTCCTTTTCTCTTATTGAAGGCCTGCTGACCGCGCAGTCGTGTCCATCGTCGTCATCGACGGCCTCATCAAGCAGGAAACGCCGGGCTCGCTTATCGAGCCCGCCCGCACCTACCTGTTCCCCGCCAACTGGCTCACCCTGCCGCTGTCCTTCGGCCTGCTCATGTCGCCGTGGGGCGGCCACAGCGTCTTCCCCAACGTATGCCCTCTCCTGAGCATCGCGCGCAACGTACAGACGTCACTAACACGGCCTGCCTCCAGATTTACAGGGACATGCGCCACCCGCAAAAGTTTGGCAAGGCCATCAAGGTGACCTTTTCGTTCTCGGTACGCGCAAAACAACGAGCCCCTTTCTCTGTCTGACTCGTCATGGTATGCTGACCGGCCATCTCGGCACATCCAGTATGCCCTCGACGCTGTCACGGCCGTCGTCGGCCTCCTCATGTTCGGAGACGGCGTCCTCGACGAGATTACGGCCAACATCCTCAAGACGAGCGGCTACCCCCGAGCCCTGACCGTCCTGCTCTGCGTCTTCATCGCCATCATCCCCCTCACCAAGATCCCCCTCAACGGCCGCCCCATCATCGCCACCGTCGAGGTCCTCGCCGGCCTCCACCACCACGCCATGGCCGACAGCGACGGCCTCGTCGGCCGCTCCGCCACCTTCCGCGGCCTCCTGCGCATCTTCATCCGCGTCGCCACCATTCTCGTCTTCCTCGTCATCTCCATCCTCTTCCCCTCCTTCGACAGCATCATGGCCTTTATGGGCAGCGCCCTCTGCTTCACCATTTGCGTCATGTGCGTTCCCCCCCTCCGTGTCCCTTCCATGCCTTCCGTGCGTCCTGGACTGACAGTTGCTGCACACAGCCTGCCCGTCGCCTTTTACCTCAAGCTCTTCGGCAAGGAAATCTCCGCCCGAGAAAGACTCCTCTGCTACGTCATCATGGCCGTCTCCACCACCCTGTCCTTCGTCGGAACCGTATGGGCCTTTTTGCCCAAGGACCTCATAGGCGCCGCGTGAACGGTGGCTGTCATTCTTTCAAAACAGGAAAAGAACAAAAAGGAATAAGACGAGGAGGGATGTGCCAGCCAGGAGAAGCATCGCAGGTGAGGAAATGCGCCCTAGGGGGCGGGAGGGGCCTCCGTTTTTGCATCATCGGCGTCCCATGCATATACACGGATACATCAACCTGAATTTACAAGTGCCTTGGCACTCATGCATGCCTCCATGCCCTTCAAGTCGCAGCCTGTCCACCCGTCTTGCTTCGCCCGCCACTGCGCCCGCCTGTCGAGCACATGGAAGTAGTCAGTCTTGGGGCGGGGTCAGTTGAAGGGAAAGGGGGGTGACTTGCGTTTTGAAATCGACAATCGCCATCTACATCTATATCAGGTTGAACCTCGCGTGATGCCCCATTGCCCTCAGACTACGCAACAGACATGCCACTACATCTGACCGACCCTCGGAGTCAAACGCCCACTGTCTTAAGGGATCCCTCGTACCAGCTGCGAGCGCATACAGCTCATCAGACAGGGTCTGCAACAGTCGGCATAGGTCATTCCTTGAGTGCCCTTTGGCCTCAGTACATACATTGATCACCGCCTGCTTAAACCGCCTGCTGAAAGAGCTCAAGGTGCATCTCAGTAGGTACAACCTCTGTCCATAATTGAAGGCGGATATGTCTCTGAAATGCAAGTACTTGGCATCTAGATGTGCTGCCCGTTGTATCCTTCGAGTTAGTTGGTGATTTTTATTTTCTGGCCACGCGGCTGTCCATCATCCCTTTGGGGCCGATGTTAAACCTCAGTACATCAACTGACCACCGCCTGGTTGAATAGCTCTACTGTGGATCTTGATAGGCACTCATCCAGTCGCATCCCTTTGAACCCGAAATTGATCTCAGTACAAGCAAGCGCCCCATAAGTCTTGTACCGCCTTCATGATCAGGTTTCGCGCTACGCCTTTCGCTACCTTTCGCTACCTTTCGCTACCTTTCGCTACCTTTCGCTACCTTTCGCTACCTTTCGCTACCTTGGCAAATACCTAGGACCCTACCTCTTTCTAACGTGATCCGCCTGAGATCCTCGCCACATACCCCAGTACGCCTAATGTCGTTAGGTGTCCTGTAGTACTATAGCTTGTTGTTAATGTACTGTGGGCTAGGCCTACGGTTTGTTTAGCTGTAGAGCTCATTTCTGCCATGTTAGTTGGGTCCTTCCAGTACGTAATGTTTGTACCTGAGATCAATTTCGGGTTCAAAGGGATAGTTATAGCGGGTAGGTCTGTCGAAAAAATAAAAACGTACAGGCATGTAGATGTACTATTCGTCATATCCTTTAATTCACTTGGCGACATATCAAGTACTGAGGCCAAGTTTGGCACCAAAGGATAGTCAGCACCATCACTAATGGGGGCAAGTTTAGTGGGTAACCTCTGGTATTCTAGATTATTCTGGAGATAGCTAATACTCAGAAGGCGAGTTGAGACCGTGCATCCAAAAGGCTTTTCCGCATGTCGCGCTTCAACGCACACCCGGGTGCCCATGAGCCGACATGCACCTCAAAGAGGGGATCCAACTACAAGAGACGACCAGCTAGGAGTGAGCCTCCTGCCAGCCGCCAACCCACTCGACGTCACCGAGTTCTGAACGTTTGTCTCGGCGCCAGTAATTCCAATCTCTGCCCTTGTTCCATGGGCAATCCTTATTTCGTTCCTTCACAGTCTTGTTCGAAGTCTGGATATTCAATCCATACTGCTCCCAGAACCCTGTGACAGGTGTTGGTTGATGCGCCGTGACCGATGGTCGACGAGGCTTGAGCCAGTCAGGCGTCTTGTTGGGTTCTGACTGTCCGGCCAAGGCTCGACGTCGCTGGCCGAGGGCAGCCCACTTGTCAACGTTGCTGCGCTTGGGAGGGGGGGAGTAGCGGGTCGACATGTCCACCGTGGACGGCTTGGGAGCAGGGGCCTCCTGGAAGAAGAAGCCGTCTGCGACCAGGTCGTCATCGACGTCGTTGTGCACGACAGACGCATTGTCGGCCACGACAGTGGCCTGGTCCGCCTCTGCCGACTTGCTCTCCTGGCTCCAGGTCCTGGAGTTCATGGCACGCAGTGACTCGAGTTGCTGGCGCGCCTCCTCTTCCTCTTCCTCAATGTCCTCGTCCCACATGTCGCTCCAGCTCTTGGATACGACATCACTGAGACGACCGAACCCAAGGGACCCGGACGAGTGAACATTGCGAGGCTTGGACATGGTGACGGGGAGAGATCCACTGATGGCAGAGGTGCGGGGAGGTGGTCGAGAGACGGCGGGAACCGGACGTTGAATGGCCATCGACTTCATCGACGTACCCATGGTCAAAGTCGAGTTGAAGGTCGAAGAGAAGGACGGTGCCTCGATGGACCCGGAGAACCACCCGGCTGTTCCACCCGACTTGGAGAAGAGGTCTTCCGTGTAGCTCTCGTCGTCGGGGATGACGCTGAGCTGGCGGATAGGCTTGGGGGGAGTGGTGTGGAGGGCCTTGGTCCAGGGGAAGGCACCGTTGTCAACCATTGGGCTCTGGATAGATGGGGTGCGCAGAGGCTCGCGGTTGGCACTCGCCACGACAGGCTTCTCGGTCGAGCAGAAATCGTCCATGTCCTCCTCTGAGGTGGTGAAGCTGACGAGACGGAGGAGAGCAGCGCGCGCCCCGACGAGGGACCGCTTCTTCGGGTCAAGACTCATCAGTTGCACGATGACCTCGTACGTGTCTTGGGACATGGAGGGGAAGACGTCGAAAAGCGACTGCTTGTCACGAGAGAAGTCGAGGAAAAGGGGATCGGCCTCGGTGGGGGTGGTGAAGGGGTTGCGTGAGAAGAGGACGTTGAGGAGGCAGATGCCGATGGCCCAGATGTCAGCCTGGGCCGGGGAGTAACCCGCACCGGCCGAATCGTACTGCTCAGGGGACATGTAACGGTCGCTGCCGACAGTGGTCTCGAAGGTCCATTGGTCCTTGGTGGCGAGACCAAAGTCACCCAGCTTCATGGCGCCGGATTGGGTGAGGAAGATGTTCTCAGGCTTGATATCGCGGTGATAGACGCCCATCTTGTGGATGTACGTGACAGCATCCACAAGCTCGAGCATGAACTGACGGACGTGCTCCGTCTCGAGGGGGCCGTGGCCGTTGCGAATCGCCTCATACAAGTCACCTCGGGAGCAGAACTCGAGAACCAGGTACGAGTGCGACTCCGTCTCGAAGGCACGGAGGAGATTGACAATGTTGTGGTGGGACAAGCGGCCGTGCAGCTGCTTCTCTTCAGACTTGTCGTCAACCGCAAAGGCCATGCATTCGTCGTCGGCATCGGGCGTCTTGGCAAGGCACTTGATGGCGACTGTCTCGCCAGTGAAGGTGTCCTTGGCCTTGAAGACCATGCCGAACGAGCCAGAGTTGAGAGGGGAGAGGGTTTGGTAGCGGCCGTCGAGGAGGACGCCGCTCTGGAAGTTGTCTCGAAGGCAAGACATTGTGTGTATGTGTGAAGAAAATGATAATAAGAAATTTTTGTTTGAAGGGTATCAGGAAGAGGAAGATGTTGATGAAATATCGATGAAGTGGTGATACAAGCAGGTGTGTAGAACTCCTTTTTGTGCTTCCTTCTCGATGTCCGCTGCTCAAAGACTTGGATTGAGGGGTTGTGACGGAGCAGGTGCCGGTGGTGGTGATTCAGGCGATACTGGTGATCGGGACACCGGACGAGGGTTGCGGTTGTTGCTGACGGCCCAACTGGGACGGTGAAGAAATGCTGTTGAGGGGTGCGTGCTGAATGTACAGAAAATGTGCGGGTCGGTCAAGACAAATAAGACGATATAAAACTCCTGTTCGTTCACGTATCAGAGGCTCATTGATAACTGGTTGGTTGGATCGAACGGTCGGTACAGATGAGAAAGAAGCGATGGTCGTTGTGGTTTTCGTGAAAGGCGCTAGAGCAGAGTTGCTCGAAAGAGTCAAGGGTCGTTATGAGGACATGGGAGACCGGGTGGAACAAGATAGGGAAAATGTAGTGAAAGACGTTGAGAACTGTTGTTGCAGCAGTCGGGGGCGAGACGGCGGCGGGGATGTTGTTATTTCGTGGTTGGAGGAGTGTGGTGGGTGTGGTGAGCTTTGACTGGTGGAGGAGGGACTCGTGATGGTCGGTCGAACGAGGAACTCGAACAGGCACGAGGCTGGAGCTGGTCGATGTGAGACGCCGGGTGGTCGATGACTAGCACCGTCGAGTCTTGTTCTCTCAGCAGTCAATCGCTTGCTGGCAAGCAGATTACCCAGTCGGCCGGGGCGTCCGATGTTATGCAGGCAGCATTCGATGTCTTGAGCGTAACCAAGGAAGGGCTGGCGAGTGTGAAGTGAGAAGCAGTCAAGCGACGACGGGTCGTAGCTTGATCAAGTACTGTTCGACTCTCGTGGACTAGCTCGACGTCGACGTGGTGATACGGATGTCGAATGAGTCAAAGGCAGGAAGCAGGTGACTCAAGGCTGGGCAGGCTGAAGGACGATGGATGGGACCCAACAGGAACAGCGGGATACGCTGGGGCAAATGCGGATCAAGTAGGCCTCTCTTCCCTAATCTTCTTGATGGATGAGCTGGATCCGGAAGATGGCGTGATGGATTGCGTTGCGTTGCTTTGATTGCTCGCAAAGAGGTCTGGCTGGTTCTCCGTGGTTCGAGAAGCAACTGGACGGTCTGCTGGCAAGAAGTGGGGGTGGTCGTTGGAGTATTGGCAGTACGAGAGAGCAGCCGAGGGAATGAGCGAGGTGCAACGAGAGAAGGAGAGGCCTCTTTGAGGAAAGGAGGGCGGGAGAGGAGGGTAACGATTATCAACGGTAGAAGGGCAGAGATGAGGAAAGCAAGAAGGGTAGCGGGGCGGAGGAGACGATGTATTAGAGAGGTGAGAGAAGGTGCAGGAACAAGGAGAGACGATGCGGATGTGGCGGTGGGAAGCTGGAAGAGTGACCAGACAGGGAAGGAACAGGAGAGAGAGCAGCCAGCAAGAGAGCGAGAGGACGCGGGGTGAGAGACAGAGAGAGCGAGAGAGGAGTGGAGACGATGGGGTGGTGGGATCTGGGAGCTGGGAGCCTGGGGGGAGGGCGAGGAACGAGACGGAAAGGGCGGTGGCAGCGGTGGCAGGGCAGGAGGAAGGCCCGCCTTGACTGGTCGACTGGCTTGACTGGGTATCTCTACGGGGGGGGGGGGGGGGATGGGAATGGCGATGGCGCTATGGGGTGGGTCGATGGGGCCAGCGTGCAGGATAGAGCGACGACGCAAGCCCAGCAGCCCAGGTGAGGTGGCTGCGACCGTGCGACAGCCAGTGAGCAGCCAAGTTGAGCGACAAGTAAACAAACAAGGTAGCACTTTGCGCACTGTCGGCATGACACGTTGTCGTAACGAACTACCAAGATGGACGGGGCACGAGGTGCGAGGCATTAGGTAGCCGATAGCGACAGACATGTTCCCCAGGCCGTGTGCAGTACCAGACTCGGGACCGTGTGGGGTACTGCCATGCGTCAAGTGAGCAACAGGCTGCCAGGGCTCGCTCACCGCCAACACTGCCAGGTACTAGACGGTACGCCCTGGCCAGGTCGTCGCAGTCGCTTCCGGCGCTGGAATTGCTACCTGTTCTCTTCGTATCGCTCTGGTTCCTGCCGTTCGGCAAGACACGCAACCCACACTGTCTGTGTCTGGGCTGGACCCGGACCCGGACCTGGACCTGGACCTTGGCCCTTCAAGGTTGGACCAGTTCGAACGAATGCGGCAGTCTCTCTGGCACTTGCTGTCTGCTCGTGCTCCTTGGTTTGTTGTCCGTAATCTGCTAATCTACTGCCTCCTGCTCCCCGAACCCGCACCGTGTTTCGCGCCCGCATTCTTTCAAGTGCCCTGTTTCACTCGCCCCGCAGTGTCCCTGATGGAGGCTTCCATTGGCCTACATGGGATGATGAGCTGGACCCCTCGACTGCGCTCATCTCGTCCTGCAGCCTACCTGGCCTACCTTACCTACATGTTACAGCGTGACGCTTGACCTCCAGGTACCTCATCGAATCTGGGGGATACGCTCGACAGATACATAGCCGCGAGGAGCAATGACCAGGCCCGAAGCAACTTTGTCCCTGCATGAGTCTCAAACAAAGACGCGTCAAGCACCGTACCTCGCTCGGGGTTGTGTAGCAGCAGCAGGCGAGCAAGTGACAATCTGTGATCCCCCTTTCCCGTGTACTGAATATGTTGATCCGTTCAACGGGCAGCAGGAGGGGAATGTATCAGCGATCAGCCTGGTGAGAGCGTTTCATCTACACACGGGATGGGGGGGGAGGGGGGAGAGCAGAGATAAGACACAGTGCCAGCGAGATAATGGTGCCCATACCATGTACCATTCAAGAGAAGAACCTAGAGGACCTAGAGATGGACGCACTGGTGTGTGAAGACACGCATGCCTGAGATTCGTTGCTCCGGAAAGGGGAAGGGAGGGGGAATTGCACCAGCGTCACCTGTTCGTCGTGGTTCGTCATGGCACCCGGGGCCCGGTTTATCCCCAACAGAAAGAACGAGTCAACCTCCCGAGGCTTGGTCGTGTGACAGAGCTGGCAGGCCCAGACTGGCCACCTTTAGGTAATACTCCAGGGGCTGACTGACACGATAGAATCGCTACGAACATTCCACTTCCGTCCTCATCTTTCGTCATGGTCATACCGTTCGGTACCTGAGCAAAGTAGGCAGGTAGCGAGCGACCCTACCCGGCATGATCTTCCTACCCGTACCATCACGTACCCACGTACATAGTACCCACGTACCCACGCGCGGAGCACCATGTTCCATCCAGGCCCCCAAATGACGATGCGTTTCTAGCTTGGAAGCCGATAACTCCAATCTTTCCACCCGGTTCGTTATCTACCACTGATTGTTTTCTGGTAGGCAAATCAAGAGTAGACACGACCGCGGGGCGGACGAGTCCGTCTGATGCTAGTAGCCTGCACCCATACCTGACCCCTACCACGCAAGCATGTACGATGAATGGCATTTGTACGTGGGAGGACCCTCATCGGCTGCATACTGGAGGATGCACGCTGCTGTGGCAGGCCCACCTCCCGTCCACTACTGTCCAGTCCTCCCTACCTGCGTGGTGAGTGGCAGGCAGGAGGGACTCAAGCTCGAAGCTCGGGCTGGGTGCATGTGACTTTTTTCTCGCCTTGACAATGCAGTTTTGTTTGGAGCTCACTGAAGGCTCGGGGCCCATCAAAAGGGAGTGTGGTCCTGCACTACCTGTCGACGTATCCAGTAGTGTCCCAGTAGCGGCTGGGACGCTGAAGCTGGGGTCCATTTCAGGGAGCGCTTCGGAAGGAGGGTGGCCCTCAATCATTCTGTCTTGGATGGAAGGAAGGTTGGTAGTTGGTAGTTGGACCCGCCAATGGTCCACCGTCGAGGCTGCAGCCGACTCCCCTAACCCCCCCAACCTCCAAACCATGCAGGTCCCTGGCTTCTCCATCTGCCACTGCAATTGCTTCCGGTTGCGATACCGAGAATGGCTGCTTGACCGCCTTCTCCTAATTTCGTTGTGCCCATTATCCTGCATGAAGCGATTCCCCCAACTACCACCCACATCATCGGGATAGTCGAATCATCGTGAACTGTTTGACCTGGGAATGGTGGTGAAAATTTTCTGTTGACCAGGGGAGCAGCGATCGAACAACCAAGAATACCATTACAGCGCACCGCTTCTTCCTAGCCGGTGCAGAAATTTCGTACATCGATTTTCCGTTCAGCCTTCCGCACACCCCCGTCCGCGGTGCAACTTGGTCCCTCACCGCCGTTGCCATTACCGTTCTCCCTGGCCCGATCGAGACCCGGCATGGCGTCCGCGACCGCAACCACGTCCGCGGCCGACTTGGCGGCCGTGAAGGTTGTCTTGCTGGACATTGGTGGGTTCCGCCCATCCGCACCCTTCCACCTCCCAATTTTACATACTCCCCGCCATTGCTCCCTGCCCCCCTCGCTCGTCGTTTGGTAATGTGATGTGAGAGGCTGATGATTTTGTGTCCCTGTCAGAGGGGGACTGTTTGTCCGATTTCTTTC